AAATGTCTTTAAAATACTAAATGTATTTATTATTTTTATGTTTCAAATTTTTTTGATTTGTTTTTTATTTAAATAAAAAATTTATTCCAAATACAAACAATGAAAATAAATTTTGGTCGTTATCCAAACAAGCGTCATTTACTTATATACAAGTAGTGTACTGATTGACTATATATTCATTTATTTATTAAAGTTAAAGACACAAGTATTTACATTGTTTAATTTGCTATGTCGGAGAAAATATAACATCAAATCGTTCTCGATTGAAAACTTTCACGCAAACTTGAAATATCTCATTTGAATATCTAAACGAAAATTTAATAGAATCTCTTCTTTTCGCTGAATTTCAACGTAAATCTTATAGTAATGACAGGTAAAATTTTGAATTATGGAATCTTTATCAAAAATGTAGGATGAAAGTCGTATATATTATTAAAAATTAAATTAAATGTAATTAAATTTTAACAGCAAATAGAAGAAGAAATTTACAATGCAGTTCATGCAATCGTAAAAAAATTGTTCTTCAATGATTTGAAAAGAGAATGTAACATGATATGTTGTGAGAGGTAATCTGATAAATTTATGCACATTTTTATATTCCCAAAGTCTTTACAAGTGATGTTCCTGTAAATTATGCAAGGATAAAATGTGGAAGATGTTATTTACAATTCAGAACTCAAAAATATTGAAAAAGTTCGCTTTCAATCTTTTCTCATAGTGTTTGTTAAATATACAAAATTGGTCTTGTACTCATAACAAAAATAACTGTGCATTGCAAGAAATATGAAAATACAGTGTATATACATTGTGATTATATTTTAAATTTCTCTGAGAACTAAGCTGTGAATGATGACATATTAGTTACTAAAACTTTTAAACTCTTTCCTTTTCTGAAAATTAGTTTGAAGAAAATTGAACCAAACTGGATAGGAAGAAAGAAAAATTTCATGCCAAAAATCTTGCTTTCAAATGTCCCATTGGAGATTTCTTCTTGCTTGTTATTTGGTTCAGTTCAAACAAGATACTCTAGCTAAGAAATTAAAATACATGAATAAAAACAGACAAATTTAAAGGAACTTTGAATTTACGAAAAATGAGAAATTAAGCACATTGGACAACCTCTAATGTAAAATCTTTAACAATACCTATAACTCTATGTCAAACAGAAGTGCTCCAAACTTCATCACAAATGATTGAGGAATTCGAAAGGATGACTGCACTTAAGGACATGCGAAATTTGCGACAAAATAAACTTTCAAAACAAGCATTTTCCTTTTCATTGCAAGAATGGTCAACATCCAATCTACAACTTTATGTAATTACGTTTAATAAAAGTGTGTATTTACGAAGTTTGAATCTGTTTTCAAAGGCAGGGGTCATCACAATTTCTTGAATCTCCGTACGATAATGAGGACGCCCACTTTTTTACTGACTTTATACATAGTCAGCGCATGTTTGTCTATTGTTCTCCGTTTCACAGTAGTTGTATATTTGCATAAATAATAATGTGTCAAAAGGAGATTAATAGACAAACATGCGCTCATGGTTAAAAAGAGAAAAAACTGCCTCTTCTTACACTCGCTCTCTGTGTTGTAACCAAGGATTGTGACATGTTGAATATTATAATTCACCACGTGATGTCCTACCTCGGGTAACTTTGTGAATACCAAATTCCGTCACGTGACTTGTAAGGTAGCATGTTTTGTGCTAACTGGGACATTGTGTTCGAACACGTTAAGTCATCTGGCATTGATATACAATCTGCTTAAATTACATTGACGTGCTCATATTGTTAGTTTCGTTTTGAAACCTTTGTCAGAAGTGCCATTCAGAATGGAGAGGGAGATTGGAAAGAGTGATCATGTTCTTTTTTTCAAACATGTCACTGTTATTTATCAAGTCTAATTTAAGACCCATATTTACAATGTTAGCTCCACCTCTCATGCATATCTAATGTTCAATCAAGGGCAGTTAACTGTAAATTCACTATATTTGGAAAACACTAAGGACAAAAAACATTGAATCATTTTATTGTATCACAGTCTAAAATCATTTTAAGATTTAAATTTGGTTTCAAATTGACAGGATTCTTTCATAAACATACAAAAGTGAAATAAAGTTTAGATATAAAAGCAACAGAAGCAACCGAAAAAGACCCAAAAACAGGCGTTAAGTGCAGTCATCCTTTGTGTAAAAATGAAAAGCCAAATGTTCCCTGCCATCAATAAGGATAAATTGAAAAATTCCTATTTGAGCGAAAATGAAAACATTCACATTGGTTTGGATTAGAAGAACGTTTATCAAGACGAAAGCAAGGAAGATGAATGCTGAAATAGATTTTAATGATTTTATATTTATCAGTGCTTATCTAATAGTTTACAGGCATGTCTATCATTACCTTAATTTTACAGACATTTTTGATACATTGACAAAACTTTGAAATTGTAATATTAATTATGATATTAACCGATATACTGATGATCTTTACTGAACCATTCTTATGAAACTCTATAGTTTAAGTAAAAAGTATAAATGTCATTAAAAAAACCCAAACATCATGTAAATCAGGTTTGAATAAACTGAAGCTCTTGGTGACTAAATCCACATTCATTTTTTTTTGTAGGGCAAACAATTTTCATTCATTTATTTTTTTTTTTCAAATAAATGAAGAAGGAAGTTGAAATATATTGAGAAAATAAGGAAATTTAAAGATGAATAGATGCATGTTAAATTTTAAACATTTTAAACAATTTCTACAATAAAAAAGAAAAAGTTATATATATATATATATATTTACATTTCCAATGTCTTTGTCCGAGATAAAATTACAAATTGTAAAAATATTTTATTTCTACATAAATCTACTAGTTCATCGATAGGCGCGGTTAAAAAAAAATCACGTGCGGGGCGGGACAAATAGAGACAGAAGCGGGGCTATTAGCACGGGAATTTGCAGAATCAGGAGCATGTAAATATAAGGAATAACTGTCTTATTTTTTGGATTCATGACGATGATCAATCGATTGGCTTGCGTGATAATTTTATGCATAAACGCCTTCGGCGTTTATGCAAATTATCACGCAAGCCACTCGATTGATCACATCATGAATCCAAAAAATAAGACAGTTATTCCTTAATATATATATATATATATATATATATATATATATATATATATATATATATATATATATATATATATATATATATATATATAATTCCTCGATATTTACTAGACTATCTGCAAGTAAAGTAATTTCAACACATATGACTGATCTTCTCTTAAACCTTGATACCTTTTATATGAGTAGGTAAAATTAATTAATGATTGAATGTAATATATTATTTTATAAAAATATTATTAGATGGTTTTATAATAAACACAAATCTTATCATATGAGAACATTAAAAAATATATTCAGACAAGTATTTTCCATAGATTTATTGTGTTATTAATCTTCTTGGACAGGTAATCCTTAAACGTGTTTGAGTTGAACAAACATTTAACATTTGGTCACCTAGCCATTTTCACCTGTGTATTAAATAATCATTTAAAATGAATGATATTTCCACTTAAATGCATTTATTTACAAAAAAGAGAATCTAAAAAAGTCAAACACTCAGAACAGTTATATATGAGAGTTACACAAGAACTAGTAGAGTAAAGGGGGAGAGAGAGGGGAGAGCTTTAAACTCGGGAGTACTGATGAATATTTATACAAATTGATAAAACAAAGCATTTAATCATAGACAATTTCCAAACTTCTAACGTTCAGTGAATCGTTGGAATTATAGAGTAAACAGTCTTTCCAGCAGTAAAGTATCTTATCAGAAATTTAGAAATAAGTGGATTATTTTCATTAAACAAACAATAAAAACTTGTGGTCTTTATGATCTGACGATAACCTGGCCGGGAGAAGAGATATTGAATTGACAATTATTAGCATCTCTGGAATTTCTTCTGTCCCCTTTCTCCAAAAGTACCAAAATTCATGACTGCCATCAGAGCACCATAGGTATTGGTTTTACCTTCAGCAGTTTATTAACGGTCCAAAGAATGCAATTACCCCAGTTTCCAGTAATCAATTAAATTGGCCAGACAAAAAAGTCATTCGACATCTTTTAAATTTTCTTATTACCACCCGCTTTCACCTGAGGAATCTGACCAGAAAGGTGAACATATAGACTGCTATGTGTCATTAAAGCTTTTACATTGCAGAATTTTTCAGTAGCCTACCCAAGCAAAGAATCATCACGTGATTTCCGGAGGCAGAGTATTTCACTGGCAGGTGCGATGGGATGTCGTAACAATTAGTAACTAAGTAAACCTGACGTGTACAGGATTGGATGACATCTAACATTCTTGTAACACTAACAAACATTGATTCCAAAATTGTTACAAACTCTCGCCTGCTTGACGCCATATTAGAATGACATCAAACAACCTCAACATTAACCCTCCCGAAGGTTCACCAAGAAAATTTTATAAGGGGTATGTACACCTCTAGAGAGTCATTTCAGAATCACATGCAGGTACCTTTACTTTTCAGCCAAGTACGCTGAAATCAATCTTGGCAAATAAAAAGAATGGATGTTTTAACACTTATTTCTTTATTATCTTTTTGTTTTAAATAGGTTACCTTTTTATTCCATTAAAAAAAAATCTCACATTTTTTTTAATACTTAGATTAATATAAGTTGAGCTGCGTAGGAGTATATCAAGACATACTCGGAAGAAGTACCTGTATCTCTGAAACACATATTCGTGATATCTAATAGAGGGCGTATATTGCTACTTCCGTAGCACAACAGAAATTTACATTTATCATTAATCATTAAGGTTGAACCCACCAATATATTAAGATTACTGAATCATTAAGAACCATTTTGAAAACAAATAAAGTGAACGCCAAGTGAAAGTCAAATTATTTAATTCTTTACTTTCGACTCTGTCGTTTTAATCCATATACTTTGGAAGAATTTCAATCATAAACAAAAATATGAGCGATGAGTGCTCCTCGATTGAGACAGACATTACTGCATTTTCTTCGGATGAAGATGATTTCAGTAATTTACATTCTCCTTCTAGCTTTGGTAAATACAAGATGGTGTACACTGTTAACAGTATGAACCAAGAAGACATGGATTGTAAACTTGATAATGTGAGTACAAAGATTTATTAAAGTTAATTTTATCTAACTTAAATGATATATAAACTATAATGGTTTAAAGTATTTTGTATTTTGCAAAATGTTGCCATTCTTTAATTAATGGACTTCAGCAGGTGAGTTTCTTTGATTCTGTTAAATACAATTATCACTTGATTATAACATGAAACTGTTTGTTCTTTAAACATATTTTATTGAACAAAGCAATAAGGATTGGGCAACAGGCAAAGCCTATGCACACCCTCTCCTTGTATAACAGTTCAAGACAAAGACAATAAATAATAATACTTGTACATGACAATAGACATTCTAATAATAAATTATGAAGATTCACAATAAAATATTGTGTATAACTGTTTGTACTGGAAGAATACGAAAATTTATATCTTTCTTCTAATTTTGACATTTTCTGAATGAAAAAGACAATATGACAGTCTTACTTTTTTTTATTTTTGATTCAATATGATACTGCGTTCATTTCATAACACTTAGTCTTGCACACTTAAGATAAAATTATTACAATGTAAGTAACTTTTAAGTGTTCATTGTTTTCTTGAAATTCAATCAAATTGGCATTATATTCCAATTTTTAAGATAGGAGTGGGTTAGGTTTTTTTTTTACATAAAAGTACATCTTTGCAGATAGATTTCTAAGGATAAAATGCATCTGGTTAAAACCCTATAGGCCTCATTATGCATCTTTCATTGTAATGTTTTCTTCTCGAATTGAAGTTTCAGATTTCCTCTTTAAGTATAAGTTAGATTTTTCTAATTATGACATTTGTCAAAACATAATTTTTGCATTATATTTTTTTATTACGTGTAAAAAAAGCATTATATATCTTACTAATAATGAAGAATATTTTGTTCCTCATTAGTACGTGTGTATATCACGTTCACTTGCCTTAGTAGACACACCAAAGGTAATTTGTCAAGCCTTAAACTAAATACGATGTTCATCTGGAATCCGAAAGTTTGCCTCCCAGAGGAAATAAACTGAAGCCTAATGACTACCTGTATGTAAGTCAGGACATCGGAATGTTATGTTAGGTACATTTTATGAAATTTGGCTGGCATTCCTAACATTTATAGAAATATATATATAAACAATCTTAACTCGGTAAACAAAAAGAAGGTTTTTGCCTGTTGACACAATTTAGTTAATGTTCTGTTAATTAACCAAACGTTTGTGACCAACTGATATTTCAAATAAACAAAATGGAAAATACATGGATTATTAGATATTTTCGGACCGATTTTGATTGTAAATGATGCATATATAAAAATCTCTGAAATATTTTTTTTTAAATTGCAGACTTTTTATGATTTTCAAATATCTTCCTTTTTGCCATCACCTTTATAAAACTAATATTTTTTTTTATCAATTTACAAGACATTATTGAGAAACTTTGAATACTTTTTGCCACCAATTTTATTTATTTTACTTGTTATGTCTTAACGTAAATAAATATTATATTTTCTTGATTTTTTTAGGGGGTTGGGTTGTAACATCTATCCTTAAATGTATTGCAAAGTAATGGGTTAGGTCAAATTACAATGTTACGAGTGCTACTTGAGATTTTATCAATCAGTAAGTTTTATGTCAAGCACATTTCAATTTCTTTGTTATCTTCTCAATATCACGTTAACCTTATAACTCGAGATGTCTATATTCTGGCGCTATCGCGATTAATGATATCCATAGTTCGAGATTTTGTTTAAAAAGTAAATAGACTTTCAAATCTTGTATATTCGAAGTTAAATAATCTTTTCCAATTTTTTAAAACGCATAATGATTATGATTACATTTCTTTAATTTTCTCATGAATTGAACTAACTTTATTTCCCTGGTTATATTTTTCAAACGTTCATTGTTTTTCAATAATTATTCACAAAACCTTTTAAAAGTAATTTTGATTTTTACATAATAAATTATTTGATGTGTTTAAAATTAAACAATATGATTTATGTTGCATATACTTTAAAATATTGTGAACATTTTTGGTGTGCAATTTAATTTTTTTTTTTTTTAAATCAAACAATGACTTTTTAAATTATTCATTTTCTGAGCATTTCTTTCACTTCTAAAGTATTAACTTTAATTTTAAAGAATTATTTTAAAAAAATAAATAAAGTAAAATCATGTTTTACGAGAGGGCATCTACTAATTGACTTAGGCAACTATATTAATGCTGTTTTGGGTTCTTTTAAAGTATTGGCCCTCTTTTATAAAGACAATTATCAAATCTTAAACATTCAAATCGATAGAAAATGAATTAAAAGATTAAGTATAAAATAATTTAAATATACAGAAAAATCTAGTTTGAACAGGAAAAAATATAATTTTTTTTTTTAAAAATCAAATAAATAAACTGCAGATTAGCTGGTCGATGAAAAGGTTCCGTGTCTGTTCTAACAAGTATAGGATATATTACTTTGTTAGATTATATTTTTCTATCACAAAAATAAACTCATTTTAGTAAAATTCTAAGCTAGGAAATATTCATTTTATCTTTTAAAAAGTCAGGAAAGATTGTCTATCTGTAAAACAAAATGAGAGATGTAGCATATTCTTTTAGGATTTTATCAACAGTGTGATTTAAAACCAATATGAAAGGAAATGGAACGTATAAAATTGTAGATTAGTACTACTGGTTAGTATAAATTCATAACTCAAACTCGTCATGTACAAATCTAATGAATGTATGAAAATGTTAACAAAATAAAATATACGTTAAGAAATTCATCTAGAGTAAATAAACATTAAATGAAATTCATTTAAAGATTAGATTTTCGGCCAAACATCGTATTTGTACTGATATTTTTTTTTTCATACAGCATTTTCATTTTTATCTTTCATCCTTCCCAAAACCCACAGTTATATTTGACATGTTCATGTATATTGCTATTACGTCACACTATAAAACAACTCTCAGGAAGGAGTATCAAAAGATTGCATAGTACACTTTATATCTAATTTACTTCAGATGTACTAGTTGATTTCCCCTGAATCACAAAATCTATATTACGTAATACAGTAAAATACTATTGTAGCTAGTCAGTGGGCAGGGCTACGGATTTCAGAAAGTGAAATCTACATTATATGGCAATTAGTTGTAGACATTACTCCAATTATAGCAAACACCAGAGGACCTTATCATGACACCATCCGCTTGATCAGGAAACCATCAAAGTAAACCTCATTTACCTGTATATTGCCCAGTAAACAGAGTGGTCCCTGCCACCCCTGGATTCATTGCTATGTCACTGTATCCTCCATAAGACAACATTAGAAGCCCCTATGTTTGCATCAATTTTTGACTTTGGCATCATTTCGACTTTCGCTGGGAAACACGATAATGTATTTGTTGTGCTTTCGTTTGCCTAAATTTGTCATTTGATCGATAAGTGACAATGTTAATTAATGTTGCACTCTTTATGAAAAATGATATCAAAGGAGGCTGTCTGAGAGGATGGACCTTGGGAATTTTGTAACTAAAGTATGGACACCCGATCGCCTTCGAAAAATTTACAAAGATTTTGTAAGTAGTTGTGAAAAAAATAATACTGGGATATTAAATTCGAAAGATGCAGAACCTTACAAAAGGTTTTTTTCTTGGAGTTAACGCAATTCTAGTGCAAAAAATTTGCGAATTCCCCAGTTCTGTTACTTGAGATTCTTCACTTGATTTAAAACAATATTCTTCAAACTTTATGTTTGTAAATGGGTTTGTTGTGATGCAGGCATAAACCTTGAGATGGTATTCATGAACTCCATAAGATGCATTTCAAAGCGTCGAACGGCCTCCAAAAACGCGTTTGATTAAAGATTTTTTTTATGTGTTTTAGAAAGGAGGGGTGGATAAACAGCATATTAAGAGATTTTAAAAAGATATCAAGGTATATCCTACACAGCACTCTACTTTTGCCAAAATCAATGTAAAAGCCTCTGCATTACTGTGTGCAGTGAGTGTGGAGAACTCTGGGGGTGTAAAGTGCAGGTCACAAAGGGCTTAACATTCTTCAGATGTATCCTTGTTGTTACTACATTGAGATTTGTAACGTACTGTTCCAAATGGGGGCAGTTTAAGTCTTTTACGAAGATCGGAACGGTGAAAATTTGGTCAATTTAAGAGATACATTTTTCTGCATTGAAACAAAGATTAATATATTATTCAAGGTATTTTAATGATAAATGTTATCAGTAACGTAGAGCGTGCAAGTATTATGACTTGAAGTAAACAAAATAACAAAAAGACATGTATTTCTTTTATATAACTTGTTTTGAAAACTGAGAAAATTTATTATCATATGAAAGGAAATGTTAGATCTTTATTTTCATACTGAATTATCTACGATAACTTTGTTTATCTGAACAAGACGAGCTCACGGCGGGTGTGACCGGTAGACAAGGGATGCTTACTTCTCCATGGTACCTGGTCTTCACCTTTCATGTTACCGTAAACATGTTTGACTAATTAATAGCTATTGATTAACATCGCTTTTTTAAACTTTTTGTAGGATTTATTTAATTGTAGATTTATTCTAATTGGTTCTGATAAAAACTACATAAATAACTAAAATTCAGGAATATCCTTTTGATACTTTTGTGTTTCAGGATGGTGAACCACAGAAGTCCCCGGACGGTCCTTACTTAAATAGAAGTATCCCGTTACCAATGGAAACCTCTTACACCAGTACTGAGAATCTCATTCCCAAACAGGAGAAAAATGTAACTTCAAACTTATATTAAAAATATGTATATGTCGGAAGTTGGTAAATCACATCTAATGAAAAAAAAATTTAATTTTATATGATATTTTTTTTTTATTTTCAGATTCAATCAAACGGAATCGTGAACCCCGTGATGTCCAGTATAAACATCGAAGCTCCTTCTTGGAGCGACACAAGTAGTGACAACATGAAAGACCTCGCCAGTTCTAGGGCCTCAACTCTGACAAGGGAAACTAAATCTGATGATCCCAGTTCCCTGGAGAAAAGCGTCAGCTACAAAGAGGCTAAGGAGAAGAGCAACTCTTTTCCAAGATATACTAGTCTGTCTTCCCACAGTGAACCACTCAAAGAACCAGCTCCGTACGTAGTTTTCTTTATTGCTTCTAAAATGAATTAAGCGCTAAAATGATAAGTGAACTAACTCTTGCATTAAGTGAAATCACTTATTTTCGGGGGGAGGGGGTAAATTTTCTTCAAACCACTAAAATCTGCACTCACGAAAATAAGTGATTTTACAGTAATTATGTTTTATTTTGTAGCAGTGTGACATTGCCCTCCAAGCCCTCGTCTCTGAAGCCTTGGGATGTATTTAGAGTAGCTTCACGTGAAGTTTCAAAAACTATGGATGGCAACTATGCTAGTCTTTTCAGAAAAGGCACCAAAGTTGTTGTGAGCATTGTGTTAACTATTCTAATCTTACTTACAACAATGATAAGCAAAAGTTCTCTTTTGCTTATTACTTCGAATGTGTATTCTAATGTGACTCTTAAGTGCTCCAAGAGCGGTAAACATGGTCATGTGACTTCCTGTCGACGAGTCGCACCGGATATAGAAGGCGCTGCCTTTCAGCCTTCACAGACAGTAGAAGTTACCTGGCTTTGGTCATTATTTTTGGTGACAACAACACCCTATGTTTTCACGTTTGCAAAGTGTGTATGGAGAATATTATTCAAGAAAACAAGAAACCCAACGTTTGCCATATTGATAATAGTAAGAAATATTGCAATCAGAACTCAAACGACGATTTCACGAAAATATCATTATTTGTAAATATTGAATAGCCTGTATTTATTTTTCATAATGCTTGTTTCTTGATGTTGTAGACGTTGGCTATAGAGACCCTTCACTCCATTGGAATCTGTATATTTGTATTCTACGTCCTCCCAAACCTGGATCCTATTCGTGGATTAATGCTTACATTTGGTACTGCATTCTTTCCTTCGTTTTTGAAAATGTTCGACAGTCAGAGGGAAACAGGACGACGGTTTTACATAGTCGTAGCAGATATTCTCGCTATGTTGATCCAAGCCTCTGTTTTGCTACTATGGCCTCTTTTAAATATAATAAGAGGCATGGATTATGAACAAAGTTGGGGTATCTTTGCGTCCCTACTTCTTATATCATTAGGATGGTGGGAGAATTACGTAAATAAATTCACACATCTGGGAAAACTTGGAAGTTCTTTGTTGGAGTTAAAAAGAAATATTCGTCGAAGTAGAACAAAGCTTTACGCTGCAGTAAGTGTTTGGAAAGTAATTCTAACTCTGGGAATTATGTTGGCTCTGATGAGCAATCTCAAAGGTTCTTGTGTGAAAGCATTGTTCTTTAGAGGACACAATCGCGCTGCGGAATGTCCACATTTAGCATATCCAGAGGACGCCTATAATGTGGAAAGTTCAGCGTACAAACAAGATCCATTCTGGGTAGCAGCCCTTCAGATTGTATGCTGCCTTCTCTGTTATACTTTCGCTAAATCCGCATGTAAAATCATGCTCCAGGTCGTCAGTTTCTCCCTCCCACTGATGTTGGCAGCACCAATAATGGCAGGTCTGTTCATAGAGAACTGTGAGTCCTGGAAAAGTTCAATTGTCGGCGGTTCTGATTTGATGCCGGATTACTTATACTGGACCTGTGATATCCATGGTGTATCTGTCGATTTTCTACTGAAACTGGTAACGGATTATTATCTTCCCGTTACTCTGATATGGTGGTTGTCCTTCATGTGGGTAACTTTTCACATATGGATTCCAAGGGTAGAACGTTTGGTGCAAACGGAGAGGTAAGAAACTGTTAGAGGATTGTATTTAATACATAAAATACATGATTCTGACAATTTCTAACGTTAGCTAGAAACATCTGTTTCATATTGGATGTTTTACTAGAGAAAGACAGTGATTGCAAACTGCAATTAAACTGTATGATAAGCGTGATGACTTCAACTTTTCTAACTTCCCTTATTATGTAGCAATATACAATTATCATTTGAATATGGAGTTTATGTCTCCCAGTTGATTCGATACGCAAGACCATGTTCTGAGTACCAACAATTTCTAAAGACAGACTTTTGACAAATAAGTTTGAGATACAAGGATATCAACAATCTCGTTAAGGGACATTTTGCAAATTCTATGGTCGATACAGTGACCTTGTTTGCAAATACAATTTCATAATTATCTACGGATTTTTTCATTTACCTGATCATGACAAAGAGCACACAGCTGGTTTAACCGGTCGACAGGGGATGCTAACTCCTCCATGGAACCTGATCCCATCTCTCTTTTTAGAGGTCCGTGTTGGCTCTGCTCATAATTTGTGTAAATGGACTGTTATGAATGATTTTCACATTTCACAGAGATCTAACTTGATTTTAATCAGGTTGTTTGTTCAGCCATTATATTGTGGAGTGATGCTTGAGCAGTCATTGATGCTAAACAGGAGAAGAGATGACAGGGACAGAGACTTTCGTTCGGGGTCAGAAAAGGTATCAATTGATAAATCGGTAATAAAGAATAAAAACATGGGACTTTTTTCGTCCATGGGTTATTTTTTTCTTTATAAATGCATATTCTTTTAACTATTTTGCTTATCTTAATTTTGCAGCAAAAACGATTTGGTTTTGAATCTCCCGAGCTAAACGTCAAGAGAGACATAGACCGTGGTGAACTGCCAAATCGGAGATCAATAAAAACCGATCGCACACCAATGATCTACGTCTGTGCGACAATGTGGCACGAAACTCAAAAAGAAATGATTCAAATCCTGACCTCTCTGTTTCGGTAAAATAATTTTAATTTTATCAAACTATCAGAGTGTTTATAATCATTTTTTAAGATACATAAAAATTTCAAATAAATGTACTTTTTGTGCTTTCAGACTAGACAATGACCAGTGTGCCAGGAAAAATGCACAAAAATTTTTCGATGTTGTTGACCCAGATTATTATGAATTCGAGACCCATGTATTTTTCGATGACGCTTTCGAGGCACATGATGATGATGATTACCTGTATCACGTTAACAGTTTCGTTAAACAACTGCTTCTTGTGATGGACGCAGCGGCAAGGTGTCTTAATTTTCATTGATAATTGAAAACAAAATGAAAGAAAATAAGGTTTTCATAACTTACTTTTAAAGTATGAAATCTTCCTTTTGATTCATGAGAACCACACTGCAATTCGTTAAACAAACCTTTTTTTTGGTATCCCTGAGTACTTGCTCAAGTAAAACATTTCTACTTGTTACAGTAAAGTTCACAAGGTACCAGTTAAAATACCTCCTCCTACAAAATACCCTACCCCTTATGGAGGTCGACTGGAGTGGACACTACCAGGTGGTAATAAACTGTACGTCCACATGAAGGACAAGACGAAGATACGCCACAAAAAGAGATGGAGCCAGGTATGTATATCGCCATTCAAATAGCCTGAATGTTACTACACAGATACACGCATTTCATTGAGGGATTTCAAGTTAAACTATAGAATAATATATTATTCTCGCCCACAGGTAATGTACATGTACTACTTACTGGGTTATAAACTAGTGGCACAACCACTGGATGCCCGACGGAAGCAGACGATTGCTGACAATACATTTATCCTAGCCCTAGACGGAGATGTAGATTTCAAACCTTCAGCTGTACAACTTCTTGTCGACCGTATGAGAAAGAACGATAAAGTGGGTGCAGCTTGTGGACGTATTCATCCAATTGGAACTGGTATGTTATATCTCAAAACTAGATTAATATAATGGAAAAATGCATATATGTAAGCGTATTTTTTTTTACGTTTTTGTTGACATTTTTCATCAGGTCCAATGATTTGGTATCAGAAGTTTGAATATGCCGTCAGCCATTGGTTGCAAAAAGCTACGGAACATTTAATTGGATGTGTCCTTTGCAGTCCTGGTTGTTTCTCATTATTTCGTGCGTCTGCATTGATGGATGATAATGTCATGAGGAGATATGCTACTACATCATCAAATGCACGTCACTATATCCAGTTTGATCAAGGTAAATGTTCATCATTGGGGAGGCATTTGACTACCTTTTATCCGTTTTCTCTGTTATATCATCAATAACATTGATAAATTTGACTAAAAGCTATATCTATGTGTCCTTTTACTTTTGAAGGAGAAGATCGATGGCTGTGTACTCTGCTCCTCCAGCAAGGCTACAGAGTGGAGTACTCCGCTGCCGCCGACGCTTTAACTTATGCACCTGAAGGATTCGGAGAATTTTACAATCAGAGACGTCGCTGGTCACCATCTACAATGGCAAACATCATGGACTTACTAATGGACTGGAAAAATGTTATTCGCATTAACGAAAACATTTCGTTCCTATACATCATGTACCAAGGTTTATTATTCCTTTCTTCAATAGTGACACCCGGAACTATTTTCCTTCTTATCGTCGGAGCTCTGAACAGCGCATTTAAGATAGATTTGCTTTCTTCCTTTATGATAAACATCGTTCCACTTATTCTTTTTCTGCTGAGTTGCTTTCTCCTGAAGTCAAAATGGCAGGTTAGCAAATGTTGATATTTTGTATATAATTGTTTTGTTTTTATTTCTAAAATATTATCATTAAGATTGTGATTTCTTTTAATCAATCCATGTTCAAGAAAGCAAAATAACGTTACGAAGTAAAGAAATGAGAGAACAGAAGAAAAGAATTTACAAGAGAAATACTTTTCTCGTTTTAATAGCTCCTACTTGCACAGTTACTGTCGCTGATATATTCCCTCCTAATGATGGTGGTGGTCGTAGGTATTGGATTAGAGATGAAGCGAGAGGGACTCTGTTCACCGACAACAATATTTATGATATTTGTGGTCGGTACCTTCATCACTGCAGCAGTTCTTCATCCACAAGAGTTTTATTGTATTGTTCATGGAGCTCTGTATTTCCTCTGTATTCCAAGTATGTCGATGCTACTTATGATCTACTCCATCTGTAATCTTCACGTTGTATCCTGGGGAACTAGAGAAAATGCCATAGCAGCTCAACCAAATGCCAAGCCGGAGAAAAAGAAAGATGGTAAAATTGCCTCGATTTTGAATAAATTCTCTAGCTCTAGAAACACAGAAGATAGTGAATACGCCTTCTCTTTTGGAAACTTATTCAAGTGTCTGTGCTGTCCTCAGCCAAGACCTGATGATGCAGACAAACGATTTGAGGAGATTTTGAGTAAACTTGAGGTGAGTCAGGCGTGTTTATTGTATATGCAAAAAATTGTATTTTTACAAGTTTAAAGAATATAAAACGTGTCCAATTTAAAAACAAAAGTTTTCTATGCTGTGTTGTATTTTAATGAAACAGAGTATGGAAAAGATTATGGCTCTTCCAAAAGATATTCAAGAAAAGATAATGATTGATGCCGAGACTAATGTATCAGAGGTTGACATGAAAGACAATGACAATGGTTTGAACAAGCCCGCTCTGGACAATGGAGATGTACGATGTAAGTTTATTTCAAGTATGCTATGAGATTGATCACTGTTGGTTATCTTCATCTTTTACATGACAAGGATTTACCTAGAAGCACTATAGCATATGCTACAAGCATTAATTCAATGAAAAATAATAATGAAATTGTTATACTTTTTTATTCTTTCTAAAAGTTAACCCAATTTACCAGTCCAAAATGACTCCACATGAAGACGACACACCCTTCTGGATTCATGACGATGATATTGGTCACGGAAGAGTAAGATTTCTGAGCAAGGAGGAGAAGAATTTCTGGTCCGAACTTATATCCAAATATCTTTATCCTCTTCAACACAATGAAAAACACAAGAAACAGATGGAAACCGATCTTCTGGAAATGAGAAATAAAATGAGCTTGATGTTCTTCATGATGAACGCGCTTTTCATAATAATAATCTTCAGTTTGCAGTATTCCAATGCAATTGGTGACTCTGGCCTTTCAATTCCTCTACCCTGCCACGATTTAATCAGTAACAAACCACTTTCCTTAGAACCAATTTCACTTCTCTTCATGGCGATTTTTGGAATTGCGCTCTTAATTCAATTTATTTCGATGTTCTTCCACCGACTGGCAACGTTTTTGCATATTATGTCAACAACTGAAGTGAACTGTATGAAGCCAAATCAGAATGAAATCAACCAAATGGATCTTGCTTCTAAAATATCTCTTGTAAAAGAATTCCAGAAATTTGAAGATGACGATGACACCAGAAGTATTTCTACGGTTGGAAGTGATCTTGATGAGGATAGCAGTATTACTCAAGACGACTCGCCAAAAATAAAGAGGAAGAAGACGGTGATCCGAATTACACGAAGAAAAAGAAACCAGACACCACATTCTGGTAATCTAAGTGGTAAATTTTTGAAAAATTTCATGGAATTTGCAAAAGATTTGGAAAATGGCGGAAATGGTAAAAGTAATGAAAAGAGCAGTGGTAAGAAACGAAGAAGTAAGAAGGCAAAGAAAGCTATGGCATCTTTAGAACAAAACAAGGATATGGTGCTAAATAAAGCCCATGTCATTAAGTCGCGATGGCAGAGACTTGCAAAGGCAACAGGTAATACGTCAAGCGACAAATGGGGCTCACTATTGCGCCTTGCTGCACAGTCAAGGACAAGCTTAAACACAATTACAGAAGATGACAAAAGAAATTCATGGATACGAGGAATTTCGAAGATGACAAGATCTAACAGCGAGTTTTCTGTGAATACACTTCCTGATTTAGGATCATTGTCACAAAGAAATAGTTATGCGGAACCTATTTTGAATATGATAACAAGTGAGTTAGAGAATGTGGACAGTGTTAACGCTGGGAGACGAGTCACAACAGCGGAAATCAACAACCTCCAAAAGTCAAGATTTCCCGCCGAAAATCTATATGACGCAGTAGAAGAAGTAGACTCTAGCGCAGATTCTGATTATGAAGAAGCAGATCTTTCGTCGTCTTCAAAACATTCCTCACCTCCCGGTACAAATAAGGGGGGATCTAAAAGTGTAGAAATGAGTATAATTAAATCGGATGTGACAGAAAATAAACAAGAAAGTGCGAAAGAAAATGAAACTGCTAATGGAGATACTCATCTGTAGTATTGTACATTGAAATGTCAATTTATGTGCCAAGTTAAATCTGTAGGAAAGAACAGTTTGAAACTTTCCTTCTTACTGTATTAAAGTAAATAGGTACTCTTTAGAGTAAGATAGCCGCATGACCCAGATACATGTCCAATATTTATGGGAGTTACTCTCGAATTCTATGCTAGCATGGCAACGGGCCTGTACCAAGTTCTTATCAATAAAGAAAATGTCAAAAGATGAAGGAAATTTAACTTCTGTTTACGGCTGCTCCACTGAATTCAGACGATTGTATAATTATATGGCTATGGGCGTCACAACATCTATATACATCATGGTATACAAATATTTCAATATTTATTATGATGTAGAATATTGATATTTGCTTCGTGATATTCCATATATCATTGATATTTTGATAGAAATGATTTGCTGTGTTTGATTGCTTCTATTTCATATCGACCATTTCAGGTCGTCTTGGGATTAACCTGATATTATGTACATAATTTAATGCCATCTCAATGCTTTCAATTCAAAAATTACCCGTAGTCAAATGTTATTTATTCAAATGTGTAAGTTACAGAAAATCCTTCTGTTTTTACCCATCATTTGTATGTTGATATGTTCACTTGTATGTTGATATGTTCACTTGTATGTTGATATTAAACAATGCTGTTAATTGTGTTTTGTTAGATTTATTACAAAGGAAATGTACATGTCAAAATAAAGAGGAGTGGAATATCAGAAGAAAAAAAACGTCATTACTATCACCTGATTCACAGTAATCTTGCCGACAAATCTAAATCTAAAATGAAGTATTTTACTGACGTCTCAGCCAAGGCTTATGAGGAACTGTGAGAAACAAGCCTCAGATGGATGATGTTTGGATTCATTGTCTTTTGGATATTTTACTTAAGTTAGATATGTTTATTACCTAATGCAACAGATTTTGTTGTTTTATTAAAATGTAGTATTTTTGACTATTTTTCCCCGTATATTCGTTCCTCCGTACTATTTCAGTAACTTCAGCGTTATATATTAGACCGCCAGTCAATAGTTTGAAAATTTCGGACTTGTAATCTTGCAGTGCCCATATATTAGGTAACGGCCTCGGGCAATAGAACACTTTGAGCTGTTCCAGCACCTTGGGTAAAATATTCTGGTCTATTGACTGAGCAGACATAAGAGAACTGTATAATATTCTTTGATTGTATTTAAGGATCTTAATTTTAATAAAGTTCGTGTACCCATTCGTCCAAGAGAATTAACTTTCTGATGTTTCAATTTCATAGAAAGCTTATCCTAAATTTTTAAAGATACATTGCACAAAAAAGAGATTAAAAATTGTAATGGAAGAGAACTTACACTGGAGAGATAACTATTCATCCTTGTTTGGTTCAAACTTCAGATTGTTATTTCCTGTATGAATTCCGCTGTCAGTTTGTATAAATTCCGCTGTCAGTTTGATTCTCTTCCTGTGCAAAAGATAGTTGGAACTTTTGAAACCTATTCAGGTATATCTTACTTCCTTATCCCAATAATAGTATATCGTTTTTAAACGCATTTTTTAATTTAAAATCTAATTTACAGTATCATTATGTAGCATGAAGTATTAATAGAATGGCCTAAATCACGCAATACTGAATACCTTGTATACTTCCTGTTCTTTGGATGACTTTTCACGAAATAAAAATAAACACCGAGTCTGATGTATATCATTTTTAATGATATACATGTATAAGATGGAAGGAGGGTTCTTTCAGATATAAGTATATGCCTGCAAGATATTACAGAAATGATTCAAATGCTTTCAATGAGATTCAGGTCGATTTGTATCCCTGTGCAAAAAAGAACCTAATATTTCTAGGACTTCTTGATTATGATGCAGTGTAGCGTTCAGTTTATCGTCTTTTCTTACAGATGTTGCTATAATTGTATAATATATGTGCATTCCATTTTTCAACATATTTCGATAGACGATTTAATGCTCTGTTTCTTAATTTTAAAGAGGGGGCCTGAGCCTTTTGACCCTACGCATGGCCAGGCAAAATTTATCACCAGGGTTGGACCGATGCCATAAAAAAATGGTTTAAAAAATCTTAGTTCTACGTCACATACCGTACGGAATAAAAAATAATGTGTGTTTCCCATCTTCACTTTCTGTTAAAAAAAATCCTCAATTAGCATCAGTCATGTACAGGGGTGAGTAAGATAACTAATACTTGTAGAGTACATTCTCCATTAATTTTTGGAAATCTTTGTGCTTTCTTTATCAAAATTAAATTTTATAAATTTAAATGTGATTTGGTTAAATGAAAATGTATAAATACTGGGTGAAAATGAAGAATATATGCATATTTCATTTTTCAGTGGCATAAAGATAAAGGATTCCTCTTGGCACTTATGTACATACCTTGAAAATTAGGTCTCGATATGTGGAAATGACCAAGGATTCTTGATTATACTGATTTAGAAAAAAGGAGTATATGAGATTGTAAAAAATACATATCATAGAAACCATCCAGTATAAGGTCAATCAATATTAGATTATTGACTTAAATAACTAATCTTTTTTTTTTTCATTTTTCAATTAAAAAAAAATGGTAAAAATTGGTACTCCTTTGAAGTAGCATGTTCTTTCTCAATCTAAAAGGATATATTAATTTTCAGGCAATAAGAATATGTAAAGGTGACAGGTGATAGTTTCACACTTAAGGCCAGACCAAAACCTGTGTTTTAGGGTCTAATTACTACTGGTATTTGAGTATAAAGTTTTCATTCATTATAAAATACAGTCATATGAATATTCAAAAAATAATATCCGATTCCATAGATAGGTACTTCAGTTTATTAAATGAGCGTCTACTTTTTTGTAATGTAATAATTTTATTACAGTTCTTTAGAGAACCTATCCGCACTATAATTGTCCCGTCCTAATGAATACCTCCTAAAACGTATCTGTCCCGTCATACTTAAAACCGGGCATATTCTGGTGATTAGTTATAACCTATTCCTAAAATTCTCTAGTAATGTCAAATAATTATGGTTTTCTCACTTTAACTTACCCTGCCCTAAACTAAGCCTACCCTCCAAAATTAAATTCTGGTAAGAAAGTGTATTCAAAGTTAATTCTTTTCATTCATTCTTGCTTTATTTTCAATCTGTTTTATTTTATGCTATATATGTCGCAACAACACGAATGCCCCCACAGGAAGCCAAAATTTAAAATGCCATATTTAGTTTTAAATTTGTAATCGAACTTGACCTGTATTTTCTGGTAGAATACCTGCACATGCAATTCCAACCTTATACATACATGTACATCCCTACAAAAGTTAGAGAGTGGAAACTGAGTATTTCTAATTTTATTTCCTAAGTTCAAGAGGGATAACTCTGTCAAAAATCATCAAACCACGACTAAATTCGAATTTAACCTGTATTTACTGGTAAAATATATACCTGCATATGCAGTTTCAACATTATACATACATCTCTACAAAAGTTAGAGAGCGGAAACTGAAAATTTCTTTTTATTATTTTTTTTTAATTTATTTTTTCTAAGTTTAAGAGGGATAACTCAGTCAAAAATCATCGGAGCATGACCAAATTCGAACTTGACCTGCGTATTCCTATGACGTATCCATATTTCAAGTTTGAGTTGAATGTGTGGCGAGATAATGAAAGTCAATGATGACAGAAAGACAAAATGAAGGAACAGGGTAACAAAGGGTAACACTGTATGCCCCCAGCCATTTCATGGCGGGGACATAAATAGAGAATCAGCCTATTGTATATTTATAGTCATTGTATATTTATCATATTAACCTTATCCAAGAATTCATTCGAATGTAATTTTATTAGAATGTACTAGAGGTTCAATGTAACATTAAGCTTCATTCGAGATGCTAACACATTTAAACTTGAAATGTTTCGTGGGAGTCCTGTTGACTTCATATCTACTGAGCCCCTTTTCTTCGGCTTTTAGAGAGGGAAAAGTTTCCGCTAACTTGCCAGAGAAAAAAGTAGTAAAACTACTAACAAATAGGGATATCACTGCCATTGTGTTAGGTAATGCGGAACTTCTGGGTCATTTGGTCATTTATGGTCTACGGTCCAATAAGTCTCAATATTTACTTTACCCTCACTGTTAATGTCTACATTAAGGTGAGCTTATCGCATTGAAAGGAATGTTTCTCACTGTTCAGGAATGACCTAAAGGTACAGTATTCTAAATATCATGGTTCCAGGGGTAAATGTTAACTACATCAATTAAAAATTGACAGATAAAAAATATATGAATTGATACTTTTTAAAAGAAAAAAATGTAAGGTCTTTAGAATTTATATATATATATATATATATATATATATATATATATATATATATTGCAAAATAAATAATTTTTTAAGAAGAAAGGGGGATATGAATATTTCAAATCGGGTAAGAGGTTACATTTTTACGTAAAGGCATGAAGAGGTAAGCAGCGAATCTTTTTTATCAAAATATACATTAAAAAACGGACAGAGTAAGGCATCATTGTTTAATTCTAAAAAAAAATGTGTAAACATATTTGCAATACTGCATAATCCGCAGAGATATTATCGATTTTTTTTTTCATGCACAGATTATTTTTAATTTTACAGAAAGTAAAGAGAAGACGAGGCACTAGGGCGCTCTGTGATTTCTGTATTGACACAACACAGACATGCCTGTATTTCTCAGGTATAGTACGTTCAGTATGATTCTATTTGATCGCAAAAGTTCCCACTATCTGTACATCTTACTGGATTGAGTTAAAAGAATGCAAGTATTTAGAGTTAGAAATTTTAGCTTTTAATTCCCTTACAAAATCTCTACAGAATAAGCTAATGCATTACCAGTTTTTAAAATGCTAGTATCCTGTTTAGAACTTTTTGTAAATCGAGTGACGAAGGCAAAATGAAGATTCGTGACATGTCTGTCCACATGGGACTTACATATATGATTTACATAGCCAGAAAAAGAAAAACACGAGGGTATGAATTTGTTATTTTTCCTAGTTGTACTTTCAATGAAATTGTATATCTTTATTAAAGAGTCATGCATTTGAAAAATCAGTAAATCCAAACAAACGTTTTAATCCTTTATTTAAACTGTTCAGATTGTTTGGTATTTCGTTCATTTAAAATCAGGGTCTTCCTTCAATTGTAAACCTATAGGGTTTGAGACAATTATTTTAATCAGAAAATATATATACTAAACTATTTACAATGTACTTAAGATAGAGTGCATTGACCTATAATCCAATCGGGATATGAAAGTGTAAGACTTTTCCGTAAGAATAAACAAACCTGGTAATCGGATTAGGGACAATGTAATCTACCAGGATGTTTATCTATCTTGGGACGACGATGCAGGAACAGTAACGGAACATTGCTAAAAATTATCTTAACATTATATTAACTTTTGCACAATACTAAAACGTTGGACTGAAGCTTATTAAAGTTTATGTTTCAATTACAATTTATTTTATAAAATTCCAGGATTTTGTACAAATTTATTGAATAACTTGTTTACTTGAATCTGATTTGTCTATTTCATACGTAAATGAGTATTATGTATTGTACATTATAAAGTACGATCTACGGCGCTCTTCGGGGGAGCCACTATACGATCATCTGTACGACTCACAACTTTCAGTTAATAAACTCTTTGCAAACATTTTGGTTTCATTGGCTTACACAATTAAACCTTTTCACTTTCTACGTAACTGATATACTGGATACAGATATTTATTCTCAGTCCTGCATGCGGGTCCGCTTCCATATACTGACAAACCGACAATTATTTTTGATCATTGAAGACTCAGTTTGGGTTATGCAGCAATTGCAATTCAATCCGCCCTTTTTTCATCATACTGATATTTGTATCATGCTATGATTTTTTTTTGAATTTACTGGACGATGTGTAGACAAATTTCTCAGTATGTCAACTTCCTCAAATCATCATAGTAAATACCAATGAGATCAATTGGACCATACTCCATTTTCATTTTTAACAATCATTTTCTATAGTAGATGATCATTTTTTACCGATTAGATACCAATAACCTAACCTATAAATTATAGAACTGTACTCTATAACTGTAAATTACTTCCAATTTAATTAACCAACATTTTTTTAAAGAAAAAATTCAAGATGTTGTTTTGAGTTGACTAAGCTCTAACCAAAACAAGGCGGTAAGACATCTCAAACATGCAACAATCTGTTACTGATAACGAGAATAGTAGTTTTATGTTAGGTACAAAATCTCTTAATTCTAGATACCTACCTACCTACCTAGTCCTTGTTGCACCAGGAGGCACATCGGGCAAGGACTAAGGATTTCTACTCTTCTCTATCTCTAGCTATCCTTTCCACCTCTCCCCAGGTAAGTTTCATGTCTCTAAGTTCTTGCTCGACAGCTCGTCTCCATGTTATTTTTGGTCGGCCTTTCCTCCCTTTCCCTTCTGGGGTTGATCTGAGTGCCACTTGTTGACTTTCTTAAGACGTGGCCGATCCATCTCCATCTGTAATTTTTCAGTAATGTTTTCATATCCGTTGTTTTCGGTACTTCATGCAGAATTTTGTTGGTTATTTTTGCTGACCAAGATGTTTCCGATGCACCCATTATGGAAGCTTGATGGATTGTTTATGTCACTTTCTGTCATCCTCCAGCATTCAGCACTATACATTAAGACAGATAGTACACAGACAGCTAATTCTAGAAAAGAAGCACAATATTGTTAATTTTTATTGACATCAACCCAGTGAAAGCAAAATCTACAATATATCATATCTCCATTGTGATGCAGGGAAGACACCGGAAAAATCCAGCCACATTACGTGTTGCGGTGTTTTTGTTAGATACGTTTTTGGTCTTATGGATACTTTCAACTGAAAACTTAAAGGCAAATTTGTTATACTGCTTTGCGTCTTTAAAATGAGAGTTGATTTAGACATTTACTTGTTGTAGATATCTCACCCTTTACCAAATTATTGCGTCATTTCCGGTATCATCGGGTAGAATAGCACTGCTGGTGATTGACGTGCAGAATTGCTTCCTCCCAACCGGAACTCTTCCAGTCACAGACGGTGACCAAGTCATTCCCATCATCAACGACATTCGTAGAGAGTACAGAGACCTGTTTTCATTGGTCGTGTTCTCGCAGGATTGGCATTGTGTGGACCACGTGTCATTTGCTTCACAGCACAATGGGATGAAAGCGTTTGACACAACTCTTCTGCAGTATGACGAACAAGGTCATTTAATTTTCTTTAATTTGCTGTGTAGTATATTGACATTGATACATTTATTAGATGCCAGCTTAAATGACCAGAATGTCGGCATTGTCTGGGTTTTTATATTAATATAAAACACAAAGTTTGACTGTTTTGAAATGAAATTCCTCAGATGGACAACATTCCATTTTATTATTTACACATTTAGTCATGGACATTGGTGTGGTGTATTTCCAATATCCTGATAATTCAATAATATTTGTTAGCAGAATTATACGTATTAACAATACTATGTTTCAAAATTCCAGATAAGATAACTTTGAAGTCAAGGAAAGATGTAGATTTTAAATTATGTTCCTACTGTAGGCAATTTGTGCAACTCATCTTCACAATGTGATGTGAAGTACAATATTACACAAGCATTGTGGCCAGATCACTGCGTCAAGAACACTACAGATGCTGAATTTGCTGTAAACATCACGAAAGAAAACAGTGATATCATCGTCAGAAAAGGTTATCATTGTGAGGTATTAATTCATAAATATTCATAACATCATGAATATTCATTCAAATGTGTCTTCTTTTCGTATTGATTAATCGGATAAATTTCTACATACTTTAAAGAATTTTTTTACCCTATATTTATTGGATTATTTATGTAAAGTTGCGCATTGCTAACAAATACTAGTTCTTGATAAATATTGTACAATTACCGATCAAATCAATTCGTAATAAGTTAGTTTGGTAGTTGATAAATTGCATTGGAAAATGCTAATGGAACCTGGTACCTGTATTCATAACCACAAAATCAACAACAACAAACAAAAATTCGCTAGGTAGAGTGTTGTTTGTGTCGCTGAAAAATTGAATGAACTCCCCTTTAATTTTAGATAGATTCCTATTCTGCATTTTTTGATAATGGAGGATTCAGCCAAACAGAGCTTGGTGCCAAACTGAAGGAAGAGAAAATAGAAACTGTCATTATAACCGGACTGGCGTTGGATTATTGTGTTTATTATACTGCCAAGGATGCAAAGAAGCTAGGCTAGTTAATTATCGAATTCAGTATTTTATTTATAAAACATGTCATTACACAGTTTATCAAGATAATACTCAAATACTTTATGCATGTTACATAAATGTGCATGATTTTCCCTCGATTCTATCTTCTAATTTTTACTTAAAAAACAACAAAACAGTTCTTATATTTACAAAATTATAAATATTCATATTCTTTCACTATAATCTATTCTACTTCATCGTTGCTTTAATTTTAAGATACACATACATTACACCTTTGCTTTATTTTTCTTTTTTCTTAGGATATAATGTATATGTCGTACAGGATGCCACACGAGGTGTATCGTATGCGACTTCGGTGGACGCCATTACAGACATGGACTCGCGAGGTAGGTGGAGTTTGATGTCATACTGTTAAAATTCAATGAAAAAGCTTCATATAGTTTCCCCAAAGAAGATGGGCGTACTTGGCATGCGATCTGCAGGAATCACGCGTACGAAACATTTATGGTTTAAATGTCCACGATTTGATCGACTGACCAGAAGTGGAGAGACTTTATAAAGTTACGAACATAAGAAATATCTATTAGAATTTCACTGAAATAGCTTTCCAGTTTGAAATATTTTAGTCCACTTATCTTAATAGTTACGATAACACATATATACTTCACATAAATGATAAATATCAAAAAAGATAATAGGGTATGTTATAATTATGAAATAAAGTTTCAGTAGGTTTGAAAATTGCTCTTGCTCTCCGTGCAAGAGAACCAAAATTTATCTCTTTTGAAAGTTATAAATCAGTAAATAAAATTCAACTGATACACGACTTGATTGTTTGTATAAAAAAGAAAAATAAATAAATTGCTCCATGCGAGGATCGAACCAAAAACTTTTCTATTCCTAAGTGCGGTGGACTGGTAACGCATACTACTGAGCTATCACCGCTACACAAACACTTCGGAATTTAAAACGAGAAAGAAGCAACGCATTTACACATTAGTATTCCTTTGGAAAAAGTTCATTTTTTATAGTCTATGGGTCTTCTCTCCATTTTTACAAATGTTTGTTCGTTTTTTTTAATACAAATGCACACAAATGTAGTCTCTGGGTCTTCTCTCCATTTTTTACAAATGTTGTTCGTTTCTTTGAATACAAACACACACAAATGTCTTTTTAAAATCGTGGAGAGATGACGCAGAGGTAGCAAATTCTTAGAAAAACGTGGTTAAAAATGTAACATTTGGTACCAAATTACTCATCTGGCTATGTTTCAAGTTATTTTTAGGAAATCAAAACACACTATAGGGAAAATATTTTCCTTTCCTATTTCATAGGAACACAATACATCAAATAAATGTTAAAATTTAATTTTACAATTCAATAAAGTTTTCCCTTTTCAAGTGCGCCCCGATTCCTGCCGAATGTCAATCAAAATCGCCCTCGTTCTTTTTGCAATTTGAGATTCCATACAAGGGGGAGATGAATTAAATTTTAATGTTTCATATATAAAAAAAAATAGAACAAAAACGTTTTATTCGAAACTTAACGAATATACATGTAATAATATTTTTCCAAAGGTATCCACATGGTGCAGTCAAGTCAGCTAAAAGCGATTATGGATGGTCTCACAAGCTCAGGAAATATTTTGCAGATTTCTGGTTTTTCTTGGAACAAAATAGTTTTTGTTTTTATTGGGATATATCTGTATCTGTTGGTACCTCTCTAAACTATTCCAATAATTGATAAAAGTTAAACTTGAAAGTGTGACTGGGAAATTTACACACCGTCTAGTTTGTGTAATAACACAGCAATAAGTACTTAATACTTATATAATGGCGAGTTACAATGGCGATATCAACGTAAGTATCCGTAATTAGAGACACAGACATGTTTATTGTCCGAAGTGTAGACCATCGAGGAATATTCCTTAAATCCTCATTATTCCAAGAGTACAATCCCGCTGTTGTAACTAAAGACTGATCACAAATAAAGTAATGTTTTGCCTCCTGATTGTGATATTTTTGACATGCTGTGTCTGATGACAGCTGAATCACTTCAAGTCATCCGACAATTTTTGGAGTTGTATTGTATATTCTTTTTAAAATATATATATATATATATATATATATATATATATATATATATATATATATATATATATATATATATATATATATATATATATATATATATATATATATATCGCATTGCCTGCCCTAGATGATTTGGACAGAAAATCTCAAATGACACTTTTTCTGTTGCAGACTACTGTTTAAATGATGCAATCATGTTTAAAATAAACAGAAAGCTCAGTAACAAAAAAGCAGCTGAGTAAAATTTGAGCTGGTATATTGTAATTTTTATTTAACGGGTGGCAGCAAATACAAAATTAAAAATATGATAACTAATTGTCATATCATAAATTTGGTTTTGAAATTTGTGACAGTAAATATACAATTTACAGAAGTTGTTATAATTGTAATTTTGTTTTGTATACTTACATGTACGGCCGCCTAAATTTAGAATTTAGCATTTGACAGAATGAAAAGTAATGCACTTGTTACCGTAGATACCTTGCCAGTAGATATGTCTCTAATTTATTTTGGTTACGATAAGATATACTAAGATATGCAAATACAGTGTAGTAATATTAAATTTAACGATATGAAATTTCAATTTAGTCACAATGTAGAATTGAAACTTAGAGGTCCAAAGACAGTCAGTCATTCTACGAAAAATGGACCAATTCAGAGTAAAAAACATGGAAAAAATAATTGTTTCAAATAGCAAAATGAACATCATAGTTCTCTAAAGGACCTATTAGTGAACTTGAAAACAAAGAATTGTCCACAAATCTGGCATCGTTAACTTTTTACAACAATTTCAAGATACCATTGATTTTAAGGTGATGTTACGGAAGTTAATGCTTGATCAAGCCTTATTATTATTTAAATAAAGCTGAATTTGACCAATTTTTCGTTTCTGATGTGCAGTAAAGAACGCTAAAGTATGATTCATGAAGTCTCGCATGAATCCGATTTTAAATTAAATTTTCGGGAAAAATATCGTTAAGGAAGTTAATTCCCAGCAATAAAAGTTAAAATTCTTTTCAATAGTTAAAATCAAAGTTTGTTTTAGGATATTAAACAAAAGTATGAAGCATTTCGCTCCCAAAATAATCAAAATTTTTATAGTTTGAATGCAAAAACTTTCCTGAATTACCGTTACGGAAGTTAAATTTTTAAGGAGGCTGGGGGGTCAACAAATTAACCACCAGATTTAACTTAATTTCTTAGATATGATACCTTAAGCTGTCAACTATCATTTGGCAAAGAAAAAATTCAAAAAATTTTTCTATATCTTCATATGGAGCTCTTCTTCTAAAGGAGATCAATATAGTCTAAAAATGGCCACAACCCCCCAGCCTCTTTAAGAGAGACAACTGTTTTTGTCCAATTCATTTTGTTATGTCGAAAATGTAATCGTGTAAAATAGCTGACTCGCAACTAGAATCGATGATATAAGGTTCCGTGGTCACTTTCAGATATGTTTCAGTTCTTTTTGAAATCTGCATTCTATGCGTGAAATTTAAAACAAAATTCGCTACGGAAGTTAATCGATTTTAAGCGACATGCTAATAAATTCACATGAAAGGAGATCTATGCATTTCTTTGCAAGAAGTGGTTTGATTTCTTTTTATATAGGATAAAAGACATTTTTTAACATTCATTACAGTCTAATCGGAACTATTTTACGACTGAAAATTTCATCTTGAAAGGAGATGGGTGAACATAACGAGCGATAAGCCTATAGTGTGACAAACATGAAGATGAAAAATTAAATTTCAATCATATCAAAATTTTCCTTGATATTTCGTCTAACATTAAAATATACTTTATGTAAAATCTCTATAATTTGCAAAAATCCCTCAAAGATTGAAATTATTTGCCTGTGAAATATTAGACACACACTAAAGCGGGCAAAAAGAGTCATTTTCGCATACTATAACACTATTTTTCGATATGAGTGGGTCTTCGCTCCACCTTTTTGAAAGTTAATCCTCAAAGTTTGCATAAAAATATACATTTTTTGGTTATCAAAAATATGGAGCAATGACCCACTATACCTTAAAAATATACTTTTATGACATAACATTCGCATCTTTTCAAGAAATACTCGAAGTCCATTAAGTCAAGGGTCATATCACAAACATGATTTAAATGCCACTCTTCATCATGACTTGTGTAGTCTAGTGGTTAGCGTGCTAGTCTCGTAAGAAAATAATACTCAGGATTTTTATTGCTAGGGTTCGAACCCCACGAATATCATATTATTTTTTTTAAAAAAAGAATAAATTTTGCCGGGAAATTTTTCCTCAGAAAAGTTTTGTTTATCATAATTTCATAAATTTCAATAATGAGAACTTTACTCTAAATACTAAATTCACAAACTGAACATGATTTTTATATATCTGAAGCTATAGGCTTTCTGCACGCTATGTTCGCCCATCTCCTTTGTATATAAATGAAGCGACATTAAGATTTGCAGTGGAATACGTTTTTCAACATTACATTATGTTAACTGCATATATATCGGCGAATATTTACAAAACCATGTGTGTATTTTAAGTCTTAGAGTTGAAATCGACCTTTAAATTTATAATTAAGATATTACAATGGTAAATTTGCAAGCGACATAAAAAAAATTCTTAATTGGTCATGTTTTCGTAGAATGACTGAGTATGCTTCCTGTGAATCGAACGAGATACATTGATATGAAAGTATGTTATTTTCGTCTTACACGTAATACAAAGAAGACAAAACTAACGCAAAGATTACTAATTCTATGTAAAAATTTTGTACCCCTGTTATGACCCCATCCGTAATACTGGAGCAATGACTTTGACAAACCTTAAATTAATGCGAGAATTCTTCCTCTCCGTGAAATTGAATTGTCGATAGTAGATAAATACAACTAACCACTACCCACAGGGGCAATGATTTGGAAACAACATGACGCTGCGGTATATTGAGATCGCTTCCCCCATATGCAAGTTAGTTTTCTATGAGTTATGAAAGTGAAAAAGGTGAAGATAATGAACAGTGATCGATCTCTTAAAAAAACTATAAACAATACAAATCTGTGAATAGAGCATAGAACACAGACCCCCGGAGGTATCAGATGTCTAGGAGGAGTAAGTTTCCCCTGTCGACCGATCACAACCGCCGAGAGCCCTATTATGTATTGATCAGGTAAACGGAAAGGTAATTATGTCATCGTGCAACATAAACATGTCAACATGCAACATACGATGACATGCAAGAAAAAGGTACTCGGGTAAGAATTTGGAAATTTTTCATAAATTTTCAAATATTATGGCTCACATGTGACTTCAAACATGCTAGATGCAATATATTTATGTTGACATGCAACTTATCTGTGTTGGCATGCAGCTTATTAATGTTGACATGCAACTTTTTTAAGTTAACATGCGAGATATGACTTATTTACATTCACATGCAACTAATTTCTATAAACATGCGAAAAAAGTTGAATGACCACATGAATAAGTTACATGTCAACATAAATAAGTTGTATGTCAACATAAATGAATTGCATATTGATATATTTATCTCGTAAGTCAACATAAATAGTTGCATGTCAACAAAAATAAGTTACTTGCTAACACAAATAAGTTGCATTTGGCATTTTGGAAATCACATATGGGCAATATTTGATTATTTATGAAAATTTTTAAAATTATCTGATTTTCTTGCATGTCAACATACTTAAGTAGCATGTTGACATACTTATATTGCATACCTGTATTTACCTAGCATGTCAACATAATCCATAGAAAAATAACTCCCATAAAGAATACAGAAATATGCTTCCACAGAGATCCTTTTACAGGATTCTTCTTGTGGCTAAGATGTTCTTAACAAAGTTTCAAATTTGACTTTCTTTGAACAACTCTTGCCCTGTGACCATGTGTAGCGATTCCGAATGTCTGTGGTATGTCTAAGAGGTATAGATAGAAAAAATGTAAAATTTCAATTAAAAATAACATTTCTCTTGTCACATTTTATCTCCTACAATCAAATAAATAGTTTATCCAGGTACAAGTTTCCTTCTCAACTTGACCATGTTTGGGGCCATTTCTGTTTAATAAACACATATTATTTCACTGTTTTATTTAAAACACTTGTATTTTAAATGTACCGGGAGTTAAATTAAAAAGAACACTCTCACTATGGCAGTAGTATGCAGAGCAGTCATTTGATGCATCCAATGTTCTGTTCATAATTTTTGAACGTCCTAAATGTTTAAAACCAAAAACAAATTCAAAGAATTGTGGTCTCCATGCAGCTTTCGGAGTGTTGGTTGGGATGCGAATATTTATGGTATACATGTATTACTGTCTTGTCTGTCTGTACTATTTTGCAATTGTCTGTCCATCATAAAAACATGATTTAACTATTTGAATTAATAAAATCTAAGGCCTTTATTAATGCTTCTGAAAACTGCATCGAAATGCAAGGTCACTATTCCGAAAAGTCTTGTCGCAGGTAATGCACATACGAAAAATTATAAAGCCATGTCTCTTCTAGTGCAAAAGGTATAGGCAAAGATTAAACAATTCAAAAGTAAGTCAACCTTCAAGAACAAAGTCCTGGGGTAAAAAATGATAGTATTTTCTCAAGTGTTACCACAGATAATGTAAAACATGAAATTCCTATCTACTCAAATTCAAAAGTTATTACCAATGTAACAGTTTTTGAAAAGTAGGTTTAACTTCAAGGTCATGAGGTCAAAAACCATATCGACTTCTTATACAAATTATGCCATTTCTGAGACAAATTATTCCATCAATAGATTGCATATTCAAGAGTGTAGAAGGCTTCGTTAATGCCTATATATGGCTTGGATTATATTTAAACCAAATTCAATCACGTTCACTGTTTAGCACGTGTGAAATTTATGCAAGGCAGTGCTTTTCTTGCCAAAAATGATGCTTTGGTAAAAATGAAGAAAAATGTGCGAACCCTTCTTGGAATTGAACCTGAACGATAAAAATTATCAGTCAGATCGAACCCCAGCGATAAAAATCATCAGTCAGATCGACAAAGTAGTATTCAGTGACGTGAGTAAAAGTTTTTTTAATTTCCTGTTTTACAATGTATATTCGAACACCTCCCAACCTTGAGGTAGAACAATTTCACGAAGAAAATAGATGACAAAATAACAATATCACTAATCTTCAATCTAAATATATATATTTTTAATTTTTAAGGAAAACAACTGATACTAACAAAATCAAATTCCTTATTTCAACAGAACGTTTCGTCCATTTCATTATTCAGAATGTCACAACCTCAAAATATGTAAAAATAAATTAGTGGAAACATCTTTATCTTTTGTTTTCAATAACATCGGCTTTTTTAATAATATTTTAAAAGGTTGCCTTTTTTAAATTGTTATGTTGTACATTATGGGCTATGAAAGAAAAAAGTATTTCAAAGAGGATTCTCTAATTTTTATCATGAACTTTTGTGACTGCGTCCGGCGGTGGAATACCATGTGTTGAACCATTCCGGTAACAGAGATATGGGGTAGAAATAATATTTACAGTCAGCTCCACACCTATATTGTCTTTTTGGCATTACAGAGAATAGGGCGTGGTAGATGGCATTTGTCACCTGGGAAAGATCTTTACATTGAATCTTTGGTATCCCATCGAACGACTCCTTTGCTACAAACAAAATAATAACCCTATTTTACCTTTACGTTACCTTTATCTATTAACTTACATAAATGTTAATTCATTATAGTCTTACTTTTCTTTAACCATTGTTGTCCATAGAATTGTTGCACTTCTTCGTCTACTTCGTCAAATGCCTTCTGTAGAGTAGATTTCATCTCGTTTGGGTCTACAATGCTGGTTTTAAATAATCCTGGTTGGATTGTGTGTGTCGTCACACCAACTTGATATAATTCTCGTCTGCAAGTCAATGTGCAGAATTAGTTAAGTTTGTTAAACTTTTATGTAAAATTTTATTATTCTGGTTAAAATTTTCCTTAATACAAACAACAGTATCTAGCAATATACAAGACCGAATACCTTTTTTTTCCCATTTTCCTTTAAGTTAGTAATAATATTCAGAGGCTCTCAATATTGATTAAAAATTATTATCCAATATGTTAAGATCATCTCTTTTATATCGCATGTAAATGTACGAATGCAGGCCAGTGTCTCATTTCTATGGAAAATCACAGTACTTATTCATATGTCATATTCTATATTCTAGTATTTTTTGCTTGACATGGAATAAGCATAACTCCAAATTCAAAATTGTGCGTTACACACACACACACAAACACAAATTAAAATTCCGTTTGTTTGTTCTTGTTACTGATAGTTGTAAACTTTGAAACTTCTCTGGATTCCTTTCATTCCAAGGATAAAAAACTTTCAACACTCTTTTTTTTTTCTTTTTTTTTGAAAATTTGAAAAGGACATGCAACATCCTGATAGCAGAATATGACATTTAAAAAATAGAATAATGTATTTGAGAACTTTGCTTCTCTCACCTTAGGCATTCTGCAAGAGCTTCAATTCCAAATTTACTAATGACGTAAGGTGTCCGACATGGCCACTCTATGAAAGCACTGTCACTAGATAGGTATACAAGTCTTCCTTTGGCTTTTCTCAAGAGAGGCAAAAATGACCTTGTTACGTCAATCGAACCAAGTAGATTGACCTTTAAACATTTTTCTATCGCCTCATGGGATTGAAACTCCAAAGGTGCATGCAAAACCTGTAGACCAGCATTGTTGACGAGTCCCCACAAGTCTTCAAAATATATTATTGAGAAGTATGAATGGGGGGATTTAACAAGAACGATATATTTTATTTATTGCAAAAGAAGTCGTACTACATGTATGTGTAGGGCAAGTGATTGAAACTTATTCTCACATCATCAGAAGTCTTACCAGCAGCTTTAGGCAAATTACGTTTTACAAATTCCACAGCATTACAGATACTGCCCTGATCTGTAACGTCAAGCTGTAAAACACGGAGTCGTGATGACGCTTGTTTCTTTAGTTCTGTTCCATCCTTCTCAGTAAGGCAAGCTGCAAACACCGGAACACCCTTCTTGTCCAGTAAAAGGGCTAACTCATTTCCGAATCCAGAATCACACACTGTGATGAGGACGTGACGATTATTTTTGTTCTCAACAGAAGTTTTCCCTTTGTGGTACTCATAAACTTTATAAACAACATATAGAAGGAGGAAAAGCGCAAATATCAGGCAGCACATGTTAATTTATCGTCCGTCTATGATAAGCAATTCTGAAATGAACCAGGTCGAGATAATAGGATCTTAAAGATTTATAGTTTTCTTGTAAATCAAGGCAGGAGATACTAAGAGTCGTCCTTTTAAAATCTAGAAGCATTTTACATTAAATTTTCATCAAATTTCTACAAATATTTTAACCCGTGACCTCTTTAACATTGTACAGTGCAAAGTGAGCTCAATAGATTAATGTGTAAGAACAGAAGAAATTCGGCATGGTATATACGTTGAGCAAATTTTTGTGTAAAATCTTCCTAAAAGTCCTTCCCTACCAGGATTCCATGCGATAAAGGCAAATATAAAAATAATATAGAATTTAAAAGGCCCACACTTTGCAGAGAGCTAAAAAGAAACAAAAAGTACTCTACAATGTCTTTTGTTATAATATGTAAACCAGACGCTCGGCTGTGTCTGTGTAAAGTTACAAGTGGTTTCTTGTGGTATACAAAAAGTTACAAGTGGTTTCTTGTGGTATACAACTGTGCTCGCCCCAACGGTGGCATCGTAAAACATTATGTATGTACTGATATATTTATCAGTTTCAAAATTAGAAATTTTTTTTCAAAAGTAATTAAAATCAGACTAAAATCAGCAATCAATATAATATCCTTAAGACACAAGTTCTTGATAAGTATTTTATGTCACGACGACCGGTACATAGGAAAATTTCGCATGTTTGTTTTTTCTCTCTCTCCAAATTTGAAACAAACTATAATTCTGTACATTTTTATACCCCCGATAAAAGCAGGGGGATATTGTGTTGGGAGGGGGTATGTCCGTCCGTCCTTCCGTCCGTTACACTTTGGTGTACCCATCTCTTATTCACAACTCCTCTTATATCACTGAATAAGATTTTATGAGACTTTCACAGAATCTTTGTTACATAGTGTCATTGTGACCTCCTATTTTACTTTTTGATCGGACATAAATTTCGGTTTTCCAATAGCAAACTATAAACATTGCCATTTTTTCTATTATATCGGGGATACCCATCTCTTAACTGCAACTCCTCCTATGCCACTGAATAAAAATTAATGATACTTTCATAGAATCTTTATTACACAGTGTCATTGCGCACGTCCTACTTTCTGGTTTGTTCAGACATCTATTTTGGCTTTCCCGTAGCAAAAATGAGTCATTATACTCATATAGGAGCAGGGTATTATTTTGTGAGCTCAGTTCTCACAGTATCTCAAGATTCTGTATAGATTAGAAAGGGCATATAAATATTATAAAAGAAAACGAATAATATAATTAAAAAATAATTTATAAACCATAAAAACTTTTAAAAATGACATTGTTTGCATAATCAGCAGACAATTTTGAAAAACACATATACATAAAAGCGATACGGCACATGACGCACAAACGTAAATGCAAAATGAATAGTTAATTTGTATCTTTGCAAACGTCTTATTTTAACATTAATTGCAATTTAATGAAATTTTGTACAGAACCTTCATTACATAGTGCAGTTTTGCACCTCTTTTTCTATGTTTCCGTCTGACAGGTATTTTGGGTTTCCCATAGCAGAACATGGACTTCGTCATTTTTTAACTTAACCTTTGGGATATCCTCTTTTATCTTCAAACTCCTCCTTTACCACTAAATTAAATTTAACGAGACTTTCACAGAATCTTAATTATGTAGTGCCATTGTGCACCTCCTATTTTATGCTTTGAAAAGACAATTATTTTGAGTTTCCCATGGCAAAATATGGAATTTGTCATTATACGCTATAAATGGTGTACCGATTTTGTTAACATAACCCCTCCTAATTCCCCGAATCAAATCTAATCAAAAATTTCCCAGAATCTTATTTTTAAAAAATGCTAAGAGCTGCACTTTGCCATAATACTCATATGGAAGCTGAGGAATCATTTTGTGAGCTCATTGCTTATATTACCTTTAATTTGTTATGTAATACAATGAAATGTAATGTTTCAATTCGTGCGCGCAAGATGAAAAACTAAGCAGCAAATTGTATGGATACATTTGTATTTATAAGACTTATGCTTAAATAAGCCAAGGTACTATGAGCACTGCAAGAAGTAGAATCTATGTATGATTCTAGTTCACTTGTCATGAGTTAGGTCATGAGTTGACTGCATAATTCATGGAGTGCCATCCCGATACTTTTTATGCGTCCATTCGTCAGATTCTTAATGTCTGTTCAATGCCCGTTTATGATTGTTGATTTCAATACATGTATATGTGACGAGAAATCATTTATATTTGGCAAATTATACTGCTTGTTGTGCATGTTGTATCAGTTGTTGTGAAACAAGTGATTCGTCTTATTTTCATGTATTGTTTTGCAAACTTTAAGATAGGTTTTCGTTGCTCGTTACAAAACGGATCATTAATTTTTCGTTTATATTTAATAAGTTTTTACAGTCATTATAATCATTGTTTTCTTTCATTGTTATTTTGACCATAGATTAAATCACAGGTGTCTAAAGTCAGTTTTTATCGTAAAATAAAAAAAATATATTCCACCCTCTTCTACAGAGGATGGAATTTTTTTTTAACTTTAGACTCCTGTTGATTAAATACATTGGAATAAAAATAAATGAAGTAAACAGGCCCGTAGGAAGAAATATGTTTTAGGAGAGGGGTACAACCGAGCAGATATTCCCTGGCCAGGAAAAAAAACACCGCTCCCCCTCTAAAAAAAGCCATCAGACGTTCTTGATGAGGGAGAGCAATTGTTCCCTATTAATATATATATATATATATATATATATATATATGTTAACAAAGTAATAGGAGACATACCTCCCCCCTCCCCCTGCCCTCGGTTTTCTATACAGGCTTGAATACATTACAGTTGTTAATACCAATGGATTATTTTCTAATACTTTTGAATTTAGACCCGGTTTGATGATCAAAGTTCCACGATGCTATTCAATTTCCAACTGGCTAAGGTTTGAATTCCACATCGTAGGTCTCGATATTCAACGTTGAAATTTGACACACCGGGATGTTTTCAACCGGGTCAAAATTCTTCGTTACCTTGGAACAATGTATAAGTTGCTGCTTGTTCATAAAAATTTGAACTCAAAAATCTTATCTTCTGATCAGTCATCTACAAAATTACCTTGTTAAAATCATAATGATTCTACACACAGTTACCCTGAAATTGATCTAAATTGATCTAAAAAATGCTGGTGTTCTTCAAAGATTCCTTTTGATAAATTCCTTTTTAGTTATTCTTCCATAGATTGAAATGAAATCAACAATATAAGCCTTTATACACAAACATAGGGTATATTATACGAAGTTTGCCCATAAAGTTCGTAGCCAAATGCTACAATTTCTACTAAAAATGACTTAATTTCCAAACTTATAGACCATGATTAAGTTAGTGTACATGTATAAGAATTAAAACAGTACACGAACGATATAAGTATAAATACTTTGCTTATGCAAACCGCAAGCCCAGGTGAAATATGAAGATAACGAACAGTAATCGAGCTCAAAAGTCCATTGAAACTAAACAAATCGGGAGCAGAGCAATCATCAAGAAAATGATGTAATAATTATTTTTTCTGTATTTTTGTGACTGCGTCCGGCGGTGGGGACATTGACCAATACCATGTATTGAACCATTCCGGTAACAGAGATATGGGGTAGAAATAATATATACAGTCAGGTCCACATCTATAACGTTTCTTTGGCATCACAGAAAACAGGGCGTGGTAAATGGCGTTTGTCACCAGGGAAAGATCCTTGCACTGAACATGTGGAATCCTATCGCACGATTCCTTTGCTACAAAACAAGAATAACAATTATAAGATTCATTTTTTAATTTCTTTTTAATTCTACTTTATTTTTATTATTATTATTATTATTATTATTATTTTGTGATCTTTCAAAAATGTTCTTTACATTAGACTTACTTTTACTTAACCAATGTTGGCCATAGAATTCCTGAACTTCTTCGTCAACGGCGTCAAACGCCCTCTGTAGGATTGATTTCATCTCATTGAAGTCTTCAACTATATTGGTTTTGAATGCCCCTGGCTGGATAGTGTGAATCGTCACACCAACTTCATACAGTTCTCTTCTGAAATGTACAAGTTTGAAACATTCGTAAAAATTATTTATAATCGACCACAAGTACAACTCTTCAAAAATATTAAAACTCCTTTTAATACTTATTGTCTTTGTTATTGAAAAACAAGTTGATGAAACAAGAATATAAACAGTCTCGTTTAAAGTCATCATTTCGTAAGTTCTATTTTCGATGCAATGACCTTGTCAGCAAGTACAATCTATCATTAAGTCAAATGCTGACTGACGTTTTTCATACTAATTGTTAGGCCTTATTTACACATTTTTCCGTTTTTCCCTTTCATGACAAGTAGCACACGGCGAGTGTGACCGGTCGGCAGGAGATGCTCAATCCTCCCTGGCACCTGATCCCACCTCTGATGCTTTAAGGGGTCCGTGTTTGCTCTGCTTTTGATTTGTATTTTTTGAGCTTGAATAATGTTCATCATCTCCATATTTTGTATTAAAACTTCTCTAGATCCATTGGTCGTAAAGATTTTTCGCCTTTATTGCAATACTGTATTGCAGTTGTTTCTCTTTTTTAAACTCAAAATGATAATATTAGCAATTTGCAGACGACCCTTTCCCTTTAAAATAACATTTAACCCTGATTATATTTTTCTGTATGCGACATTGTTCGTAATAATTAGTAGCATATGATGTAAAATCAGACAAGCCCTACCTTAGACATTCTGCAAGACTTTCAACTCCAACTTTACTGATGACATATGGAGCCCGACAGGCCTGTTCCCGGAAAACGCACTCGCTAGTGACATACACAAGTCTACCTTTCTCTTTTCTTAGGAGAGGCAAAAACGACCTTGTCATATTTATCGACCCAAACAGGTTTACAGATAAACATTTTTCTACAGCTTCAGGTGAATGAAACTCCAAAGGTGCATGCAAAACCTGCAGACCAGCATTGCTTACGAGCCCCCACAAACCTAAAGATGATATAGAATAATAGTTATCAGCAATACGAAGACGTCATGTTAATATACTCTAGTTGAATTCAATGGTACCTATCAAAGCAGAAAGGTTTGGAGAAAAAATTATCTATTGTTCGAACTATTGTATTTTGAGATAAAAAGTAAAAAATGATGACGTTGTAACAGTGAGACAGACTACATGTATATAAACTGGTGCTTTAAACTGTTAAATTTTAGGATTTATATAGATATGTCAAAAAAATACAATTAGATCTATTAAATGCATTTCACTGCAATATCAAGAGGCATTTTAGATTTCCATTGTGTACTAACTGTTGAACCTTATGTTTTTGAAATAAAATATATTGCCAGATTATTCGTGTCCCGGAAAAAAAATAATTCAAATTAAATAATGCTTTATAAGAAGTTTTCGAAAATGGTGTGGGACATTGATCGCTTTTAGCCAGAAATTAACATTATTAAAATCCGCCACAATAAGCAAAGGCTCCAATCGGTCATTAATGATTTTTCTGATACTAAAAATAAACACATAACTGTCCGATGCCTGGCTTTCTCTAATAATGTCAAATTATTTCAGTTAATCATATGGCCAAATCAAGCAACAACTTCATCAAAAAATTATGAAACTAATACAAGCTCAAACTACTACAATTCACAGCAATAGGAATAATTCATTTCCAATATTTTACTATTAGATTATCAAAATCGTCTCAGTGAAATAAAACATATTTTTCCAACACAGATAAAGTTCAATTACTACATTATTGTTTACTGTGTATTAAGTCACTTCCTGTGTATAGGGATAAGCAGAAAACACGATCGCAGGTAGACTGCTAGCCCTCGAGGCATTCACACCTGTAAAGTTAAGGAGGAATGTTACGTCAAAAATTTATTCAATGGATCTCTAAGACATCTCATTTGAAATATGGTTTCAACATTAAAAGATTGATATTAGCTCTTAATATATTTTATATGATTTTTATATTTTATATGATTTTTTTTTCATTTATTTTATTTGCAAATATGATGCTTAAGAGTTTAAAATTTGCTAGTAATAAATGCACAATACAGATATCTAATAAAACATGTCAAGAAGAGTCAGAGATGTCTTAAACATCCATTAAATAAAATTTTGGTGTAGCATTCTACCTTAATCTCTGCCTTTGTGATTTTTTATGAACAGAAGTCAAAATGTATTCCTTTAAAGAGGTCGCCAATGTGTTAAATAATGATAAATAATAAAAGTGCACTGTGTACAAAATATTCTCATTATAACTTTTGAAGTCTCACCTGAAGATTTTGGCAAATGGTGTTTGACAAATTCCACAGCATTGTGGATGCTGTTTTGATCCGTAACGTCAAGTTGTAGAACACGGAGTCGAGAAGACGTTTTATTCTTCAGTTTTGTTCCACCCTTCTCCGTAAGGCAAGCTGCAAACACTGGAACACCCTTCTTGTCAAGTAAAAGGGCCAACGCATTTCCGAAGCCAGAGTCACATCCCGTTATAAGGACGTATCGATTGTTTATGTTTTCAACAGATGTTTTTCCCTTGTGGTACTCATAAACTTTATATAAAAAATACAGACCGACTATAAGTAGAAAAAATACGCAGCACATCTTTGTAGTTTACACAGTGAAGATAAATGACTCCGATAATGACCAGGTTGATAACTAGGGCATATCTTCTTACATAACGGACAGAGAGTCGTGGCAATCCAATCGTGATAAGCAACTAGAATGGACAAACTATTGTCGGTAAAAAAGAAGGTATCAGTTGTTCCTTCGCCAAGCGCTCGGCACTTTGAATGTTGCAGGTATTTTGGATGAGGCCGGCGTTGGTACGTTATCTAACAGTTTAAGGGATGAGGATACGTTCCTGAATATCTTGATATACATTCCTTTGTAATATACTACAAATTTTTATAATTGTCATGATTATCTTTTTTTCTAAACTATTTTCAAAATGTCTCATAAATGAAAAATATAAAAAACCAAAAATGGCATTATTAGCAGTTCAAGTGATTTCTTCCAGTATATGACTATATATGATATTCCATACTCCGGAATCTTGCTCAAATGCCTGGTATTGTACCTCCATTTTTTGTGAGAAAACTTCTTAAAGTAGTAATTTTTAAATCACACATTCTTAGAAAAAATAAGTTATATATTTTTGAGGAACGTATAGTCTGCCCTTAAAGAACCCTCGTTGCTCAATGAGTGCCAAATATATACATTTGTGGTATCTCTCTATTATATAAACATACCGAGAGCAAATATCTTCATACCTGTATGAAGTTTTTCGAAGGTCATAGGTCATTACGTGACCTAATCACACAGCGCAGTAATACACATGTTTCTACATAAAAAGACTTACTCTACTTAGCAATTAATATAGCATGATTTTCATGCATAAAAATGTACAAAATACGCAAGTAAAATAGTAATCATTTTATTAACATTGTAAACGAGTAATTAATACAGTTCTTGATCGATTTTACATAGAGAATAGAAAACTACGTGTTATAAGTTTTATGTCTGAGCTGCATAGTCTCAACGTTACTCTTATTTTTCTTGTAGACATCTGAATGAAATAGATTTTTTTCATTAAACTTTACTCACAATAAATCTGAAAATCTGTTGGAAAATGTCAGTGTAATGCAATCACGCCACAAACAGCTGACAAACACTGCACTTCGGAAGTTCGGTAGGCACTCGTTGTCTGTTAACAATGTAAGCTGTCGCCTGTGTCTCCGTTTCAACATCATAATAAATAATTATGCCTTATTGAAATCGTAGATTTTATGTTTCTGGTCAAATTTTATACTTGATTTCAAGTTAACTGGTCCGGCCATGAGTCTCCATCCATTCCTTTCCGACCGAAATTCCTCCAACTTTTTATTATCAAATATCGGACGTGTTTCTTGTGTGTGTTTTTTTTGTTGTTGTTGTTGTTTTTTTTTTTTTTTTTTTTGCATCGAATATGGATTCTAATGAATACAAAAATTCCCAGACACCAATATGCTCACTATAATTGATCACAAGTAGCATTTCACAGAATATTCCCTTCAAAACAGAATCCATTGTCAGATGAATTTGAAGCGTAACCGCTTTTCAAGCCGATTTACACCTTGCGTAATTTGTCGAAATCTACGACGAACAGTTAGTGCAATAATTATATTCGATCATATTCGATTTTCTGTCTCAAATGTATATATAAGTAATAAATAACAAGTTTAAAAACTTCACTGGGAAATGAAGTGGGTCGGCACGTGATCAAATCTTCTGAGAAGGCCTTCGGCAAAGGACGTAAATGGTCGATACAATAACCTTGTCAGCAAATGCAATCTATCATTAAGTCAAATGCTGACTGACTTTTTTTCATACTAATTGTTAGGCCTTTATTAACACACTGAATTGTCGACGGATCATGACAAGAAGCACACGGATGGTGTGACCGGTCGACAGGGGATGCTCACTCTTCCATGGTACCTGATCCCACCTCTGATGTCTTAGAGGTCCGTGTTTGCTCTGCTCCTATTTTTTATGTTTAATGGACTTTTGAGCTCGAATACTGTTCATTATCTCCACATATTTCATCCATAAAATAATCAATCAATCAATCTTAAACAACAAATTAAGAATAAACAAGTTGGCTATAGGTAGAGACATATCCTATGTACACAACTGATAAATTTGAAATACAAAATATTAATAACAAGGACGTTTGATAAGTTCTTCGCCAAAATTTAACAAACTGTTGAGTTTTGAAAAAAAAGAATTCATAAATGATTAAATTAAATCTGCCGTAAAGCTTTTGGGTCATCGAAATATGTGCTATGGAATGTGAGTAATAATTATACTGATAGCAAAATTTCCTATTAATAATGATCTACACGCCATATAATATCAAATTATAAAACAAAAAGTTTGAAATACATTGCAGAAATTCGATTTTATAAAAGAAAATTTTTATACAATTTTTATAACCAATAAAGTTATTAACCTGCCATATTAATGCAAATTTACCTAAAAGAAAAAAGATTTTGATAAGACATTGGAGTTCTAACCGGAAATAAAATGTGCTTTGTAATTTTCGGGAATGAAACAAATAATAAACTTCCCAAGTGCACAGACCTCTAAAATCATCAGAGGTGGGATCAGGTGCCATGGAGAAGTAAGCATCCCCTGTCAATCGGTCACACCCGCCGCGTGCTCCTGTTCATGATCGGGCAAATGAAAAAAATCCATAGACAATTCAATGTGATAATAATGGCCTAACAAGTTCAGTTGAAAAATATGATGCAATTACTATGATCATTTTCATCTTTATTATTCTTTTTTTTAATTAGTGTGAAAGGAAGTCAGAACTTACTACCTACATTTATCAAATACGTTCATAGATGTATTCATATGTCCCATTTATATACATCTAGGCATAATTATCCAACCAAATTTATTTTTGTGGTACAAATAAACTTCAAATTATAGAAAACAAAGTTAACAAAAATGAAAAAGTTGAAGAAAACGAAGTGATCGGTTAGAAAATATCTATACAAATAAAAATATGTGAAGAGGGCATAAAACACGGACCTTTGATATTCCAGAGGTGGGATCAGGTGCCATAGGAGGAGTAAGCATCCACTGTTGACCGGAAACACCCGCCATGAGCCCTATGTATTGATCAGGTATATGGAACATACAGTAGTCAAATTCAGGATAAATATAGAATCTCCTATGATTTGTAGTTGGATATGATTTTTGTCCAACGAGTTGTGTGTTTTATATCCCCGAGCATGGCGAGTTGGATAAAAAATATCCAATGAGTGATATCCACGGGATAAAGGGGTAAACATGGGATAAAAACAAATTATGCGACTTTAGCCTAAAACGTCGGAACAAAGTGATCATTTCAGGAATACGTGTAGGCCATTCAAGAATAAACTTCAGATCGATTGTATATATTTACTAAACATCATATTCTATTAGAATGTAGTTATTCTTTACCTTTTTGAGGTAGACTTTTCTTAAAATGTGCAAACAATTTATGAAATGATATGTGAAGGTAACGAGCAGTGATCATTCTAAGAAATGTATTTAAACAATGCGAATTGTGAGCATAGCCAACATGGACCTCTGAAAACAAGTTGGATCAGGTGCCATTGAAGAGTAGGTATCCCTTGTCGACCGGTCACTTTCGCCGTTTGCTCCTCTTTTTCGGGTAAATGGAAAAAATTCTTAGACAATTCAGTGTGAAAATGAAGGCCTAACAAATTGTATTGAAGAAGTCAGACAACATTCCACTGATTGTATTTGCAAACAAGGTCATTGTATCGACCATAGAATTTGCGATATGGTAAGTTTAAACGAGATTGTTGATTTCCTTTGTATCATAAACTTATCTGTTTATAGCCTGCCTTGTTTTAGAAATTGTTCCCTTCCAAGAGAATATTTCAGACGACGTGAAGAAGAAAATTAAGAGGTCAAAATGAACATCACTTATTGAAATGATACTTAAAGAACCAGCAGAGAAGATATTAGAGAGAATGACAGGAGTGATATACATCATAGCAGAGATCCGGTTCGGAGTGGAAAAGAGTTTACCGTCCAAATAAAAGAAATGGGTAAGCAGAAAAAATCCAAAGGAAGCTCCGAGGCACAAACGAAGCAGTAAAGAAAAAAGTGAAGTGGCAAGCAAACTCGGAAATTACCTCAGGAGGAGATTGAAGGAGTTGAGAAATGCAGAGAGAATCAGATGGATCCAGATATGGTATGAATTCAAAAATAGTTGAAACAGAAGTGAAGAAACGATTCAACAAAACTCACTCATCACAAGGTAATTGATAACCATAAATAATAGTTTTCATAGATGATATTTTATTTTCATTATTTTTTTTCTTTGCAATTTATGTACATCATTTTTTTTTTAAATATTCAATGAAATGTATGTATAAATTATACACATATATTGTGCTTTGATAAATTGAATAGTACCAACATTATTCCTCCGAGAACTATTTTTCTTTGATGGGGTAAAAGGTTGCCTAAAATATGCATGGGTGTTTTCTGGTATTCATTATTCTGATCAGAATAGTTAGGGGAAATTGACGGAAGCCACTTAGTACATGTACATAACTTAAATTTCCTCACTACTTTTTTGTCTAAGGCGAATAACATTTACAACACGTACTTGAGAGATCTATCAAGTCTTCCGAAGTATGTAATGGAATTCTTTATAATAAGACCTTTTTAGGTTTTGTTGTTAAGCCATGTTTAAGGGAATATTGAAAAACTTCTGTGCTCACATTTTCTCTTGACAACGGTGCACTGAGTGTGTGTACAAGGACGATGTGGACAATTCCAGATAGTATGTGACGAAGAAATTGGATTCAAGTAGATTATTAAATTTAACTAAAATTAGAACAGTTATATTTAGTCAAAACTTTGATTTTAAAGAAATGTCAGGAAAAAAAAGAATTATATTTATGATTCCTTGCGACAAGGACTATATATGTGGTTCTCTTAGAATCAATAATGTAACTGTAATCAAATTCTTATTATATTACATAAATGTTATTAAAAAAATCTTCAACATACCGGTATATAATCGCTCAACTTTCAAAGAAGGGGAGGGGAGTTGCATTAAAAGAAGAAAAATGCGAAAAAAATTATCTAAATTTTAATTATGTACAGGTGTTACTGCGTCCGGCTGTGGATTCATTGCCCAGTACCATGTGTTTAACCATTCAGGTAGTAAAGACATGGGATAGAAGTAATATTCACAGATTCTTCCGCATCGGTAGCGTCTCTTCGGAATTACAGAAAATAGGGCGTGGCAGATGGCGTTCGTCACCGGGGAAAGATCCTCACATTGAATCTTTGGTATTCCTTCGAACGACTCCTTTGCTACAAAAAAATATAAGTATTATCTTTGCCATCCTAATCTTTCAACTTAGGTAAATTTAAATCATTATAGTCTTACTTTTCTTTAACCACTGTTGTCCATAGAATTGTTGCACTTCTTCGTCTACTTTGTCAAACGCCTTCTGTAGAGTAGATTTCATCTCGTTTGGGTCTACAATGCTGGTTTTAAATGGCCCTGGTTGGATAGTATGTGACGTCACACCAATTTGATACAATTCTCGTCTACAGTGTATAGTGTTGATTTATTGAAAAAAGTTTATTTGTAATAGCGTACTAGGAAAGCACTTTCAAAATATCTTTCAATACTTCTTTGCAAACGTGATTTCTTCGAGCATGAATGCGCCATTTGTTTGTAAATTTGAAATAAAATTTCATACTTCACATGCAAACTTCCTTTCCTAGCATAAGCATATATAGCGTGATGGATATGCACCAAAGTTGATATGTAAAGTTTGTCAAAAGTGTTTCTTTTTATTTATGGAAAACTTTGGTAATTTCCTCTTTTTATCCAGTATAAAATGGAAGTTTATTCTGTCACTCAGTACATATATCTACAGATCTGCTAAATTGTTTAAGTCCACGTTGAATTAATGTTTAGAAAGATTTTTGTTATAACAAATCACATGGTCTATTCTTTCTTTATTTACAACCATATTAGTCATCAAATGTGAGATCATAATAATCTGGACAGGGATTAGTTAGAATTCAAAACTGATACTACAGTGTTCTCTCCGTTATAATTTTTTATTCCTTTGTTCGTTGTTATATCAAGTTTTCAAGAATGGAATCTAGATCTTTGTTTGTTAAAAATAAAATAAAAGCCATTGTTGCCTTAATTTGAAAAAAAAAAGAATAATAATAGTGACTTTGCTTCTCTCACCTTAGGCATTCTGCAAGAGCTTCAATTCCAAATTTACTGATGACGTAAGGTGCCCGACACGGCCACTCCATGAAAGCACTGTCACTAGATAGGTATACAAGTCTTCCTTTGGCTTTTCTCAAGAGAGGCAAAAATGACCTTGTTACGTCAATCGAACCAAGTAGGTTGACCTTTAAACATTTTTCGATAGCTTCATGAGATTGAAATTCCAAAGGTGCATGTAAAACCTGTAAACCTGCATTGTTGACGAGTCCCCACAAACCTATAATATGAATACAACAGAAATTGAAAAAAAAAATGAAGTACGAGACAATCATATATGAATACATTTATAGTTTAATGGATTTTTAAACGGGATGTTATTTAGAAAAAGTATTATCTTTAGAAAACATTAAAGTTCTATATTTTAAGACTTCGTAAACTTTCGAGGCTATCTTCAAACTTTCAAGACTTTATGCGATGAAATTAATTAAATTGTAAAATGACACATACGTACAAGAGCTTAGTAGTTGAATGATGAAGTTAAACTTTTTCGGTATATCTGGAGAACTGATTATACATCCAACGACACTGAGGTCGAATATCTTATGAATAATTTTAGCATTATCGGAAAAGGAATTTATCTTAAGCTTAATATCCTAAGAAAATAACGGAATTTTTACCTGTAGATCTAGGCAAATAACGTTTTACATATTCCACAGCATTACAGATGCTGTCCTGATCCGTAACGTCAAGTTGTAAAACACGGAGTCGTGATGATGCATGTTTCTTCAGTTCTGTTCCACCCTTCTCAGTAAGACAAGCTGCAAACACCGGAACACCCTGCTTATCCAGTACACGGGCTAACTCATTTCCGAATCCAGAATCACACCCTGTGATGAGGACGTAACGATTATTTTTGTTCCCAACAAAGGTTTTTCCTTTGTGGTACTCATAAACTTTATAAACAACATATAGAACGAGGAAAAGTGCAAATATCAGGCAGCACATGTTGACATTAAATGTCCGTCATTGATAAGCAACTCTGACATAAAACAAGATAACAGAGTCATATCTAGTGTCTCTCTTCAGTCGAGGCAGGGGATATGGGGACTACCACCGGTCAGTCAAAAATTTTATTCCCCCTTCCAATAAAAATACGATTAATCCTCCTTTTGTATGGCATTTTACCTGTTGAGAGATGTCGACAATAATTATTCTTACCGGCATCTATTATTGTATCATTTCAAATGAGAATATATCTAAATATAATACAAATAAAATACAAAACTTCTACACTTTTTACAGAAATTCTTCCAGTGCGTAAAGAAATATGTACGGTCATGTGCATTTCATTTTTAAAATCAGTAAATTACTTCAAGTCTGAAAAGGGGCTAGCATTTACCCTTTCTCCTAATGGCTCCATGCGCGGATCTAGAGGGGGTCAAGAGGTTTTCTGGATTTGATACGTTCGGGAAAGCAGTTTAGGGGCGGAGTTTATTTATTTTTTATTATTATAATTATAATTTTTTTTTGTTTTGGCTTGTCAAGAAATTTGTGGGTTGGAATTTTTTTTGAGTGGTGTGAACCCCTCCCCCCCCCCCCCTTTTGAAAAAAAATCCTGCGCCTGGGCTCAGAAATGTGGTTGTGAAGGACTTTTGTTCAAAATTCAGACCTCGATAACATAAGTTTAATTCTAGTATAAAAGTCCATCAAAGATGTTGTGAATATTCGGGAATCCTTTTGAAAAGGTTAATATTGGATCTAAAAGAAGCGTCAACAAATTCTGACCATCTTAAAGCGTGTTAAAAAGCATGTCAATTGTTGCCTTTGGAAGAGACAATAATCTAAAAGACATTTTAGTTCATAAGAAGCATATAAATCTCTGTTTTGAGCAAGGGGTTTGTGCTAGCCATGTGATGCCATGAGTATATTTTTATTATTAAAACAAGCCAGATTGAGGATAATAACGTAAACATTTATAACAAAATTACATTAATTGTAAATTTAGTAATTAAGCATATAAAGAGTTTTTGCAAATACAAAAATCTAACACAATTGTGTACGTTGGATAAACTCTTGGGATTTTTTTTATATCAAAACCAGTCTTGAATTTATCATTTATCAGAAGAGAAACCAAAGGCCCTATGACTGCTCATTTTTATTTAGATTTTCACACCATAGATGATTATAACATAAAAGGTATTGAAAACTGCACAGGAATGACCGAAAATAGTAGAGAGAAAACTCTGGTAGAAAAAAGTGAAGTACTTGTATACCATTTGGTATCAACTCAACAAAAGGAAGCAGTATTTTCTATAAACGAAATTAATGCTCTTTCTGTGAATGTCTGTGAAATCTATTTCTTTTTAAGAGTATATACGTTTATATGCAGGATTTACTTTACACCCTCTAAGAGTCCTCTTGTGAGGTCTGAATAATTTATTAAGTATAATTACAAAGAGTATTTACAAAGTACTATGCCTCTCATTTAATAGCATATTAATTGTTTCACAATTTCATAAAATAGTAACTACAACCCATAACATCAGAAATGTAATCTCATCGTTTAGAAAAAAGTAAAGCACATGTAAGAATATAACACAATTTCATGATTCTGTGATATTATAAAATAATTACTAAGTTAAACAGTCTTCTACTTTCTGTGGTCTACAAGCGAGTGGTCTGCGGGGTAGATGGGTTTGTCATAGAAACTACGGAACTGTTCACCTCCATGCTGTACCAACAAACGATCATGAGGATTGGAAGAAGCGATGGACATCAATGCATTGAGATTGGTCAAGGTTTCTCTAGGACACCCGTCTTCCACTAACAATGTTGAAGAGTTTGGTTCATTTGCTTGATTTCTTGGCCAGTGGTATGTCAGGCTCTCTTCATCTTTCTCTAAATACTGCAAAGATACCGAGTCCTTTGAGGACTTCGGACTTTGTTGTTTTTCATTTTCTTTTATCAACTCACCTTTTCCGCATATATGTGATCCTGCAAAAGATATACATGAACATAAATTTTACTTACCCATCTAAATCTATATGACATAATGTTTACACTTTGGTATGATTACCTACTATTTTTCAGAGAAGCAGATAATTTACTTACTCTTTCTATTGACATTCTCATTAAGCAAATGCCATGTGCTCTGGTGCTAAATTGATTTGGTTTACAAACAACAAACAACAGATTTTCTCATTTTTTTAATCTATTTATTTCAGATGTAAATTAATGATATGATCAAACATTTAATTTGTATTAAGAACGAATTTTTAATGTACGTAGCATGTATCAAAAAAATAATGTAAAGTTTTTTCCAAAAGTGTCAATAGAATGAGTGTTCATTTCATGCAGTAAAAAATAAACGAAAATCTTATCCATAATTGGAATGCTATATAATTATATCAGTTAAAGTGTGGTCACGAGGACCCAGTGTGTTGGATGGGTCCTGAGGTTCTGCTTTCAGGACACCATTCTTGCCAAACAGAACTTCAAGAGACCCATTGCTCTCTGTTGGTTTAACTCCACCTCTGCTGGACATCCTTGAGTTCATACCAGTTTTGTCCTTCCCAAAATTTGACACCTCCTCACTTGGAGCTAGTTTGGCCTCACTGGAAGGAAGGATTGTTTTTTCTCGTTTCCCTAATCCCTCTGGCGGTTGATCCGGAAACGTAACCTTCTTCTCAGGCTTAACACTTTCGGATTTAACTTTTTCATCCACTTCTTTGATAGCTTCATTTTTCATATCGCCTTTATTAATCACTCCACTAGGTTGATTTGACTTCGCAACATCTGCCTCATTTCCGGTTAGGTCAAACACGGTAACTGTTCCATTCGGTACATGTATATTCTTCTCTTCTTTGTGCTCTGCTTTATTAATTTCTGGCATCTCTTGTTGAATGTTTTCCTTATCAGCATCCACATCTTGCAATTCACCATCAGTTGTCACCAGTATTTCCGCTGTTGGAACAGTTTTGTTGTCATTCTTTGTCTTGTTGTCTGTGTTACTGGATACATTATCACTAGATTTGTTACTGTTGTTGTTATCCAGACTGTTATCAGTGGACCTGTTGTTGTTGTTGCTGAGACTGTTATCTTTGGATTTGCTGGTGTTACTGTTCGTATTAACCAAAGGTTCCGGCATTTTCTTCAGACTGTCGACCGTTCCAACGGTAATCACAGGATTAATTTTTCTCTCTAAAATGACAATAAATCATAAAATTTTATTTCTGACTCAGCAAGCGTTCATAATAAACATACACGAGTTAAGACTGCTTCTTCAACGTGAAATATGGAGATAACGAACAATATTCAAGCTCAAAGTCTATTTAGACAATACAAATCAGGAGCAGAGCAAACACGGACCTCCAAAAACATCAGAGGTGGGATCAGGTGCCATGGAAGAGTGAGCATCCCCTACCGACCTGTCACATCCGCCGTGTGCTCCTCGTCATGGTCGGGGAAAGAGGAAAAATCCGTAGACAATTCAGTGTGTAAATAATGGCTTAACAATTAGTAATGTCAGTCAGCATTTAAATTAATTATAGGTTGTATTTGCTGACAAGGTCATATTGTATCGACCATAAAACTTGCAAAATGATGATTGCAAACGAGACTGTTGATATCCTTTTTTCATCAACGTATTTGTCAATAGTTTGCCTTGTTTTAGAAGTTATTCATTTGTAGAGCATGCTATCGCGTATCGAATCAACTGGAGACAAAAACCCCATATGCAGGTGATAAGGGTATACTGATACATAAGTAAGGGAAGTTGACGATTGAAAAATTGAAGTAATCACGTTTATTATACTGCTTTAATTTGTTGTTAGGTTATCATTAAAAGTCTTTTCTAGTAAAATATTCAAATATGAAACAGATGTGTCAGACTCTGTGTCATATGTTTTTAACTTTACATATTTGTGACGTGATTATATTATAGATACTATTGATGTATGTTTAATAAAATAAAATTCTTAAGAAAACGATTCATTTATTTCGACATTGAGATACTAGTATCAACCATTTAAACAAGCCTAAGGTAAACAAGTCCGAGGTAAACAAGCATTTTATGAATATCATTGAATGACCATCTAAAAGTTGTCTTTGACTCTGAATATTATTACTGTAAAATCTTTTATGCTTATGATCTCCTATTGTATAGCTATATTTGTCGATGTCAGCAACTATATTTTAATTAATTGATTTTTCTTGTTACCGTGAAATCCTTAAGTTTTAAAATAATTAGTAAGTAGTAATTATCAGAATCACCCCCAACTTAGGAAGAAAAAGACACTAATGGTGTCAATAATCTTGTATCTGTTGAAATATATGCAAAGTTAGGAACAAAATCTTTATATATAAATATGATTCTTACTAGTGAAAAGTTTTTCCTCTTGTTTCTTCTTGAAGTATCTATAGCCCAGTATCGCCCCTATGATGATTGCTATAACCAATAGGGTCACCACCACCCCCGCTACAATGACTGCCGTGTTGTCCGATTCTTCTGGTGAACTCGCTGTCTCAATGTCTATGATTTTAAAAGCAAAAGTTACAGTATACACATGCATAAAAGATATATAGTTAATAAAGTATTAAGCTTTTAAGTCCATTATACTTAGTAAGAAATAAAATTTATACTTACAACAGGTTGCTGTAAACAAAAAAAGGATTCTTTCATAAGAAACTTAAGCAAAATTATAGTTTGGAAAAAAGCAAGTATGTCAATAATAAGTCCAGGATAACATCAATACGGAAACTATGCAACAAAAATCTGAAATATCAGTTGTACTGCTCTTTATGGATATAAAAACTATACATCATTTGAAAATTAAAAAAAAATTATTTATTGTGTCATATTTCATGAAAGAAACAGGAATTTTCTTTGTTTACATGTAAATCATTTCGAGTCAGGTCATATATAAAAATATTGATGAGATCGAGAGAATTTTCTCAGATGCAGCCACTGAGTGTATCTTGGAACGGCTTAAAATCTGTGGCCTTGTGAAAATATATTGTAACTTGGATAGTATACACGCCATGAGAAGAAATGAACTATCCTTACTATTAGCTACAAGAAAAAGAAGACTCCCAGGGGCACTCGGTTTAGTGGTGGCTGTTTGGCCTGCATCGCAGTTCTCTCCCTTCTCTGAAGCGGTGACATTTTCTCCGTCAAATTCAATCACCTAAAATTTAAAATATCTTGTTCAAAATTGACAATTATAGAGGAATAATGATTGAAAAAAATTCCAGAAGCATCTGAAAAAAAGTTCTTAAGTAATATTTAACCACATACAAAACAAGTAAATCTGTAGGCTCTAGGAGACACGCTGAGAGTGGTATCAAAGTTGATGACACTCTGGTAGTAAGTGGTGCCGTCGTTGAGAGTAGCGACACAACCCACGCGTCCTCCCGCTGTACAGTAAATATATATCACGCTTTAGTATCATTACTGTGTATTTTATTGTTCAGATCCTTCCTCAAAAGGACGATTGCAATTAAAATGAAAAAAAACGCAGTACATTTGTCAGTGGTCACTTTCTAGTGTAAACAGATGAAATCGCCTTTAAAAAGGAATCTTAAATAGTACTTTACAAAGATTTACAGTTTTGGTCAGTTTAACAAATTGATAAGATGTGATTTCAGTTATATGTATCGCAACCAGTATAGAAATCACTTTTCCTCTGTAGGACGTGTAAAAGCTGGAGTTCCTCAGGGCTCAGTACTTGGTCCCTTGTTATTTTTATTGTATGTAAATGATGTGGCTGAAAATATATCTGTTTGTAGATTATATGCTGATGATAATTCCTTACAACAATGTTCAGATAATATCAATCATATTGAACAAAATCTTAATCATGATCTTAAAATACTAGATAAATGGTCAAAGAAATGGTTATTGAAATTTAACCCACAGAAAACCAAAGCTGTATTTTTTAATTCAAAAAATGTGCAGCAGTTTCCTAAATTATTTTTTGACAATTGCCAATTGGAATATGTTACAGAACACAAACATCTTGGGATACTTCTGTCGTCCAACTTAAGATGGTCTGATCATATTGATATCATTATAAAGAAAGCATACAAAAAACTGGGGCTTCTTAAAAAACTAAAATTTACTGTGTCAAGAGATATTCTATCCCAGATGTATATATCTTTTATTAGACCACAACTTGAATATGCTGTTGAAGTTTGGTCTGGATGCACAAAAACAGACATTGAGAATCTTGAAAAAGTACAATTATTTGCTGCAAGAATAGTTACTGGGCTTACAATTATTGCTTCAAGAAATTCATTTTATTTGGAAACAGGTTGGGAACCATTGGAATACAGAAGAAACAGAGCAAAACTAATAACAATGTATAAAATGCACAATAATTTAGTACCTAATTATTTACAAAATTTATCACCTGATACAAGAGGCAATATTTCAGGATACACTACCAGGAATTTCTTAAATTATTCTTTGCCAAAATACAGATTAGAACTATATAATAAATCATTTATTCCTGAACTGTTAGAAAGTGGAATTCCCTTAGTCTTAAAACAAGGGAGGCAACTTCTATCAAAATTTTTAAAAATTATCTGCACAACAGTATTGTAAAGCCTCAGAAATATTTTTCATATGGAAAAAGGTTTTTGAACATAATTCATACAAGATTAAGACATAATTGTATTTTAAACTCTGACTTATATCGCTGTAACCTAATAACCGGTCCTAATTGTTCTTGTGGACTACTAGAAGATGCATATCATTTGTTTTTTGCTTGTAAATATTATGTAAAAGCAAGGAATTCCTTAATGAATAAGCTATTGTCATAGTTTCTGAACTTGTGTCCGATCCTTTTGACTTTGTCAATAAAATATGTTCAATTCAACCAGTATGAAAACTCGAGTTATAATTAGTAGTTAACCGTATGTACAGCGTGGCTCGTATCCGAGTCAATTAACTAGTGGAACATTTAGGATCGAGCATTTTCAGATTTTGGTAGTTATACTTACAATATATTATCATTATTAGATGTATTAATTACTACTCACAGAAACATTTTTTAAAGCAGGATAGAGGACATATTCTGTGTATGTCTGCAATTTCTACTTTGCCTCAGCAATAATAACATGGCTATTTGGTCAGATTTAAATCTATAATTAGAGATTGTGTCATATTTCTTGGATAATGTACCAGGTAATTTGAACAAGGTCACATCAATAATAAATGTCAAATTTAATTCCAGTCGATAACTTTAAAACAAAGAAACTATAAAATCAGGATGTTTGAATGTTTGCACTAGAATATATCACTTTCAACAAAGCTGAACAAAATTGTTGAGAAAGGCTGGCAAACAGGCAAACTTGGAATTTTGATTCACAGTCTGGCCGAAAATAAAAGTTTGAAAAATGCTGAAATTCCATAAAACTAGTCATTAAAACTGTGATTACACATATCTAAACTGTACGTGTACAATGCAATAAACTGCAAGTATACCAGAGAAAGCCACTCGGGCGTTGCATTGATTGTAATCAAAGACCATGTTAGTTCTGTTGTTGTTACAGACGTCTAGTAGGGACTCGCCCCAGTTCAGACCACAGTCAGCTGACGAGGAGGTATGAATGTAAGTAAACACCCCTAGGAAAGGTTTGGCACAGTACGATAGCGCCTCCGACTCAGAACCTACGGAATACAAACAATTATGTAGCTATGTTCAATTGTGCTAAATCAATATAATTGTATAATCTTTTCTTTCAAATTCTTTATAATGGTATCATTAACATCAGTTTCATTAAAATCAAACCTTCCACAAGCTCTTTTTTTTCTGAAGGTCGATGATGGAAGGTGTGATTTTAATTAAAATGCATTAAGATTCAAAATTGATAAAAAAAATTTATGAAACCAACTTCTTTTTTCAATCAGTAAAATCTGGTTAAAACCTTATGCAGTGTACTTTTCGATGGGCGGCAGAAATTATTTCTGTATGTTTTAGAAATGCATTAAAGTCTTTTCTACCCGTTCCGCTGTCTATACTTTTCTATCAATGAAACTTACAATGACGTACATATTAATAATACAATATTTTTCTATATATGATATTTATACAGACGTAAATATAAACAATAAAATGCCATTTTTGTTTATTAGTATGGGAATTAAATGTTACAGCAATTGCAGAAAAAAAAATTATACACCCCGCCTAAGCGGGTGTTGTATTTTTTTTTCTTCAGGATCTGTAATGTAAATTTCCCATACTAAGAAAAAAGCATTTTATTGTTGAAATAATATACCTTCCTTGAGTAAAACATGGAAAAGCTCGGTAGCCTGTCCTATTGTACAGACATCTGTATACTCTGTGTACAAACCCGCCCCGGCATTGTTAGCTACAATGTGGAAAATCTTAATATTATTATGAAGTGTAAAATATGGACTTTTTTAAGTGAAGATATTGTAGCTTTAAATGATACTAAAAAATTCCTTGAAAGCAATAAACATATGTAGAAATAATTTTCAGTTCCATTATAACGGAAGCTCCATGTTTAAGCAATTTATAATTAAATTATTTAAGATATTTTTCAATTATAAAATTAAGAATATGCTATTTGGGCGCTCCATAATGACAATAGGTTAAAACATGATCAGAAAAGCAGGAAAATTCTAAAGGGAGTTAATCTTTTTAAATAAGAAAGCAGTAATTGTAAGTAACAATGTCAGAATTAAGAGAAGTTTACGAGAATTCCATGTATGTTCTTTGTTTACACCTTCGATTCTGATTTTTCCTAAGATTCGGAAAACTAAAAACCTTGCCAATTCCCATAGACAGTCAAACGAGAGATAATTACAGGCTTTCAAAATAAACCTTCACGACATGCAAACAAGGCATATATTTGCTTTCAAAATAGCCTGGGAAATAAAACAACTATAGAGCCTTTAAATTCATTTTTAAATTTAATGGTAGTCAAAAAATAAAAAAAATATCTGCATTTTCTCTTTAAATCCACGTCTGTAATAAGACTTATATAGACCAAAAAAATACAAAAAGTAAATTGACCAACCTCTGGAATTATAATAGTAGTAAGAATATGCTGTTATGGATGTCAGCTCCAAACAGAGATACCAGTAGTAAATGCCAGCTGAAGGACTCGTGTAGTTGTTGGCTGTCCTTAAATTATTAACAAGTATCAGATTTTATAGGTTATCATATTATATATTTTTGCAGTTTTTATCTTTGTATAATTATTGCCGTTCGAATAAACCAAGTTAATGTCTTTAACTTAAATTTGAAAATTTCAAAACCAATACGTCTCTTTTTCGGACCTTTTCCTCACTTTTTATTTGTTTTTCCGACTTATTTGTTCCTATGACTTGTTTTGGGACTTATTTTGACTTATATGGACCTTACACTGTATTTTGTTTATAATGACATATTCTGATATACATGTACAGATAGCATTTGTAGTTGCTTCTCAAAAAGTTTTTTAGCAGGTAAGTACATGAAATATGGAGATAACGAACAGTAATCAAGCTCAAAAGTTGATTGAAACAATACAATCGGGAGAAGAGCAAACACAGACCTCTAAAACATCAGAGGTTGGATCAGGTGCCATGGAGGAGTATGCATCCCTTGTCGACCAGTCACACGTGCTCATTGTCATGATCAAGCAAACGGAAAAAATCCGTAGACAACTCAGTGTTTAAATAATGGCCTAACAATTAGTATCAAAAAGTTATTGAGCATTCGACTTAATGATTATATTTACTGACAAGGTCATTGTATCGACCATGGAACTTTCAAAATGATGACTTTAAACGAGACTGTTTATATCCTTGTTTCATCAACTTGTTTGTCAATTGTCTCGTTTTAGAAAGTGTTCATACGTGAAGCATACTCTTGCGTATCGAATCAACTGAGAGATAATAACCCCATATGCAGGTGATAAGGGTATATGTATATTGCTACATTACTGAGGGATGTTGACGACAGATAAGTTGAAGTAATCACGTTTTTCATAAATTTTTGTTCTAGTAAAATATCCAAATATGAAACGGATGTGTCAGACTGTAGTATCTTTTATTTCAAGTTCACAGGGATATATCGAGTCGACATAGGAAGTCACTATTGTTAATTGATAAAACATTGTCGATATATCTAAATGTCGAGTTGAAGGTCAAAGCAACTGTCTTCTACTTCTACACTTCTCATGTACAAGTTTTTGAATAAATTCTGCTCCATTTGAATACAGAAATAGGTCTGTTAATAACGGGGCGTAATTGGAACCCATGGGAACTTCGACAGATAGTTGGAAGACCTGATCTTTAAAAACGATACTCTCAATCAGAAACTCAATCATATTTTAAATTCTACTTCAAAGTATCTTTGCAAATGATCAATGACAAGGTTAGTAAATTTACGAGTTCCATTTTTATTGAAAAAGCAGCTGTTTGTGATGTCAAAAAGCCTGGACTTTAATTCATCGTAGGAAATGGTTGTATCACAGTGTAATTTTTGATAAAAACAATTTTAGTGACATGTTTTAGCTGACTTTGAAAATATACTTTTAATTAACTCTAATTACTTTAAACACCATGAAGACTTTAATTATGCTATTAACTACATGTATGTAATTCAAAATGTGTCAATTTACTCAACATGTCATGAGTTATTCTATCTAAGTCATCTATCACTCATGCTCAGAACTGTGCTAAATGTCATTGTTATATTTTATTATTTATATGTTACATGCAACATTGTTAATCAGTCAAGTCCTAGGCTTCGGATTATTCGGGTGCAATTTTTGGATTTCCAGAATTCACCCTACCGACCTAAGTTTATAATAAAGTGCTATTCCATCATTAGCATTTTTATGTTTCGTTGTTGCCGGAAAGTTATACACTTATTCCCCCGGTGATAGTTGTATAAAGTGTTGGAAAGTCGTACGTTTTGAAATTATTGATTTTAGCAAAATTTTGTGATTTCAGTTTTTTTAATAACTATGAAATACCTTAAAAACTATAATTGTATTTATCCCTTTTCGAATGCTATGGCAGATTGACTTAAAAAAAATATTGTGCATAAAATGAATATTACTATTTAATTTTTGACAATAGTATTTATACTTACTTACCTTAAGACATAGTAACTTCCTGAAGTAAAGTCACAGGTAAAATTCGAAGCTGTGCCTGACGTGGTGGAGTCCGATGTAATGTCGTACTGTGATAAGTACATGATGGTGTCAGTAAATTCAGCGTCTCCAAAGTTACTGCTTATCCATGTACCTCGCAGAGCATCCGGAAATGTACAGGCGCCATCTTTTAATCATAGTAATTGTAAAAGAATGCCAATATAAATTGTAATTTAATTTAAAGACAAAATTGTATTAATTGGTGAAATATTACATAGATGAAATATTTATTACAAAATTTTATTGATATTTAAAGAAAGGTTGTGCACTAAGAAAATCTTCAATAAATACACTACTTCTTTTACCTATTTCATTATATTTGTATGCTTACCCGCAATGCCTGGAAATAATGTGAAAATAATTTTCAATGTAATGAAAAACACGAATTTAAGCATTTTATCCTAAGAACACATTTGAATCCGTTAAACTTAATATTAGTTTTGTTTCGTAGCAATGTGGTTCATTCTTGTAATTTAAAAATTTAACGATTTAAATATGTTAAGAAAGTGGAAGACTAGGTTTGTATGTAAACTAAACCACGATTTTCACCCTTCGGTTAATCTTTTATTTTGTTCAAACCTCTCATTAGCATCGTGAAGGTTTTGTAATACACACGTGCCTTTATACATTAATTACTTACCAGGGAACCGTTTCACAAAACTATCTTATGACTAAGATCTGTCTTAAGACCAAAACTTATCGCAGGATTACATCACAACTGTTTCAGAAAACTCATATCTTTTGAAAATCTTAATATCTATCTGAATCTTACGAAACTAGATACCTGTCTTAAGTTTAAAGTGAAAATGGCGACAGTATTTCATTTGGCTAAAAACCAAAGAATTTTTAGAGGAAAACGGTATTTACATGTATAGAGCAATCTTTCGGATGAAATTAGGCCTGCTGGAACCTTGCCCTCCCCCTTTTCCACCATAAATGATTTTGCCAATAAATATTCTACGATAGAAAACATAGCTACTTTAAGGTTGTGCACCATTATTCTTTTTGCTTGTCAAGGAATTTTTCAATCTCCTATGCAGAGTTGCCGTTCGTTCCTCTCTCAGACACCTCTGCAAATGGGCTCGCGTCAAAATTTTTGACATAAAGTAGAAAACATGACATTCCAAGGATTATTCAAAATTATACTAATAGTTCTATATCTATTTAGGAAATATCTACTTTAAAAGACAAACATTAGCGCAGGGAATTATTTGAATTAGAACACACGCACTATTTCTTGTGCTTAACACTGTGATATATGCGAGACAACGACAGAGATGAATGCAGAGAGTGGGAATTTTTGTGTGGTTATGCCCCCTTTCTAACTGAAATTGTGTCTATGTGCACCCCTCCTCCCAACAGAAATTGTTTCCTGCAAGATCCAAACATCATTTATAACTTAATTCAACATTTTTTTTTTTAATTTTAAACCAATTAGCGAAGTTTAATTTTTCGCTAGAACATCATATCTTCTATGACCAAGCATTTCTCATTCTAGTTTTCAAACGTTTATGCAATGTTGTAAAATGGCTAATGCAATTTGATATATTCATATACAAAAAATCAAAGTATTTGGAGCTTTTTTTGTTTTTGTTTTTGTTGTTTTTTTTGTTTTTTTTTTTTTTGTGTTTTTTTTTTTTTTTTTTTTTTTTTGGAGGGGGGGGGGGGTGGTGGTTTTGTTGTTGTTGTTTTTTTTTTTTTTTTTTTTTTTTTACAAGAACTGTCCCTGAAAGAGAAAAATCGAACTTTGGCTTCTACATGAAACCACCCTACATTTGTAAAGCATTTTAATTTACTTTATTACATGACTTTTTTTCAGAAATTAAGTTTTACAGAATAAGATGAAATAGTTTTAACTCTTGAGGTACCCCCTCCCCTTCATCCGCCAGAATGTATATGAAAACTCAATACACTTAATAACACACCTGACCGACCTGATCTAATCGGTTATACATGTAATTACTGCTGTAACATTTGACGCTACATGTACATCATGGCCGTAGGAACCGGGGGGGGGGGGGCACCGGGACGCCCCCTCCCCTATAATTTTGCCGATATATAGATTACTATAGAGAATATTAATAATATATGCCTGTGCCCCCTCAATAAAAACGTCTGATGACTTTTTTTTTTTGCTTGTCAAGAAATTTTTGGTAGTAGATAGTGCCCCCTTAACTGAAAATGTATGGCTGTGCCCCCCCCCCCCAAACTGGAATTGCTTCCTACGGGCCTGTACATGTTTCATTTTTCAAAGCATTCGCAACTGCTAAATTCTGATTGATAATTCTCTTCTTCGGCAGATAGCACGGTTATTTCAGTATCAGTAAAAGACACCATGAACGCATAGACTTTGAACACGCTTTGGTGTTACAATTGACTTTCATTATTTGTATAGGCACAAATGTAGTAGTGGATTTAATTTAAATTGGTATCACATTATGCATTTTATCAACGACCATTTAATTTTGAGCAAAAAGACATTTATGCATATTTTATTCAATACATATACATGCATGTACTTTCTTTTCTCACATAGACTTTGTTATCAAATGTACTTAAATTTAGGTTTTCAACCCCCCCCCCCTTTCAAATTACATTGTAGTTGATGCAACTAAATGTTATTTCCGAGCATATTCCTCCAGAAGAAATTATTTAAGACGCACTATTACTTCAATCTTAAAACTTTAAAGAAGGACAACTAAAAATCGTGCAAACATTTTTCTTAATTTCCTTTTAATATTGAAGCATAAAATTTGTCCTAAGATTTATATAATATTTCTTATACTGAAGATAGTTTTGTGAAACGGCTGTGACATGTCTTATGATTGTCATGAGTCAGATCTTAAAATGATCGGAAGATCTGTCTTAGGACAAATCTTACGATATTTTTGTGCCCGGTCCAGGAAAATACATTCCTGGTTCTTGGACCGGGTTTCGCAAAACTATCGTAAGATTTGTCCTAGGATAGATCTTAAAGATAATCTGAAGATATGTATGATAATCATAAGATATGTCACTGTTGTTTCACAAAACTATGCAAGTATAAGAAATCTTATTGACAAGTCCTAAGACGAATTTCATGCTTTAATGTCACAATTTTTTATTTAAATGTTTGCACGAAGTTAAGTTGTCTTTCTTTCATTTTCTTTAAAATATTAAAATTATATGAGTCTCAATTAATTTCTTTTGCAGTTATACTGTCAGAAAAAAAAAAACGATTTTATTGCATCAGCTTCAGTGTACTTTCGAAAGGGGGGAAGGGGGGGGGGGGGGTCAGAAAAGCTAATTTGAATAAATTTCATTTTTAAAAAAAATGAATAAAATTTGTTGAAAATGTCTTTTTGCTCAGAAAATAATATAGCTGCTAACGAAATATATGCGATACTACCATTGATTAAATCCATTACTGCATTTATGCCTTTGCAAATAATGAATGAAACGGCAACTCGTGTTCAAAGTTTCCCCGGTTCGTTCATAAAAACCTATGCAGTTGTTTCTGAAACGCTGAACTACTGCAACGAAATAACAGTGCTAACAGACGAATTGGAGAAACGAAAGAATAAAATAGAAAATAACCAAAGAAATAACTTTCTTCATCATAAAATCTACTTATGTACCAATTTTTATTGAAGTCAGATCAGATGTGTAGAACCTCTTTTTTCACAGTTATGGTCTCCCTTTTCCTCATAATATTAAAAAAATATAAATTCATTATCAAACATTTCCGAATATTTATATATATACTCTTCATGCTTCCTAAATTTGTGAATTAGGCACAAGGGAAAATTGATCGGGAAGATGGTACTTGTACGAAAACTTTATATACCTTAGGGGGTATGAAGTACATGTACTTACAAGTTGTCCACTTTGTACAGTGTATACATCATAACATAAATAACGATGTTACAAGCATCACTCTATAGTGTCACAGTGTTCAAAGAAAACTGAAGAATATAACATACAACATGTGGTTGGAAAAGTAAAAGATGCTTCATACGTAAGCATGCACTTCTATCTGTAAATGATTTCTTTTTACTTATCAATTGCTTAAGTTCTAAAACAATTGGTAACAGCTTCGAAAGGGGCTGTGGTATTTTTTTTTAAAGAAATTCCAACTTCAATAACCGAAATACATTTTCCGTAAAAACTTCCAAATTTTCTTTTCTTCTGAAGTGCATTATATACCAAACAGGGATAGCTCTTTGTTTGGTAATAAATACCGGAAACTCTGGTACCTTACTCTGCGGAGTGAAGTTAAAGATATTTAAATGTATTTAAAATTCAACAATGAAATGAAATCTTTTTCAATGCTCAATGATCATTCAAGCGAAATCATATTGAGATGATATTGAAGTAAGCGTCATTTTATTTAATTCAATCAGAAACATAAAACAGCGTTTCCTATAGCAATGCCACAAAACAGATCTGTGTACACGCAAAAGAAATGAGAAAAGAAATTGTCAATAGATTACCACTGCAGAATCGATCTGACGGATATTAAGGACAAACATTCAGGATGGCAAAGACAGGACGCGGGGATATAAAGATCAATGAGAGGTTTCTAACATGTGGACTATGTAATCAATGGTTTACTCAACCTAGAACCTTACCATGTTTACATTCCTACTGCGAAAGCTGTCTTTACAAAAACATTAATGACTACATCGCCAAAGCCAGTGTTAAAAAGGGAGGACAAACATCCAATCCGACAGAGTATATATGTCCCACGTGTAGTAAGGCTATCGATGTGTCCAAGTTCTCGTCACAGCCCGCCAAAAACTGGACGACGAAATTTCCGCTAAACACATTCCTCTTGGATCTTCTCGACGTCGAACTTCTGAAAAGAGGCGAGAAAACGTGTGGTCCCTGCACGCGCAATGGAGACAAGTCCGAAGTGGTTTCTTGGTGCAAGGAGTGTCGGGATGGACTTTGCAAAAACTGTGCAAAAGTGCATCATGGGATGCGTGTCTCAATGGAACATACTGTTCTTAGTAAGGAAGAGTTTATGAAGCACATTTCGTTGCTTCAAGAGCAGCAGGAATTTTGTCAGAAACACCTTGGTAAGACTCTCGATATGTACTGCATGACGGACAAAGAGCTGTGCTGCCCAAACTGTGTAGCTGAGGAACACAGGCGCTGTGACCGAGTAGTATCCGTAATGGACGCGGTAAAACAAAGTCGTCTTGATAAAACACCGGAATTCCTCAAGAAAAACCTGGACGAATACAATGATCATATAGAGAAGATCATTGCTGCCAGAACCAACAAACTGATGAGTCTTGACGAGCAGAAATCGAAACTGATAGAGGAGTTTGCCCAGATTCGCATTAATGTCATCAATATTTTGGACAAATTGGAGAAAGCCATTAAGAAAGAGTTGAGTGATATGCATGCCGTGGAGACCAAGACAATGGAGAGAGAGATTCACAAATCTAAGAAGATTCAAACAGCGGTGACAAACGCACATGATTTGCTGTACGTCACCGAAAATCATGGTTCAGATTCTAAACTGATTAAAACTATTGAAGAGGTGAAACGGGAATGCCTCTGGTATGAAGAGGAGATGGGCAAATTGCGAGGGAAAATCCAAGATTGTGAGTACGTTTTCGAAATTGACGATCATATTGAAACACTGCTGAATAAAGTCAAGAAGTATGGAGAATTGCATGCCCGTCATTCGCCATCCAAGCTGCAGCCATTTCCCAACACTGTAACAATTGAAAAATCTATAGAACAAGGAAAACAATTCAAGTCCACTCTGTCACTCAAGGGACGAAACGCCGAACTCGTTAAATCGTTTGACGCCAAAATGGAGGACGACATTAAAGAGTGTTGGTACACGGGAGCAGCCTTTCTCAGCGATGGCAGGTTTGCGCTCGTAGATCGCTCCAACCGGAAACTGAAGCTCTTCAGTAAGACGTACCGGTTGTTGAACAGCATATTCTTCACAACAAAACCCTGGGACGTGACTGTTGTTGGCGAAAACGAGATTGCCGTGACACTTCCGGAGGAGCATGGCATACAGCTGCTGTCCATCGGGGACTCCATCAAGATGTCCGACTATTTTACAACTGAAGAGGCTTGTTTCGGAATCAAGCATGTTCGCGGAAAGTTCTTTGCACTTTGCTATGACGGAAAACCTCCAGCATTAAAGGTGATTTCTTCAGACGGGCGTGAGCTTGCTGCCATTGGCGTTGACGACGACGGGAGCCCATTATTTTCGCGGCCGATCTATGTGACGTCAAATAACGCTGGTACCGTGATTTACGTGTCGGACGAGCGCCGAGGGTGTATAACATGTTTGACGGAGACCTCTGAACATTGCTACACCTATTCCACCATCGATCTTAGTCACGTGGCAGGTATCACGTTAGACCGTGAAGGTAATCTCTACGTTTGTAGGAACCATGCTAAAAGTGTGCAAGTGGTGTCTCCAGAGGGAGACCGATTGAGAACCATCATATCACGTGAAGAAGTGTCATACCCACGCGCAGTAGCATACGACGACAAAGAAGACCGTCTGCTGATCACTCAAGGGGACAAAAGCGTCGTGAAAATATTTCAATTTGAATAGTCAACAAAACTCTTTATACTTCCTCTGGTTAGAAAATAGTCTATCACCTCCGAAAAATGTAAATAAACATTTCAACTTACCACTGGTTGAATTACGCAAGTACTGACTTTAAAATAGATCATCAATATACATATGTACTAGTATGTATTTTATTCAAGGTAAAGTTGAAAATCTAGCAGTTTTTGAAATACATGTACTGTATTTTTAGGATTTTTTAAATGGGATAGTAGTACATGTAGACAGTTTAATTGCATAGGTTGTAAATTATTCTGTTACTGTACTTTGGCAACAGACTGCCTGCTAACATCACACAGATGAATTTTATGTTCTTTGTAATTTGAATGTTAATTTGCAAACATAATATGTAAGATAAATTTTATAGGCAGTACTGAATTCAACCAGGTGCAAAAAAATAATACTACAGTACATGAATGAAAAGTATTCTGGTGATCGAGTCATAGATATAGCAATGTACTGTGTAAACATCTGTAATAACACTGTTTGATTGTTAGTAATTTTCTATCAAATGCTTCATAAACTTATTTTTAATTGTGAGTAGGTTACTTGCATTGAATGTTCTTCAGTTTTAATTCATAAAACATAACTACAATAAAATGACAATTTCAACAGCTTCATTGAAACTTTTCATATATTTATTGACTTTTCAAGCCTAGGAGGGGTTACAGAGACTATTTGACTCACTGCACAATCTTTATAAGATGTGCACAAAAAATTATAATCTATTTATACAATGGTATAAATCCAAAATAGAGTACAACCACTTAGTTTGCAAAAGAGAAATAGTGCAATTTAAAAGTTAAAATTAAAAAACAATCTTTTAAAGATTCATGTTTTTTCAATTTTTAGAATGGTAATAAAACTTTACAATAGTAAGCATGTGCATTAGACGGAGGAAAGATTGCCTTGTACAGATGTTTATACTTTAGATCTACGGTTTACTTCCAACAACTTCATCTATCCATTTCAAGTATGGCTCATTCCCATTATCAATCTGAAAATCAGAGAGTGAAAATGGAAGATTTATCTGGAAAAATTCATTTACATTGGAGCTCCTTGCTGATAATGAAGGATTTGACCCTTTAGATAAATAACATCTGAATTGTACATTACCTTAACACTAATGACTTCAGCTACGTCATAGGGATGATTCTCCCTGAAAAAAAAATGCAAACTAGCAATGAATATTTGGCAGTTAATTCCAGGACATTAAAATACTTGTAACATTATTAAACTCAGAGATGCTGCACAGGTACATGGTAGTAAGTGGATCATAATTTTGGGAAAAATTACAAAATATTAAAAGGAAGTTCTCTGTAATTATTTACAGGTTTTACTATCAAAGTATCTACATTCCCCAGTTGTCTTTCTTACACTGTACATATCTCTTAATGATTTACATCTTTTATTAAATACAGAGCATGATGACACAATGACGTAACAATATCCCAATGTTAAACTAGTTTATATGAGAATAATATCACTCAAGTATCAAAAGAGGCTGAACAGATAAGTGGCATGGAACTTTCATATAAATACAGTGAAAGTGTTAAATTATATTTTTTTGCATCACACAGCAGGCGCGGATCCAGGATTTTATACTAAAGGGGTGCTATTAGATGGCAAGGGGTTTCCTTTGGGTGCTGCCGACATCCCAAGTCGGTCTAAATTAGTACATGTATGTCTAATTTTTAGACATAATTGACAGTATTTTTACCTTTATTGCATCGATGTATGACAATGATACATCCTACTCTTTTTTTTTTTTTGGTTTTAGAGGGCATGCCATGAGCACCCACACCTGAATCCACACCTGCACAATTACAACAAGTGAATACACAAAATGTGAATAATACAGTTTATATATATACTCAATGTGAAATTTATGACAAAGTCCTGATACAGCCATAATAACTCCTGTTTAAATAAATGTCGGTTTCTATTTCAGCCTACCTGACATACTTGATAACATCATCCACTTTACTTGTTGCTGTTTTTATTTTCTGCACGAAAAGTAAAAAACAAAAAATAGTTATTATACAAATTAGAAAAAAAAGATTGACCACTTTAAAAAAAACTCTTATGATTACATAAGATGATTCATTCTGAGATAAATCATAAGAGAAAAACTCATACCAGCAACAACTCTGGATCTTCATTGATTTTCCCCTCCCATTCATAACTGGAATAAACATATTTACTTACATCAATGTTTCACAACCAAACAAACTATAAGAAAAACATAGTATGATTGATATTTTATAGACAAATTTTAAGAATCCTTACACAGATATTAATCCTGGAATGATATTAACACAGGCTGCGTGCTTCTCCTTGACCAAACCACTGTTAATAAAACATCGATATGTATATGTAAATATCTATATTTATTTCAATAAATATATGCTTAATCTACAAAATCAGAGATAAAGAAAGTGGGGAGTGATTTCTAGACATACGCTGCCAATTTTTTTGCTGCTTCCATTTTGTCAATTGTAACGAAGGCCACCGAATAACTCCCTGTTTGGCTCATGGTCGTGAAAGTTCGCCGCAATAATCCGAATAATGAAGGCATACACACACCAAGAACAATCTACAATATAGTTAAAAATCACTTTAATGTCGTATGTATTTATTGAACGTTAACCTCATTAATATGCTGGAAATGCAAGCTTCCAATGTTACATATATTGAAACCGAAAGTACAAATTTTTCACGTGGATTTTCAACCTTCTGGCATTTTATTTTGCACTTACTGATGTGAAAAACAAATGCTAATAGTTTATACTTCTAGTCAGTATTTAAATAAAACAGCTTCAAAGTTACTTTACCAGAAAAATGGATAAAATAGCACAGCGCCTTGTAATCTCCAGCTTCGTTTACCTGCTAGCAGCTGTGGACGGATTCTGTCGTCTTGTTAAGCGTTTAAACGACCCTGGTACTCATTCAGGTAAACTTTGTAACTGAATACCTCTTTCGTTGCTTTTCTTAAATCATACTCCATATTTAACTAAATTTTAGCACACAAAGAGATATACTGAAGTCCAAGATCTTGTAAATAGTTTACTTTTAGCTCACTTGGCATTGATAACAAGTGCCTCGGGAATCGCAATTCCGACCATTCTACGAAAAAGTTCCTTTTTAGCTCACATGAGCCAGAGTAGTCTGGTATTGCCTGTCTCGACAGGCAAGCCAGTCTAGAGCCAGAGAAGATGTCGAAGTGTCCAGTATCCATCTATCAGTGCGTCTATTTGACACTTGTCGATTGTAAACGTGTCACATTTTGTACTTTTCAGTCAAAAAATCAGTTGACCAATTTCAAGACACGACTGAGAGAATTCAAGTTTTCCACTCTCTCTTCTTGGGCCTTTCCGACAAGCGGATTTCCGACCTCTGACAGAAAATCCCGAATGTTGCGATTATTCTCTATCATGCTGAGAGAGGAACGAACGACAACTCTGCAAGGGATATGGCAAATTTCCCTCTTATGAAGGGCCACGCCCCCTTTCAATGGAAAGCAAACCAACGATAGTGAGATGGCTGGATCATCTACTAAAATATTCTTTGGAACCCTGGGCTAGAAAAACATGAAATTTGAAAGCGTTCCGATTGAGGTTTGGTGAAATCGTGCCCCCCCCCCCACACGGGTGAGGGATGGGGGGGGGGGGATCGTTGGGACCAAGATATGAATCAAAGTTTTATCTGTGAATATATTGTGGAAAATCTTTTTTTTTTAAATATCTTCTTGAAAACAGTAAATAAGTGTCCGATCAAAAAGTAAAACAGGAGGTGCACAACGGCACTTTGTAATAAATATTCTGTGAAAGTCTCATTAAATTTTATTCAGTGGTATAGGAAGAGTTGCGGATAAGAGATTGGTACCCCTCAATATTATAGAAAGAATGGCAGTGTTCTATCTTGTGCTATTAGAAACCAGAAATATGTAACAAAGTCTCATTAGATTTTATTCAGTGGTATGAAGCGTGGATCAACCCCCACCCACCCCAACTAATAAAATATAGGGAGTCTATTTTCTCGAAAATGTGTGATTTCTCCATCAATTCCATCTGTATGTCAATCTGCGCAATTGGTTTATATACTTTTGTTAAGGTTTAAAAATTGGCCATTTACGGTATATAACATACACATGGGGGTAGGGGAGGGGGGCGGGGTATGATAAACATAGCCAGTATATTAATTTTGATTTTTTTTTAAAAATCTTTTTTAGTTACGATGTAGAAAAAATAATTAAATGTCAGGCACCTTGGATCGATTTTGAAAGGAGGGAATTATAAGGAAAAAAAATACTACCTGAAAAAAATGACCAACCCCCCCCCAAAACGAGGAGAATTCTTCTAATACCAAATTTTAAGGCGGGGGTGTTAGGATCCATTACCGGGGGACAGCTTTTCGATGAATATTAATCATTATACTAAATTAAAAGTAAGTTTTACCTTCAGAAAAAAGTGTTAGGACGTGACAGGCACCCTGCCCCTCCCCCCCCCCCCCGATTCTATGTCCCTGAATATTGTGCTCACAGTGGAAGTCGGGTGCAAGTGAAATAATTTTCCAGAAATATTTGTATCAATTTAGAAAGTACTGATCTACTAAAGAATTAAATTTGTTATAACAAATTCGGTGAATTCGTTATAACGAATTCAGAAATTTGCTATAACAGATTAAATTCGTTTAAACTGTTCTAAAATTTGCTATAACGAATTAAATTCGTTTAAACAAATTATAAAATTTGTTATGACGAATTAAAGTCGTTTAATCTAATTCGACAATAAGGGCTTATAGAAAAGTATTTGTAAATTCGATATAACAAATTGTCGAATTCGTTTAAAGCACAGGTACTTGTGGACAGGACCCCCCGCCCCCGAATATACTCCCCGGGTCAAAAATTATTTTTATGTCTTTTTTCATAAACTATTCTTCTAGTACTAGTAAAAAATTTTGACCCGGGGGTATATTGGGGGGGGAGCTGTCCACAAGTACCTGTGGCCCCATATAATATTGCTGATTATGTGTAGATCTATATCCGATGGATTTGGTCATCATGATAACTTAGGAGCTTTTAATATCTTTTAATCTCTATTTATGTGGAGACAAAGTCGTTTAACATGATCACATACGTAATTTTTTATGCCCCCGTAATCGAAGATTCGGGGGCATATAGTTTTTGCCTTGTCCGCCTGTCTGTCTGTCTATCTGTATGACCTTCATATTTCACATGTGTATTCCTTGTGAAAGACCTTTCTTTGGGTACCCTCATATTTGACCTTTTGACCTTGACCTTGGAGTTTGGCATAGTTTTGCAAAATTTTACCTAACTTTAACCTTGGCCATAACTTTTGAACAATTGGTGCTAGGGCTTTCATACTTCACATGTGTAATTCTTGTGACAAGATCTTCCGTTGGATACCAACAACTTTGACCCTTTGACCTTGACTTAGGAGTTTGATCTACTTTTGAAAAACTTTAACCTTGGCCCTAACTTTTGAACGGTTGGTGTTAGGGCTTTCATACTTCACATATGTAATCCTTGTGACAAGACCTTCCATTGGATATTAACAACTTTGATCCTTTGACCTTGACCTTGGAGTTTAACTTACTTTTGGAAAACTTTAACCATTACTTTTGAACAGTTGGTGCTATAGGGATTTTGATACTGTATATGTGTATTCCTTGTGACAAGACCTTCCTTTAAATGCCAAAAATTATAGCCCATTGACCTTGGAGTTTGACCTACTTTTGGAAAACTTTAATTTTGGCCATTACTTTTGAACAGTTAGTGCTAGGGCTTTCATACTTCACATACATGTAAATAATCCTTGTAACAAGACCTTACTTTTGATACCAATAACTTTGACCCTATGACCTTGACCTTGGAGTTTGACCTACTTTTGAAAAACTTAAACCTTGACTTTATTTTAATTTAATTTTTATTTTATTTTAAGTCCCTCTCGAGAATTTTTCACTCATATGGAGACGCCACCACTTGCCGGGGGAGAGCTGCAAATTTTGACCTATAATCGGCACTCAGGGCCATTGAGCAGTGAGGGATCTTTTTCGTGCCAGCACCTACTGCGACACAGGACCTCGGTTTATACGTCTCATCCGAAGGACCAGTCTCCACGTCCAACAGTGGGATTCGAACCCGCGACGTAAGGATCAACTCCTTACTCCGCGACTCTAGAGTAAACGCTCTAACTTCTGCACCACGCCGGCGACTTTCACATATGTATTTCTTATGAGAAGGCCTTTCCTTGGGCACCATTAATTTTGACCATTTGACCTTGATATTTGGCTTACTTTTGAAAAACTCTAACCTTTTCCTTATCTTTTTAATGAGGTTGCTGCTAGGGCTTTCATATTTCATAGGTATATTCCTAGAGACAAGACCTTACTTTGGGTACCAACATATTTGATTTGCGTTTGAGAAAGTTTAACTGTTTAACCTTCGCTATAAGTTGCTATACGGGGACATCAATGTTTCACAAACACATTTAGTTTTAATTCCAATCTTTTTTTTTTTTTTTTGCTTTTCTTTCTATGGGAATATGATCACGCATTTGAATACACATGTTTATTCATGTTTTATACAAAATAGGGTATTCTACAAGACGTTCATAAGGAGAAAATTTAAAATAAAACTGAAACTACTTTTACTAACAGCAGTACATTAATAACGTTATTTTTATATGAAAAAAATTACCAAAATGGTGAATTTAATTTTGAATTTTAAGTTATCGTATTTTTAAAATTATTTCACACTAGAAACTTAACTTTGCATTCTTGCTATTTTTCCTGGGCTAAGTTAAAGATCGTAGCAGTTCCCCTAGGTGGTTGGCTAGATATCTAGCAACAGAATAGTATTAACCGTGTTAACTAAATCCAGGAGAAGAGAACTTGTGTAAGTTGTCAGAACTTGTTTTCAGTACTTTGTATCTCAATAAAAATTAAATATATTCAAATCTAGGTTTAAAGACGCTCTGTATGAATAAACACTTGTTCAGTTGTGAGTGTCCGTTTAAAGGTGCTTAGACACAGATTTGAAGTTAATATTTTCTCAAATTTTCTGTATAATTTCATGACTTATATGTTGTTATATCATTTCACACGAAATTATAATAAAAAAAACTTACTTTATCTGGAAATTATTGAAACTCGTTTGATTGTCACATTCTTGCACTTTCACAAACTAAATTTTATCCTCAATACTTAAGAAAAGTAGAAATTTTGTTGTGTGTTAATGAAAAATATTTAGATTATAATCCAGAAAATACAGAGTAGAAATGTGAGAAAACAAAACCAATTTACCAGTATGTATGCAGAATTTAACAAATTGAACACACCCGGGAAAAGTAAACTGTTTTTGTAAACAGGGCACGAGCTCTGTTATTGCTAACGTTTAACGTTTCACCGGGTGTGTTCAATTTGTTAAACTCTGCACACATCACTGAGCACGGACTGACAATACTGGTGAGTTGGTTTTGTTTTCTCACATTTCTACTCTGTATTTTCTGGATTATAATTTTAATACTTTTCATTAATACACAACAAAATTTCAACTTTTCTTAAGTATTGAGGATAATATTTAGTTTGTGAAACTACAAGGATGTGCCAATCAAACACGTCCCGAAATTCGTAGTTTCAATAATTTCCAGATAAAATAAGTTTTTTATTATATTTTCATGTGAAATGCTATTAACAACATATAAGTCATGATATTATACAGAAAATTTGAGTACTTCAAATCTGTGTCTAAGCCCCTTTAAGATCGTTAACTCTATGATCTTAATTGAACGCAGCCCTGTACCTGCATGGTCATCATTTCTAATTTGGTGGCTAAAATCTTGCAATCATCCTCATCACCAGGCAACTTATCTTATAGAACAGATGCTGCTTATATTCAATTCACATCAATATGTTATGAACCAAGCTTATTTTAGGTCCAGAACAGTAGAGCTGCAGTCTGAACAGATACTAGATTGGGAATGGTTTATCGGTGTTTTCAACATTTATTTTCTGATCATTTCAGTGACTGGTGATTTGGTGTAACAGTTTTTATCCCCAGTCATGTCTGCCGATAAAGAAATTGATCACCTGGTGCGCTCCCTTGGACTGACCCCTCACCCTGAGGGTGGCTTTTTCTCTGAGCAGTATCGGACTGACAGACAAGTTACATTTATACAAGCTAACAAGTAGGTATGCCAGGGTTAGGTCGGGGCCACAACAGTGGATGAAGTTTGTGCTAGGGTTAACATATTTCATAATATATAGTCTTCTGAGGACCAAGATTACTCAGGTTAGTATTGTGGTCCATGGGCCTTTTTTTCAAATTTATGTATGTGGTTAGGAGTCTTGCAGGAAAGGAAGAGTACCAAGAAGGGTGGACTCTAAACAGAAGCCTTTGTTCTTTTTCTTTTTTTTTTTTGAAATGAAGAATATCAATAATTGTAGAAATTTGGCATCTACATGTATTTCAAATAAATTTAACCTGCAGGATGTTTGAACAAATTCAAATAATGATTATACTAGTACTAGGTTTATCTCAGGTTTTACCATGTACAGTATAGATAACTGCAAAGTAGCAATTATAGTGACATAGGTTTATGTCAACTTGTCATTTACTCATACATTTAAAAATTTATTATGAAAATGTGCCCATGACCAGTTGACAACATATTTTCTTACAAGTCAACCTAGTGATCTGATAAGTCGACATAAAGAACTGACAAGTCAACAAGATCAACTGACAAGTTAAAATCACTTAAATCTTTCATGACATCATATTTGACAAATTGACTTAAATATATGACAAGTCAACATAATTATCTGACAAGTCAACATATCCTCTAACCAATTAAAATAATTTTCTGACAAATCAACATCATACAACTATGTCACCTTGTTAGAAAATTATGACTTGTTAGAAATTATTTCCAGTTGTCAGATAAATGTGATGATTTGACAGATAATTTATAATGTTGACTTCTCAGAAAATTATATTTTCTTGTTAAAAATTATATGGATTTATTATATACAGTGAAACTTGTCTAATCCAGATGTTTGTATTATGAAATCTTGCCTAATCTGATATAAACTTTAAGTCCCTTTCATTAAATTCAGTGGTTTAAAATGTTGTCTAATCCAGAATGTTGTCTAATCCAGCCAATTTCTATGGAACCAGTGGTGTCCGGATTAGACAAATTTTACTGTGATTAGGATTAAATTAACTCAAATTTACTTTAATTAAACAAGGTGTAGTTTTATCCCTCCGCCTTTTTTATTTTCAGATTTCAAGGACCCAGAGATGGTGGCAGTTGTATTTACTATCTTTTAAAGTCTGACAAGTATGTGTCTTTCCATTTACCTTTGTTTGACGAGATCTTTCTGTGGCATGCAGGGGGACCATCAAAAGTGTGTGGAATCATCACTTTTCTTTAAATCCATGTTTATTTATAAACTTTCTAGATCAGTAATCGTATTAAATTTTCCTCCATCTAGATATATACAATAGACAATGAAGGAAAATTAACACAGAAGATTCTAGGAGATACTTTGAAAAATGGTGATTATCGATACCAAGTAACAGTGCAACATGACACTTGGTATGCAGTGGAGCCAATGGAAGGGACACAGTACACTCTCTTTGGAGCTGTTGTTATTCCAGGTACTTCTGCATTCTTAATGGCATTAGTTAACTAATTTTGGGAGTTCAGAGAATTAAAATTAACCAAGATAGTTTTCAGTGATATGCATGTAAATTGCAAAACTTTAATGCAACACTTATAACGAATTTTAACGTCTGTTTTTTTAATAATCAGGACAAAATGTACAAACTGGATACCAAAAGGACTATATTTGGTAACGACCAATATTTGCCCCCAAAATCAAACTTTGACAGAGAAATACCAGTATATAATTATGTTCTAAAACGGGGGACATCTGCAGACTTCAAAGCAATAAATATTTTCATCAGCCATGACATCATATGTTAGATATGATGTCAGGAATATGACGTAAATTCAAAATTACCATGATTTTTTGTGAAAAAGGTGTATATTATGTCGATATACCACATATAGCTCTTTGTACTTTTTTAAACTCGTATGACTCGAAAGATCAAGTGAAATGTTTTGATCAAAGACTGTCTGGCATCCCTCTTTCCCTCTCTGTGTTTTTCATGTTTTTGGCTCACCTGAACTAAAGGGTCAAGTGAGTTTTTTTTATCACTCATTGTCCATCATTTATCTGTCCATCCATCTCCAAACTTTTCACATTTTCAACTTCTTAAGTACCGGTGGACCAATATCAACCAAACATGTTACAAAGTATCCTTGGATAATGGGGATTTAAGTGTAAAGGGCCATACCCTCTTGAAAAGGAAGATACATGTAATTAAAAAAAGACAAAAAAAATCAATGTCTTAAAAGAATCTTCTTCTCAAGAATCACAAGGCACAAAAAAAACTTATATGCAAGCTTTCTGACAAAGAGTACACTCAATTTTGTTCAACTGAGGGTCCCAGGGGTACTCTATGGTGGGGTTGCACAGGACATCAAAATTTTACATTGGAATATTTAGGGAAAAAATCTTTAAAAATCTCCTTCATAAGAACAGCAGAGTTATGACCAGGGGAAGTGTGGACCACAACAGGACCTCAAAGTTTTATATACAATATGTAAGAATAGACAGGAATTTTATTTTTCAAGAGTAGCAGGCCACATTAAATCATATTGATAAGCAATGACCCCTGCAATAGGGGATGAGTTTTGCAAAGCTAGGAATTTGTAGGAGCGAATCTTTTCAAGAGTAGCAAGGCTACAATAAATCACATTAATGTGCAAACATTCACAAGTTTTGTGGACTTAAGTTTTTAATTTTACAAAATATAAGTATAATATATATAAGTTTTTTTTTTTTAATTTTACAAATAATGAACTTTTAGGCTGAGGTGGGGCTAAAATTGGAATGGGGGACTCAGGTTAGCATTGTGACCCATAGGCATCTTGTTTCTTTTTTGAAGGATGGGATTTACAAGACTGGGCTCAAGGAAAGAGGGCAGATATGCTACAGAAATTCCCACAACATGGAGAGCTAATCCAAAGATTGTGTAAAGAGTAAACTGTGTTCAACCCCTGAGAATCTGATCATGGCTGATGATATATATGCAGAGTATTAACAGATTTTTTTCATTCTAATAAATTTCTATAAAAAATAAATAAACAATAAATTTCTAGCACTAGAGTAAAATTTAATAAAAATGTTCATCATTTGCACATATGTATTCTAATACTGCCCAGACACAAATTATGTTTGTCTTACATTATACTGGCAAGCAAAACTAAAAATAAGTCTTGTTTTTGTATTCAAAAAAATACAACAAAAATAAAGCTTTCTATAAATTAAAAAAAAAAAACTATCTTGGAAATATTTGCACACAAGTAAATTTCATGATTAACAATAAGATTTTCAATCTCCTAATAGAAATGACAAAATATCAATGAGCTGAAAAAAGATTTGAAATGATAAAGAAGAGAATGATTCACAATCAAGATTCATGAATTACAAAGAGGACACTGTTAAAAGATCAAGAGAAACTGATATTCTAAATGCATAATGCTTCAGCAGTTTATCAACACCCTGTCAACAAAACAAACTATTTTTTAAAATGAAATAGTTAACAAACACCCTGTGTCTGATTCTGTAAAAAGTGAAGTATATATTATTAATGGGATTCTCCCTTGAGACTGTATATCTATATAGAACTCTGCTAATAGTCTAGATAGTTTTAGAACAATTTGTACAATAAAGCTGCAATGATGCCAACATATTAAAACAATAGGCCCATTGGCCAATACACTCACTTCAATAATTTTAACCCTGCTGTTCTTCAAAAGATTCTTTTTTCTCCTTTATTGCCTGACGCCACGTGCGTCAGGCAGTATAAGGATTAATATTTCAGGGATCCGAAACTAAGCGATCATTCTTAATGAACTAGATTTTGTGCAAGCTGATTTACATCGGAATTTGTTACCTGGATTTAAACAAATACAGTTTGCAGAAGAAAGAATCATATAACTGATGCAAAATAATGATGTGTTTAATTCCTTCAGTTCTTTTGCATACACATGTTTATTCTATGCGATTCTTTGTACGGACATGTCCGTGTAACATTTTTTCTGCGTTTCTAAACTACTGGATCAGTCCATTTGCCTTCTAAGAAAGGGGTGACACAATGATTTCACGCCAAATGTCACATGAAAATTATCTTCGCGCCTTTTCCTTGGGTTGTTCTATTGAATGGGTGTGATAACTTCTATGGAAATAAATAAAGTTTATTCTTTTAACATGATTCTTAAGCTCCTGATTTTTTATTAACAGTAAATTTTATCTCATTTTATAAGATAACACATTGTACATGGACAGGCAACACTAAAGCAGGGACCTATATACTAGTTAGTATATAGGTCCCTGACTAAAGCAATGGATTTGCTGATTATTCTTACTATTTATCCCATAAGTGGACTTGTCTAATCATAAACAAACTCCCTCCACCTAGTAAATTGGACATCCCTTCTTGATTCAGTCTGTTTTCCACCTAGCCTTTCTTTCAATATTACATTTATTAATAATGTACATTACAAGGTAAGGTTTTTAAAAAAAAAGCTTAGAAAGTCAGCGAGTAGCATATTATTTCATGCTTTGTGATAAACAAGGGTTTCCTTTTAATACAGTGACAAGAGTGTAGGTCAGTACCCGTAGAGGAATGGGCTTCACTCTCGTAAAGTTCTAAGTAAAGAATCGGCAAAATGAAGACATCATGATCTGTTCTTTTCATTTTTCATTTCATAAAAAAGCACGTTATTATAAAAATGAGAAAGGTCCTGAAATCGATTGAAAAGAAAAACTAAACAATTTCAAAACTGTATATAACTGAAGATGTATTTTAAACTCATTTATAGTACACGTATATGGTAAGACCATCGATCATCGCGTGAGTTTTGTCCAAGGGGGGGTGGGGGTGTTTTTAGTATCATTCTTGTTTTGCGCTAGCTATAAAATGTACAGGTCATTTACTTTGATTTCTAGAGCAGCATTGAAGCATTTTTGTCTCAAACACTTCAAGACAACTTTCTGAGTTAAAACTGTTCATAATTTACTTCGTCGTCGAGAACGACGGAAAACGTACAGACCAGTCTATAAATAGAGGCCGTCTCATCAATCTATCACTGACCAGGGAGTGTGCATAAAGAAGTGAGCCCTCTAGTAAGAGAGTACATGTTATATGAATTTCTTTAAAACGAATCATCTAACTATTTTCCCCAGAATTATCAGTGGCGGATCCAGGAATTTCATATCGGGAGGGCGCAGTAGAAGGAAGGGGGTCTGTATTGAAACCCCAGTGGGTCCAGGGCAAAGCCCTGATGGGGGTTCGGGGGCGAAGCCCCCGGAAGCTGACGAATTCTTACAAATAAGGTGTTTTTCCTTGATTTTAGGATAATAAACATATAAGTTCTACTTATATGTAGGGGGGGGGGGGGGGGCGTACGCCCGGCGCACCGGTGCTGGATCCGGGATCCGCCTTTGATTATAATCTACGCTAGCGCACTTGCAGTTTCATCCCAACGTAACTAGTCAGCCCGTGGGCTAACTAATAAATGACCAAATAGTGGCATGTCTTAGATATTCGTTAATCTGTAGTATTTGGTTATGACATTTGAGAAAGTCAATTGTACGTCTTGTGTAATGGAGTATCGCAACTATGATGACGGAAACGTTTAGCACCTCTCTTGCATATACATTCCATAGATATTGATTGATTAGTCAGGCAAGCTTTTTGAAAAGCTATTACTTGTATTCTGATGAAAATTGTGATCCCATATTATGTCTCATCCTCACTCTATTATCTCTGAATCCACACAACAGATAGATGCTTCAATATCAATATGACTAACATGGCTTTACATGCAGTTATGGAGAAAAATCTTTTCCTGTATAAATACATTATGTAAAAATTGATTCTGATTTTCTGATCTAACCCAGGGTTCATAATTAAAATAAAAACTGAATCCACTCAACTTGGGAATGTTTACAAATTAATGGTTCTATTGTGGTCCTTGAGGAGCTATTTTAAACTTTAATCCAATATATTCCAATGTAACATTGATACCCTATTGTGGCCCCACCATGCCCCTGGGACCATTATTTGAACAATTTTTAATCAACAGTATGTCTTGAAACTTTCACATAAGTTTCACCTCTTCTGATTCAGTGATTCTTCTTCAGAGGATTTTAAATAATTTGTTCCTATATATTCCAATGTAAAACTTTTATCCCCTGTTGTGACCCCACCCTACCCCAAGGGCTATGATTTGAATAATTAGAATCTACACTACCTCAGCAAGCTTTCATATGTTTCAATTCTTCTGGTCCAGTGGTTCTTGAGAAGATTTTTAAATTACCCCATCCATATTTGCATTTTTTTAATTATCTCCCTTTGTAAGAAGGCTTGGCTCTTTATTTAAACAATATAGAATCCCCTTAACCCAAGGGAGCTCTGTGCCATCTTTAATTAAAATTGGCCTTGTGGTTCTTGATAAGTCAAAAATGTGAAAAGTTGACAGACGGATGGATGTATAGACGGACGCATGGACAGTGGGGGATCAGAAAAGCTCATTTGAACTTACAGCTCACATAAGTTAAAACCTTAATAAAAATTGTCTACAGAATTCATAGATATTAGACTGGAGATCATTTATACAGCTGTTGCATCTACTACAATATACACTGATACCAAGGCAGAAAGGTGAGTACTCTGTCAGGCTCAGGACGTATCACAATATCTGTATACTAATGCAAAATTCTGCTAAGGTGTTCATAGTAAAAAAAAAAAATACCAGTAATCAAAATATTAACATTGAAAAAAAGAAGAATTCAATAATGAGAAGGTACCATCTTGTACCATAATGTACCTAAAGACAGGACTTGTATTTGAAATTTTATGAATACTATTATAATTGATTATTTTTCATGTATATATGTATCTTACCATGAAATGATTCATCTTCTCTCATATTAAAAGCTACAATAGTATGTACAGTAAAACAAAATGAACTGGTAAGGTTTAATAGAAAGTTTGTAAATTGATAAACCTTAATACCATACACAGAAATATACCAAAATACACCTTAATTCTGCTGATACCATATATCTAAAACAAAGGAATGGTTGACTATGAAGTTCCTGTCTTTGATGCAGCAAAGCCTTGATACATGAACTTAGTTGTGGACAACATCTATATCAGTACTGCTGCCTTTGGCACAAATGGGAGGTATGCTCAGCAAATGGACTTGTTCTTTCCTGATCCTGCACCCTTTTTCTTTCCACCTTTTTTCTTTCCCTTCTTTTTCTTTGCAGCTGATCCAAGTTCTGCCAGACGAGCTTTCCTTTCTTCAGCAAGTTCCCTTCTGCGGATTATTTCATTGGCTCTATCTGTTGAAGCAATTATGCAATGTATTTGTAAAGTATATAGAAACAGATAATTCTTGAAATGTTTGCATAGTCATGATCATATAAAGCAAATGTAGGAAAGAAAGAAAAAATTAAATAGGCAGCTATTGCCTATAGCTGCTCTCCATTTCACTTGGAAAATTAATATGTAGATCACTATATTCTCAGAACACCCTATTTTCACGAGATAGCTATTTGGTGTTTATAAGAGAGACATAATTATTCATGAGCTGTGGTTACTGCTATATATAATCCTTATCAATATAAAAGTATGCAAGTTAAAATTTACACAAGCAGGTAGACATGCGTAATTATGCAAAAATAAAGTTCTTGCAAATAAAAAGACATTTACAGTACTGCTTCTAAAAATATAACAAAGGAGAGTTTTACCAACCTAAGTTTTTCTCTGCCAACTTGAACTGCTTATACTCAACAGGAAGCCAGACTTTGGGGTGACTTAACAAACTGGAAAGTTGTAAAAGGTAATAATGAAGAATATTTCTACTTAATGTACAATGCAATTTAATTTGTACATGCACTGAATTCAGAGAATAACTAATACCAACCTTGCTGAAGTTGATCGAGGTAATTTGTTTTCAACATCATAGTACAAAGTTTTCCCAGATGGAGGATAAAGTGCCCTAAAATTGGGAAATTTAATCACAGTATAAACAGAACTACATTAATTCTGTGCGATATTTAAATAAAGTGTTAACTTCGTTAATTACTCATTATTTTAAAACTTGTGAGCCACCTTTCTAAGGTTTCTGGTCTGATGAATACATCTGCAGCAGCCAATCTCTGATGGAGCTGGTAAGCCTCCAGCTCATTCTCGGTGAAGACATCCTGAAAACAGTGACACAAAGTTCTATCCTGGGATTATATATAAAGTTAATCATTATGTTTATCTTTAAAAGTTACCTTTAAAGAAAATATTTGAAAGTTCATTCAATGAGGTTTACAAAATTTTACAAATTAGTTCGGCACAAATTCCTAGTTTCTATCATTAAAAGAAAAATAATTTTGAGGTTGAGCATAATTTGCCTAACTGAAATATATATGATAAGCATTACATCATCTGGATTTTTGGAATTGATGAAGAATGGTTTGGTGTATCTGACTTTTGGTTCTGATGCGACCCTACGGAGCGGGGCAGATCTCACACGACTCCGGGAGTAAGACGCGTAGTGCTCTAAACAAAACATAAATATTCTATAATTACTAACACATGTATAATAAACCTATGGCATGTATGGTGATATTTACAGGACAGATAGTAGATTTTTTTATTACATACATGTATATATGGCAGATCTCTGAAGTACTACTTTATCTCAGATCTTGTATTGCAAATGATACTGAAAATAGTTAATACTTGTACATCTAATTATAGTACAGTAATCAGTGTCCCGTTTTACAAAAGAACTTACGACTAAGACCAAAATTTAATTCTGCTAATAACTTTCTAATTTATGTTAAATAGAAAATGGTTTTAATCTTTTTAAAAGGTATCTAGAAAGATACTTTTATGCTAGCAATATTAAACAGAATCATGAAGTTTGCAAAATTTTACAATCAACTAAAGTTTTTGGTCTTAGTCGTAAGTTCTTTTGTAAAACGGGTCCCTGGTGCAGAACTTACTCGTGTTGTCTGTTAGCTTGGCATTGACCCTAGTTTCTGCCATTTTCAGTACAATTTTGTTGACTTTGTTTTCCTTTAAACTAAAAAGCAAAACTATTACTTTTCAATCTGATCTACAGATTCACAAATTATTTTCAGACATGCAAGATCATATAATTAACTATTAAACAAGATGTGTTTGTGAAACACTGATGCCCCCCATATGGCAACTTATAGAAAAGGTTAAACTTTCTCAAATGCAAATCAAATAGTTGGTACCCAAAGTAAGGTCTTGTGTTGAGGAATATACCTGTGAAATATGAGAGCCCTAGCAGCAACCATTGAATAGATATGGAAAAGGTTAAAGTTTTTTTCAAAAGTAAGTCAAACATCCAGGTCAAGGTCAAATGGTCAAAATTAATGGTGCCTAAGGAAAGGCCTTCTCCCAAGAAATATACCAGTGAAATATGTGAAGTATGCACCAATCGTTCAAAAGTTATGACCAAGGTTTAAGTTTTTCAAAAGAAAGTCAAACTCCAAGGTCAAGGTCAATGGATTACAATTGTTGGTATCAAAAGCAAGGTCTTGTCACAAGGATTATATATGTGAAGTATGAAAGCCCTAGCTGCAAAGTTTTTCAAAAGTGGGTCAATCTCCAAGGTCAAAGTTGTTGGTATCCAAAGGAAGGTCTTGTCACAAGGATTACTTATGTGAAGTATGAAAACCCTACCATCAACTGTTCACAAGTTATGGCCAATGTTAAAGTTTTTCAAAAGTAGGTCAAACTCCAAGGTCAAAGAGTCAAAGTTGTTGGTATCCAAAGAAAGGTCTTGTCACAAGGATAACATATGTGAAGTATGAAAGCCTTAGCCGCAACGGTTCAAAAGTTATGGCCAAGGTCAATGTTTTTCAAAAGTAGGTCAATCTCCAAGGTCAAGGGGTCAAAGTTGTTGGTATCCAAAGGAAGGTCTTGTCACAAGGATTATATATGTGAAGTATGAAAGCCTTAGCACCAAACATTCAAAAGTTATGGCCAATGTTAAAGTTTTTTCAAAAGTAGGTCAAACTCCAAGGTCAAAGGGTCAAAGTTGTTGGTATCCAAAGAAAGGTCTTGTCACAAGGATTACACATGTGAAATATGAAAGCCCTAGCACCAATTGTTCAAAAGTTATGGCCAAGGTTAAAGTTGGGTAAAATTTTGCAAAACAGGGTTAAACTCCAAGGTCAAGGTCAAATATGGTGGTACCCAAAGAAAGGTCTTGTCACAAGGAATACACATGTGAAATATGAAAGCCATAGCTCCAACCAATCAAAAGTAATGGGCAATGTTAAAGTTTTTGCGGACAAACAAACAGACAGACAGACGGACGGACAGGGCAAAAACTATATACCCCCGAATCTTCGATACGGGGGCATAATAAAAACAATATACTGTAGATTCTTATTTTACATGAGTACTTACAAATTGACTCAGAAGCCAAATTGTAAGAATAAGAATTTGTGATTGAACTGCTGATCTAGAGTTTTTGCATGTATTTTAGCAATATAAAAATAAAAGCGGGTAATTTTATTTTCCGAGTTCTGCTTCTAGCAAAATTTTGCCAAAATTAGGAATCTACAATGTATAAACAATGCACTCTTTTGGTTGTAAAAAGCTCTCAGGAGCTTTTTTACGTCAAACTGTAAAGTTTATTTTAAATGTGAACAACTAGATATCAACACTTTTACATCCAGATCTCTCAGCTTTAGTTGAGGTTTGAATGATATAAACACTATAATATCCATGTACATATACCTCTCAGATTTGAGTGTAGGCTTTTATTATGTAAATCTTATTATTACATACATACCTCTCAGATTTGAGTGTAGGCTGTTATTATGTAAATCTTATTATTACATACACACCTCTCAGATTTGAGTGTAGGCTTTTATTATGTAAATCTTATTATTACATACATACCTCTCAGATTTGAGTGTAGGCTGTTATTATGTAAATCTTATTATTACATACATACCTCTCAGATTTGAGTGTAGGCTTTTATTATGTAAATCTTTTTATTACATATGTACCTCTCAGATCTGAGTGTAGGCTGTTATGGTGTAAATCTTATTATTACATACATACCTCTCAGATCTGAGTGTAGGCTGTTATGGTGTAAATCTTATTATTACATACACATCTCTCAGATCTGAGTGTAGGCTTTTATTATGTAAATCTTATTATTACATACACACCTCTCAGATTTGAGTGTAGGCTGTTATTATGTAAATCTTATTATTACATACACACCTCTCAGATCTGAGTGTAGGCTTTTATTATGTAAATCTTATTATTACATACACACCTCTCAGATTTGAGTGTAGGCTTTTATTATGTAAATCTTATTATTACATACAGACCTCTCAGATTTGAGTGTAGGCTGTTATTATGTAAATCTTATTATTACATACATACCTCTCAGATCTGAGTGTAGGCTGTTATTATGTAAATATTATTATTACATACATACCTCTCAGATTGGAGTGTAGGCTGTTATGGTGTAAATCTTATTATTACATACATACCTCTCAGATCTGAGTGTAGGCTGTTATGGTGTAAACCTTATTATTACATACACACCTCTCAGATCTGAGTGTAGGCTGTTATTATGTAAATCTTATTATTACATACACACCTCTCAGATTTGAGTGTAGGCTGTTATTATGTAAATCTTATTATTACATACACACCTCTCAGATCTGAGTGTAGGCTTTTATTATGTAAATCTTATTATTACATACACACCTCTCAGATTTGAGTGTAGCTTTTATTATGTAAATCTTATTATTACATACATACCTCTCAGATTTGAGTGTAGGCTTTTATTATGTAAATCTTATTATTACATACATACCTCTCTGATTTGAGTGTAGGCTTTTATTATGTAAATCTTATTATTACATATACACCTCTCAGATTTGAGTGTAGGCTTTTATTATGTAAATCTTATTATTACATACATATCTCTCAGATCTGAGAGTAGGCTTTTATTATGTAAATCTTATAATTACATACACACCTCTCAGATTTGAGTGTAGGCTGTTATTATGTAAATCTTATTATTACATACACACCTCTCAGATCTGAGTGTAGGCTTTTATTATGTAAATCTTATTATTACATACACACCTCTCAGATTTGAGTGTAGGCTTTTATTATGTAAATCTTATTATTACATACATACCTCTCAGATTTGAATGTAGGCTGTTATGGTGTAAGTCTTATTATTACATACATACCTCTCAGATCTGAGTGTAGGCTTTTATTATGTAAATCTTATTATAACATACATACCTCTCAGATTTGAGTGTAGGCTGTTATTATGTAAATCTTACTATTACATACATACCTCTCAGATTTGAGTGTAGGCTTTTATTATGTAAATCTTATTATTACATACATACCTCTCAGATTGGAGTGTAGGCTGTTATTATGTAAATCTTATTATTACATACATACCTCTCAGATTTGAGTGTAGGCTTTTATTATGTAAATCTTATTATTACATACATACCTCTCAGATTTGAGTGTAGGCTGTTATTATGTAAATCTTATTATTACATATACACCTCTCAGATTTGAGTGTAGGCTTTTATTATGTAAATCTTATTATTACATACATATCTCTCAGATCTGAGTGTAGGCTTTTATTATGTAAATCTTATTATTACATACACACCTCTCAGATTTGAGTGTAGGCTTTTATTATGTAAATCTTATTATTACATACATACCTCTCTGATTTGAGTGTAGGCTTTTATTATGTAAATCTTATTATTACATATACACCTCTCAGATTTGAGTGTAGGCTTTTATTATGTAAATCTTATTATTACATACATATCTCTCAGATCTGAGTGTAGGCTTTTATTATGTAAATCTTATTATTACATACACACCTCTCAGATTTGAGTGTAGGCTTTTATTAGGTAAATCTTATTATTACATACACACTTCTCAGATTTGAGTGTAGGCTGTTATGGTGTGAATCTTATTATTACATACATACCTCTCAGATTTGAGTGTAGGCTGTTATTATGTAAATCTTATTATTACATACATACCTCTCAGATTTGAGTGTAGGCTTTTATTATGTAAATCTTATTATTACATATACACCTCTCAGATTTGAGTGTAGGCTTTTATTATGTAAATCTTATTATTACATACACACCTCTCAGATTTGAGTGTAGACTTTTATTATGTAAATCTTATTATTACATACATACCTCTCAGATCTGAGTGTAGGCTGTTATTATGTAAATCTTATTATCACATACATACCTCTCAGATCTGAGTGTAGGCTGTTATGGTGTAAATCTTATTATTACATACACACCTCTCAGATCTGAGTGTAGGCTTTTATGGTGTGAATCTTATTATTACATACATACCTCTCAGATTTGAGTGTAGGCTGTTATTATGTAAATCTTATTATTTCATACATACCTCTCAGATTTGAGTGTAGGCTTTTATTATGTAAATCTTACTATTACATACACCTCTCAGATTTTAGTGTAGGCTTTTATTATGTAAATCTTATTATTACATACATACCTCTCAGATCTGAGTGTAGGCTTTTATTATGTAAATCTTATTATTACATACATACCTCTCAGATTTGAGTGTAGGCTGTTATTATGTAAATTTTATTATTACATACAGACCTTTCAGATTTGAGTGTAGGCTGTTATTATGTAAATCTTATTATTACATACACACCTCTCAGATCTGAGTGTAGGCTTTTATTATGTAAATTTTATTATTACATACACACCTTTCAGATTTGAGTGTAGGCTGCTATTATGTAAATCTTATTATTACATACATACCTCTCAGATTTGAGTGTAGGTTTGTATGTCCCACTGACTAATGTTTCAATATCTTCATAATTCTTCTTTGTCTGAAACGTAGAAAAACTTGAATACCTGGTTTTTTTTTACTTATAGGTCTTTTTTAATGTAATCGTATGCAAGTACCTGTCAAAAGAAAGTTTTTTTTATACAATATAAACATTGACTGACCTTCCTGGATGCAGTCTTAGCCTTGCTTCCTGAAGGTGGCCTCTCTTTCACTTCCGCACCTTCTTCCTGGTCATGTGATATGGCTTCTGTTTCTTTGGCTTCATCCATCTTGCTGCTTTTGAGGTTCTCTGTCATCTTCTTGTCTGAAGCATCAGGTTCTGGAAGCATTCTGTCTTCTGGTTTACATCCAGGGGTTGCTGCATCATTTCTGCGTAGATGTTTATTGATAAGATTTTCTATCTCTCTCTCCCTTTCACTCAGTTCAGGTTTTGGTCCATGTGACAAATTTACTTTTTCATTCACTGTTCCTTTTAATGTGTCAATACACTCTTCCTTTTGCAGTGACACTTCAGACTTTCGTTGACTATGTGTTGCAGAGAGAGGTCTTCTAAGCATCTGAAACAAAACCCCATCTCCATGTTATCATTAATTCATTATATTAATTAGATTATCATCCTAACTTGCAATAAACATCTGCAGATGGAAGATTTAATTCTTTATACTTTGAAAGATCTATATCATATTCTTGTATATCTTTTTTTAATACTGAAATGACTACACAAAGCAATTTTTCAGCTTTTATAATAAAACAATTTTTTGCAAAAATATTAAGTAATGTACATGATCTGATCTTCTCATATATGTATCTTAATTATTTTCTTTCTTATTTAGTAGTCTTTTTTATTCTAAGTAGAAAATGTCAATGAGGGACATTTTAAGCACATCAGGTTAGGACTAGAATCTAAAAACTATGTGGCCTAATCCAAGGTTTACAAAAGAATGAAATATTTCTTAGCTTACCTTCTTTTCAACAGACTTTACTTTATCAAGATGTGTTGCAACAGCACCCAATTTACCAACAGGCAGTTCTGGATTTTGACTAGATTTGATCTTTTGAGACTGAAAATTTATATATTTAAAAATTCATTTACCACACCTTTTTTATTAGTGAAATATATATGCATGATGCAGCACATGTATACAATTGTTCATATTTCATGATAGATTGAACAAGCATGTAGTCCATGGCTAGAATTCAGAGTAAACTCCAAGTGAGTAATTCAATTTCAAACCCTGGTAACCTGATTATATCAAATTTAATAATCTTTGAGACACTAAATGAAGAATTTTTTTTCCAAAAACACAGATTTCTAAATGTTCAAAGTGAATTATTCATTGCAGTGTTTGATCGTTTTTTAGTGTTTGCCTTACATTACATGAATGAAATGAACAAACCATTTCACTGCTTGGTCTGTTTGTCAGCCTCTCTTTAGGAGCTACATGATGAGGTCGCTCACTGGATGGCCTGGCCTTGACCCTGTTTTCCTCATCCAGTCCCACAAACCTCTCCCTGTCTCGACTCTTCAACAGAGCACTTGCATCTATCACATTCTTTATAGTTGTTTCCTTTGGCTTGTATTCATCAAACTCGATTGTTTTTGTTGTCTTGTACATATGGTTTGATGTTTTGGGAGAGAGTTCTCGGAAATGACTTTGCACAGATGTGGATCTCCGAGATAATTCGTAATAGTTCTTAGGGGGTTCAGATACACACTTGGTTGGCATCCATGACTCCAGTTTGTCAGGAGTTATGTCCTCCTTATCAGCCTCTGGAACACTTTCCTCTTCACTGTCAGACAGAACTCTCTCTACCATGGTGATGACTTCTTTCTCTGAATGTTTCTTGCTGCCCTTTGATTTGGAGCTTTTCTTGATTTCCTCCATGTCACTATATGCCACAGTGACTGTTGTAACAGGGGTGGAGGGCTTGTTAGCAGACCTTGGTCTCTCATGAGTCAGTCTTTTTTCACACTTTGTGTCATATACAGGTCTCTGCTTCAATGCAGAATTGAGAGGTTTTGGTTTCTTTGAGATTTCACAGCTCTGCTGACTATATTTGCGTTCAACACTGTGCTTGGTATCTTGGTTTACTTCTGTTAAAGAGATGCCATTCTTTGGTAGACCTGTGCTGAGGATGGATAATACAGACTCCAATTCTCCTTTCATCTGTGGAGAAATACGCTTTTTCCTGGAATGCGTTTCCATGTCAGCCACTTTGTAGCCTAGGTTTCTTGGGGTGATATCTATAGTAACATTTTTATCCTCCCGGAATTTGACAGAGGTCTTTTCATTCTTTTCATTGAAAGATGAATCTTTTTGGTCCAGTTCTGCCAACTCTTCATCCCAATCATCTTCTAAGCTGTCGTCATCTTCCTCAAACAAATCATCAGAATCATCTGATACGGTATTGACATCATTGGACAATGAATTGTTATCTACTTCCTCTTTTAGAATTCTAGAGGGTAATGCAACATCATCTTGCCCATTGACCTCCAAATGACCAGCATTTGGTTTATTACTTGTATTGTGTGTGTAAGTAAATCCAGGTAAGTTTTCTGTAACCACAGGTGTTGGTGCATGTTCTTCTGCCTTGGCTAAAAGCCTTAAATTTAAATTAAATTTACAAAGTTAACATAATTAGTAAGTAGTGTTGGCATAAGTTGTCTAAATTTCTAAGAAGTCTCCTTTCATTTATAAATTAAAATCAATCTTAGGCAAATAAAACAGTAAACTAAAAAATTTAATTCTAGCTAGAACTAATAAAAAATAAGAGCACCATTAAATAAATAAATGGAAGTTCCTGCACTCAGAATGAAGCCTGAATTTTAAGTCATTGTCATTCTACCTTTCAGTGTCAAGGTCACTATCTTCTTCATAATCCTCCTCCATCCTGGGGAGTGAGAAGTGAATGGGCTCTGGGGAGGCTAGTTTTGGAGGTTCTGTATTTATGACCTCATTCTCTTCAATGTGATAATCATCAACGCTGGAAGGTCCCAATTTCATTCTGATTAAAAAAGAGTTGCATTATAAAATACTAATATAATATGATGTACAATTTTGTACATACATGTACTGTAAGCTTACATCAAGTATTTTTAACCCTTTTACTTATGCACTGATAGCTCTGGTCTATTTTGGGAAAATTTAAGACTGTGCTTATTTAATATTGCCCAAATAACCTCAAAGCAACAATTCTCTTTATCCAGTCATGTTTTGTGTAAAGAGAAGAATGGTAAAACTTCCAACAATTAGTTCAGTTGATAAACACAGTTGATAAACACAGTGTTAGTATTTTAAATATTTTCCAATGGTACAGGTGATAAAATACCAACCTTTAGAGCAAGTTTGCTCCACTGACAAACTAGTAGTTGGTAAAGCACTGAACAACATCATAAATTCCATCTGATATTTAAAAGTGAACAAAATTTACCAAGACTGTTTTCTTAGTAGTCACACATCAATAAATTCATATTCAGTGAAAACAGTTCCTTACTCTGGAGGAATGGGTGACCCTGCTGGAGCTGGTGGGGGTGACCCCCCAAGGGATATCCTGCCACATGAAATGTCTGGAAAATAATTTGTAATCTAATTCTATACGGATTTATTAAAACATTACTGTATACAGGGTTAATTTCGCCCCGTGTTATTTTCGCCCTATTACACTTGCAGACAATTTTGCCCCATTTTAAATTTGCCCAGTCACAGTTTTGTTTAAGCAATTATACTGTTTTCTTTGAATTCGCCCCGTCTTAAATTCGCCCACTTGTGTCTAGGGCAGAAGGGGTGAAAATAAAATGGGGGTGAAAATTTCCCTGTATACAGTATTTAAAAATCCAGTAATTTTTTACCTGATAACATTTTTATTATTTGAATTGATAGCATTTATCTTACCTGTTGGTAAATCATCAGCAAACTTGAGGCCTGCTGGGGGTCCCACCCATCCAGTTGATGTGTAATGTACAGTCTTTGGGGGTCTCCCTGCTGGATCTACTCGGGCACCTTTCACTGAAATAGGTTTCGTTATGAAAATGATTAATTTTACCTCTCATTTTTCTTGATTTTGTTTCATACAGCCATTTTTTGTCAAACTTTTGTCACCCTTCTGTATCATGGCTGCATGATAATGCTACCTTTAAAAGTGTATAAGATATAGGCTAGAACTAAACTGTGGAGGATAAACAGAAAGAGGGATAAGACTACAGATAGACCTATAAACATAATGCAATAGAAATAATTCAAGCTTACTTTCAAAATGATTGTGTTCAAATAATAATCATTTACTAAGAACTGGAAGCTTATTAAGACATTTTTTATCAGATTCCTTCATCATGTAAAAAGATTCATTATTACAAAATGTACCTCCAATACTGGGTCCTCTTGGTGGGAGTTGTGATCCCTTTGCATTGTGTAACTCTTTTGCACTCTGAGGTCGAGATTTTTTACTGCTTGAAGGACGAGTATGTCGGACTGAAGGCTTCTCAGACATTTGAGACCGGGCACTATGCTGAGCCAGGAGGTCAGGAATTGATCCATTACTTCCCCTAATATTCCACATAATGTATAATATTTAACATCTCAAAATGTTTCCAGACATTGAACATTTGTGTAACTACACAGAAAATTCTTAGATTTTTTAGAAATGTGTGCATGATACTCTGCTGCATCCATTTTGATATTCATTTACAACCTAGCTAGACTTGTGTTGCTTCTGCTGACACAAGGTATTTAGTCAAATTTTGTTTTTCTGTAAACCAACAATTAATTGTAACTTTTATTCACAATTTGACAGTTTGAAATTCTTTTATGACTATAAATTTTTGCACCTGAGGAAACATTCTTTATAAATACATATTTACATATTTAAATGAATTATTCATGGGAAGAAATGTTCATTAGTGAAAAAAAGAAGGTCACAGAACTCATTGATATTTCTGGCATGTGATGGTTTACAGTATATTAATGGTAACTAACATAAAATGACTTGTATGAGCAAGACACAAATCTTAATCCATTTAGATTGTACCACTAGTTAATAAATACTGTTAATGTGCACATGTATGACTGTATTCCACACTAAAAAATGCATTGACAAAACCAGTATATCCATACTAAAAAGACTTTGATAAGACCAATTCATCCATAATAAAAAAAAAAGACATTTATAAGACCAATATATATACAGATAAATTACCAAGCAATGGCATTTTTCTGTAGTGAAACAGGTGGGCCATTTGGGGTATTAGCTAGATCTGTATAACTCTGACTTCTTTGTCCTCTATGAGACAGGTTGGTGGCTTTAAGGTCTTTAGGATCATGGATTCCAACATTGTAGACAGATGTCTTTATCTGGTCCAAATGCTGTAAGGAGCTGTGGGCAGAGCTCAGCCAATTCTGTTAAAGCAAGAAACTTCATGTACATGTTTCTGATTCATGTTTAATTTACATTAAACTTTATTCTTCCAATTAAATTTAAAACAGAACTTTTTGAAGAATATGAGACTAATTGAAATATGTTTCATTAAGGAATCACTGTCTAGTCTGTTGGGAATGATAGTTTGAAACATGGGATAAATTGCATAATGGCTGAAGCCCATAATGCATAAATTATTCAATGTTTCCAACTGTTGTTAGTGCCTCTGGCATACCCAACAAACTAGACAGTGATTCCTTAAAATATATTTGCATTTGAAATTAACATGTTAATACAAATAGAAAAAATGCTGTCTAATAGAATTGAAATTTAAAAAAAAAAGCATTCTGCAATTTTTATAGTCCCCACCTACTGACATCAGACACAATGACAGCCTGGGAAATTGACATGCATATTAGGCACTTGACCTTTAACTTTACATTCAGCTGTAAATTTTGAGAAATCAGCACACTTAACTTTCAAAGAGTTATCAAAGAGGAAACAGTTGGAAATGTATATATATGGATATCACTAAATTAAGTAGTATCCTTTTTGGGGGAATAAGTCATAAAATAAAAAGAATACTGTCTTAACATTGTATTTAAAAATATGTAGTGTTCTTATCCTCTACAATTTAAGCAGAATTTTATTGTAGCATTAAAATGAATCACTCAAAGTTCACAAATAGCATTTCTACATTTGGTATACTACAGAATTCTAGCTACTATTTAGAGTCACCTCTGTTCCCCTGTCTTTCATACTTTTTGATGTATAAAGAGAATCTGAAACAAATCTTGCAATAATAGCAATGCATAATACATTGATCCAAATTTCCAAATCAGTCTATATCATACAATTGAATTTCGATGGAATAAAGGGTGTGAATGTTAGGCCAAACAAAAAAATATGTTTGTTTACTGTTACATACTGAAATAAAATAGGGTCGGTAGGTAGGTTTTTTTTTTTCTTAATTTTATTGATTTTTTTATACACAAATTCACAGGAATTGGTTGAAATACAAAACAGTTTTACCATTGTGTGGTGCTTTACTTTTGTTTGGGCTTGCCATATGGGCGATAGACAATATCTTTCTTGCCAACTGCCTTAGGGCAGCTACCACACAATGAAAAAACTGTCTTGTATTTCTTCTTTAATTCCATGTTGCACTAACTATTTCTAGTACTTTCGATTTCAAATGCTTGACCAATTAAGATGCATTTAAAATTTAACCGATGAATGAGTGGCTTCTGGATTTTTATGACGGAAAAAAAATTTGGGTTGGCTATTAAATATAGGGTCGGTCGGGTAACCGTAAACAAACATATTTTTTTATTAGGCCTTATTACACATTTGCTGAATTTAATCTAAATATGTTAAGTGTAACATTTAATTTTCTTCTACAGGTCACTTCTATCAGTATACATTTCGCTATGTAGCTTGAATTACCTACCATAGCTGTAATGAGCTATTTGAAGTAGCTTTATTTAGCTATTTCAATGCAAGTTTTCCCAATTTTGCTTTTTATTTAAAATAAACAAAAAAAATCTCAAGTATGTGACTATTAATTTTTATGCTAGGGAGTTTAAAAAAAAAAGCAACCCAGAGCAAATTGAGGATGGTTTAAACATTGCTGCTTTTGAAAACTTTTATGCAAAACATATACAGGTAAACTTCGGTATCTCGACATCGGATATGTCGACAACCTGGATTATGTCGACGTCATTCCATGGTCCTGGCAGTATTTACTATATAAATGATTTGCAAAAACTCTGATATGTCGACCTCGATAATGTCGATAACCCGGGTTATCTCGACGTATATTCACAGTCCCAAGAGCAAAATTTACCTGGTATATATCGACATCAGCAATTTTCTGCTCTACTGAACATAACTGTTTGTCAGAGAGGGTCGCTCGTCACGCATGGACGACTACGGGTATCTCAACATTGTCAAAAGTTCACACCTTTCACACCCATGTTTTGACTGCATGCTGCTTAATTAATTCTATAGACTGTGTTTGTAGGTGAATCCCAAGCCCCTTCGGCATCTTTGAGAAGTTAATTGCTTAATGTTCAGCTTGGGTAATATCATTGCTAAATCTACACGATTCTGCGTAAATGTACAGACGGTTATTTATATCAAAACCTAACATAACTTTTGAATTTGAAAAAGGTAACTAAATTTCAATGAATAACAAACACACTGAATAATTCAAACTAAGGAATTAAAAGATGTTTTAATGAAATTTTGTAGTTAAAATGTATTCAACAGGAAACAATCCAATTAATGACACGATTGACAGAATCAGCCATAATAATTCATGCACCTGTAACATCACTACATTAGTTTTATAGATACACAAATCTCATAACAAAATTAATTTTAATGTACATTCTTCCTGAATGAAATAAGAAAAAAAAATCTGCATTTAATTTTTTTTCCGTACATCGGATGTTGACTTTATACGGTTCGAAGTTTATAGAGCAAATTTCGTATCAAAAGGCAAGTTACACGCGAATGCTGTAACTTTGTGCTGAAACTTTGTGAATTTAGAAAGATTTCGATAAAGAACACGTTTTATAAACAAGACTTTTATGAAATAACTTCTCAGATTTTTAATAAAAATATAGGGAATTCTGAAATATGTTGAGCTATCTGTATTGAAGTCATGTGCATATAATAAGCTTGTGTGTTTTGCTATGCAGTGAAATCTTGGATGTCAAGTCTCAACTCTGATATCTCGACACCTCGGATATCTCGACATTTTCCGATGGTCCCGTTGATGTCAAGATAACGAAGTTTACCTGTATATTTCTATTGTTTTGAGTATCTGTACACCACCCTGAGTGTGGTGAGGCATGAATAAAAGTATGATTATTTCACACCATGTTGAATTATTATGTTAACCAGAACTGGTCTTTTTGTTATTTCATTCAAGAAGTGTTGTATATTGCCCCAAATTTTTAATAACTTTCATTGCAGTTGCGCTTTATGAAACACATCTTCAAGGGTGATTTTTTCACGAATTGTTTTTAGATTATTCGAAGTTGGAAAAAAATGCTAAATAAAGAAATAAGTATGATTTAGTAGGTAAATAAAGCTACGTCAAGTAGGTTAATAAAGCTAAGTAGATACAGGGACCTATATACTAGTATATATAGGTCCCTGGTAGATAGTGATTGTACCAGACCTGTTCTAACGTTAAATCTATATCAAAATATCACATGTATCATCAAACTGAAACCAGAATGACTCAACAAGTGACCATAACCTTTCATCGTTATTAAAGGGTAACAAAACAAACCTTTGATGCAATAGCTCTTATTTCGTTACATTGATTTTCGAGCTCTTCGTCAAGTAATAAAGGTTCTGGTAAAGCCATTCTTATATTTCGGACTTAGAAGCCATGATAGTTTACATTGACTCCCGACATTCGAAATGTTAAAATTGTTTTCATTGGATGATTTTGGCTTTTTACCCAATCCGCGTTATGCTTTGATAAGGTGTTAAAAGCATGCGCAGTCTTCCTTAGCAATTTTCGTAAACAAATATGGCTGCGGCCATGCTACAAAAAATATTGACCGACACAAAGTAGAGATGTGATTTTGAACAGCCTTGGTAAATAGAAATTTGATGGTTTGTTCTCATGATATCATAGAGTAAGATGCTCAGTGCATGGGCATGTCATATGATTGTGTAGAATTTTTATAAATCTTTTTCAATAAAACACCCAAAGAATGTTGAACAACCAGATCTTATTACATGGACAATAATATGTTGACGGCGCGACCGTTAGGGCGAGCGCAGATTTCTATTCAGTTTTAATTTATATCTGTCTCTTCAAACCGCACGTGACATTTGGTACTTCTAGACTGACGTCACATGACGTCGTATATGTAAGTTGCATTACCAAATCGAAGTCTGAACAGTGCTAGTTTAAATGAAGAATGTTTAATCTACTGTTTTTACTGCAATATTTATTAAATCAATTTAATTTTTTGTTGAACTTTTGTTGCTACCGCGAGAGCATAGTTTGCAGCGGATGCAATTCACAAAGCATTATGGGACCATAGGTTACTGCGGAAAAAAATTCGTTTGGATCAATGTGCAAAGTCCGAATTTTCTCTTCGCCCAGGCATTCCTTTAAGAGCTCGCAGTGATGAGTGGCGCTTTAAAATTTCCTCACTCGCTATAATGTTACTACAACAAATGCATATACAGTCGTGTCAATACATGGAATTAGATCAGATACAGTTACCCCCCTTGTAACACCCATGCATTTGCATTTACTGTAAGAATATAACGTTAGCGTTTTGAAATTGATATATATGATGAAATATGACGTAATGCAATTAAACGTCAAACAAACATCATTTAATTAATTCAATTTGCCTTGCAAAAAAGCAGAATCGCAATTGTCGTGAAAGTGTCATTTGAGATGAGTACAGATTTACATGGAAGCTGATATCATATAATAATCGGCACTCTAGTGTTAAATAAGAAAACTCTTCACTTTCAGTCTGCCCATTTCATTTGATTTTATATAAAGATCTATATGTATGCACAGGACTGACAGCTGCTTAAGGGCAGATCCCCCCATACATTTCCCAGCTCTATGTCATTAGGGTTGTGGTTAATTTGACATATTCTTCATAAGTTAAATTACCGTGAATTATTTACACTGAAGTTTTTAATTGAAAAACCTGACCCAACACCTTAAGCAAAGCTTTCCAAAACATTGCATTGATGCTAGAGAGAACATTTTTCTGAACATTTGCAGACATCTTTTGACCTCTCTTGCACAATTGCAAGTTACAATATTCATTGATTGCAAATGAAGTTGTCTTATCTTCATAGATTATTTTGACCCATTGTATTACCCAGTTGTGTCATTTTTCCTGTGCAAATCTATGTAGTTCACTTTGTGCTACTTACCATGCTCACAATGAAACAAATACAGTCAAACCTTGTTATCTCAAACTTGAAGGGACCAAGAAAATACTTCGAGATAACCGAGAATTCTAGATATCCAGGGTAAAATACTTAAGGAATAAGCAGTTGGGACTTCAAAATGACTTAGACATATCCATGATATTCGAGATATCCATGTTCGAGATACCAAAGTTCAACTGTATCATATTTGATGATTTACTTTTATATCTAAACACATTTTTTAGGTGATTTGTGTTGGATGAAAGCTAAACAATGGCTGAATCAACAGAAAATTCTCCAAACAAGGAGTTTTTGGATGACAAAAGTGAAGCTGGGGACCAGAATGCTACAGAAGACCAAGTAAGAGAGGGAACTGTTGCTTCAGACCAAAGCCCATTTGAGATTACCTTGTCAGAATTCAAACCAGATCCCAAACTCATCAATGTGCATCAATTCTATCCATCTTTGGAACATCAGTTCCACAAATCTGCTTCTAAGTTTGAAGAGGAGCAGAATAAGAGGACTGAGGATGCCATGAAGGAGATTGTGGAAGAGTCCTCCACGTTTGCTCTGACGGACAATGAGGGTACCATGGTTACAACAGATGTGGAAACCACTCAAGATTCCTTACAGATCCGCAGTAAAGGAGAGAGCACGGATGGTACTGATGAAGATTCCAACAATTCAGGGATGCCGGTAATTGTTTGTTATTGTTTATCTCACTCATTTTTGTACTTAGCAGGTTAGGTAACAAAAGGATAAAGTAGTGTTAATTATTCAAAAATTCCTATTAACTTGAAAGCATGGAAAAAATTTCTTGAACTTATTAATTTCCAAATGGCAATTTCAGGGAGAGAAAGATATACTTTCAGTTTTGACGGTAAGAGGGCATACATACACTGGACAGGTTTGAATCACCCCTGTGGGCACAAAAAAATGTAAATGTACATTTAACTGCACAACCTGTGTCTTATTTTATCTCACTGTATAATGTGTAATTATTTTAAATCAGTTTGACCAAGTGATCCCTCAATGCAGTCCTGATACATCTATTGAAATGTTTGTGAAAAAAATCGAAGTATCTAAAGACTTGCCACATTCCTTGCACATTTCAAAACCTGTGTCCTAACTTTTTTAATTATGTTACTTTAATGGTATTTGTAATTTTTTTGAGGAAGCAATATTTGCAGCTTTGTAAATAGCACTCTTTTTTCTTGTAATGCTGCAACTATAAATACTTTGATTTGGTTTTAGCTTGGACACATATATATTTTACATTACAAAAGCTTCAATTAAGAAAAAAATATAAAGAAAATAGTATTTGATAATCTACAAGTACATAATAATAGAAATACCATTGTGTTGAATTGCGATCATTGCAAACTGAAAATCAAATTCCATATACTGGTAAATGACTTGATCACATGTTTTATTTGACAGAACAAGGAAGGACTGTTCAGTACTGCAGTCAGTGAGGAAACATTACAAAAAGCAAAGGCAAAAGGGAAAAGTATTTTCCAAACTGAGGACTGGGGGGCAGTGGCTCAGTACTCCCCAGGGATGCAGGAGATTGTAGATCAAAGAGCACAAGAACAGTAGGTGTACATGTCCAAAGTGTTTCCAAAATATTACTTTTTGTACATTAATATTAAAAGAGAGTTTTTTTTTTAAATATACCAAAATTCAAAATAGGATGATAGATGTGAATTTTTACCCAGATATGTTGATTTTAGTTTCAATGATGCTATGAAAGCTAAAGAGGAAGGGAAGTTTGAGCAGGTTTTAAAGAGCATTTCTAAAGCAATGGGACTCCGAACTGACCCCCTCTATTACGTAGAGAAAGCCGAGGCTTACATACAACTCTGTGACTTCCAGTCTGCCATATTGAATTACAAGAAAGCCTGTTTACTGGATCCAGACAATGTGGATTACTATTCCAGACTGGCATTTTTGTATTATTTTATGGGACAGACACTATTTGATCAGAGACTATATCCTGAAGCCTTAGAGTCATTTGCGAGAGCAGCTGAAATGAACCCTGACAACACTGGGTACCACATCAGAAGGTGGATATTAAGTTGTAAAGTATCTTTAACAATCTACTGATATTCAGTAGCTTACAAGTTGAATATGCTCACCTTATATTTATTTTCACTGCTTGTCTAACACTTGTGGATACACAACCTACTATTTTGCTCTAAAATCTTTTTTTTTTTCCTCTGGTTGCTAATCCTGTTTAATCTCTGTATTTTAGTATGACCTGCCTGGCAGCTCTACATAGACATGGTGAATGTTTGGCTTTAGTCAACAAGAGACTGGAGACAGACAATGAAAACCCTGATCTGTATATCATGCGAGCAAGGTTACATGAGATGTTTAGAAATGTAAGGCTTCATGCAATAATACTAAACTCTTTTAGAAAATTTCTTCAAATGATTACTGATCAATTAAATTAAGTGCTTTTTCCATAGTAGTATATACAATTATACATGTAATCCATATCAATATTATAACAAAGTTTAACATAGTAAATTGGAATGCAAAATCTTTACATTTTAGACCACCCTTTGCTATTATGACATCAAAGATGCCATCCAAGTTGACCCTGATCACCAGGAAGCCAAGGCAATGATGGAAAAAATGGAGAAGAGAGCCCAGGACAACAAGAGAGAGGCCATGCAACTAAATCTGATGGGTAAACATAGAGAGGCTCTACAGAAGATCTCTATTGCCATAGATACTGATCCTGTTGTGGCCGATTTTCATGTTTTAAGGTAATATAAAATGCTTTTATGTGACTACCTATTCACATGCAGTGCCTAATTTCTATGGGGTTGTTTTTTTTTTTTTTTTTGGGGGGGGGGGGGGGGGGAGGTAGTTAAAAGGAATGCAAAATGTGACAGAAAAGTATGCAATCATTACATGAAAACTTTTAGTTAACAAATTAATGATCAGAATAGGAATTTTGTTATATATAAACCTTCATTATACCAATGAAATAGAATAAAAATCCAATGCAGAATTTTACGTAAACCATATAATACGCGTCCACTCCTTTCCATAATTTTACACTCAAAATATTTTTTTTTGCTTTTATGAAAAAATGAAAAAAAACTATTTTAATAAAGGAATATTTTAAAATAATACATGTACTCCTAATACATTTCAGAGGCTCCCTACATCGACGACTGGGCGACTATAACGCTGCTATCGATGACTTCCTGTTGGCTCTGGACAAATGTGAGCACAATGAGGAGTCAGCTGTCTACATTGACTCCCAGAGGCAGCTGTTGTTGACATACAATGACTTTGCTGTAGAGTGTTTTACTAAGGGCTTTTATGAAGAAGCCATTATTTTACTAAATAAAGCAATCAAGGGAGAGAAGCGTGAAAAAGGATTGTATATCAACAGAGGAGGTTTGTTTTTTTAAACCATTCAAAATTTGATTTACAAAAATTCTTTCATTGTTATCCTCTTTGCTTTACATGTATATTTCATTTTCGGATTTTTTTTTAGATTGCTTTTTCCGCCAGAATGACTTTAACTTTGCCCTACAGGACTACTGTCAGGCTCTGGAGCTGGACCCAGCTGATGACAATATTAAGTCTCGTATCTCCGTCATATACAATGAGTTTGGAGTTACTGCCTATCAAGACAAGAATTACTCAGTAGGTTATACACCACCTTAATATTTGTCATTCTGGCATGTTATTGCAGTCTTTTTAGACAGGTAAACAACTGTGGTTCTGTTTTATGTTTACGTTTTTTTTGTGGTATTTTTAAGGAGGCTGAAGATAAACTCACACAGGCAATACAATACAATCCAAAAGTAGGTCAGTACTATATTACAAGGTCCAGATGCCGATACATGCTGGAGGTATGTACAATATGTTATTAGTAACTGAATAGAGAACAATACATACCCTTTTCCATATCACATCCTGTATCAGCCCGAGACACCAATATCAGCCAGAGGGCAGAAGGCCCAAGGGCTGATACAGAATGTGATGTGGAAAAGGGTATGTTTTATTATGTTTATTACATACTTAGTAATAAAATACAGCACACATCAACTTGAGAAAAATAAAAATATATAATTATGCACTGATTACTGATATTAAAAGAACAGCAATTTTAAATTAACAGATGTATTATATCACAAGTAATGTCTTTTAAGGTATAACTTACCAGGGGTTTGATATAAATCCGTATCAGCCCTGCAGGGCTGATATGACTATTGTGACGTCAGGCATATCACATATGCAAAAAAAACTGTATTTATTATAAGTATGTAATAAAAGCAAATACAAAATTTTACCATAATATATATACAAGTATTTATCTGAACTTCCTTTGGTTCCATTTCAAAAGAAATACATATAAGTGTGTTATACATATTTTTTTCACTTCATTTTATGATAGAATATCCATGGTGCTAGACTGGACCTTATCATGGGGCTTTTACTGGACCCCACCAATCAGGATGTTCTCTCTATCTTATCTCGTTTGTTTCCTGGGAAATCTATTGGTGATGTTGTCAATAGCAGAGCAGCTGATCCAGCTAAGATAGCAATCCGAGCAATACTCAATATTCAGCCTCAGAAATCTCAGACTAAAGTCACTTATGATGCTCTCACAGAAAGGTAAGACTTGAAGGTCTGGAAAGTTTTAATTTTATAAGTTACTGTAAAATCATGGGTTCAAAATTTCGTGGTTTCTCGGAAAAAATACCGATTGAAGGGGGATTCAATTTCATAGTTGGTAGACATAAATGTTACTGTATTTAATATTTTTAACACTTGGGGACATGAATTCATGGGTCTCTTCATGTCATGAAAACAATGGAAATTAAACCCGCACAAAAATTTTCACAGTAAATATCGTACAAAATATCAAGAGGAAAAGTTGATTAAAGAATTTTATTTTAATCTTACACTCTATTAATAATTGTTCTTTTATTTTATGTTATAATGTACAGTTATCTCTGTTATGTTTATACAGTGGAGTACTGGACAGTCATGCCACACATTCCATCCCTCCAAAGTCTGCCCAGACAACATGGAGCCAAGCTGATACTGATGTATCCACTGTGGAGGATAGTCTTGTTCGTCCAGGGGGTTGCTTTCCTCCTCTCAGGGCCTGTATGAAAGAGAAAGACTTCAACATAAAACTTGCCATTGAAAAGAAACATGTAGGTATTCTAAGTAAACAAAGAAGTGCAAAAAAAAAAGAAATAAGAAAAGGCCTGGTATGAACAAAGACAAAAAATGGTTATACATGCTTTGAATAATCTCACCAAGATGCATCTGTATTTGCTAACGTGCTTCAAGAAATATGCTGGCGTGAAGCGTTGTAGTTCACATCCAAATGAATTCTCAAAAATCAAATTTATTTCTTAAGTATACCTGTATGTAATTTTAGTGTACTTGTATGTTATTCTTGCCATGTATGTTTGTAATGTATTTAATATTATAGGTTCAGGAGGAGGTGTCTGTAGCCTTAAAAGAGAGAAAGAGTCTACGTTATGATGGAGCCCGAGTCCAGCCCCTCCCACCTCCAGCTCCTAATCCAAACTCGCAAAAAGCCCCACCACCCAGGGAAAGATTCATTAAAGATGCATTTGGAGGAAAACAAAAGGTCATGACCTACAACTGGCGAAAATTCACCATGGGAATAGGTCTGTCTGATGTCAAGGACATTTGATAGCATTCTTCTGTGAGAGAGTTAAGTGTAAATGGTATTTTTCTGTCATTTTAAATTGTGTGAATGCAATGTGCTCGTATATGTGTTAATGTAATTAAATGTGTATGGATAAATAGAAATGTGTACAAATTTAGTATCAGAGGTTTAATTGATTGTTACACATCTTATCAGATGAGCTATTAAATGAGATTGGTTTTTACAGGGAAGATATATTAGAATTAATAGGAATTCTTTAAAAAATCAGTATTTATACACTACTGTATATGTACTTCCTTTTATCAGATTAACATTTTGGTGCCTTCGGTGCAATAGCTAATGCATTAATTAGTACAGTAGTACTACATAAAGGTATGCTGATTGTGCTATTTCTTGATTGCGCCAAAACATTTGTGATAATTTTTTTAATACATGTACACTCAAACAAGACCTAAGTATGTAAGGAATACACTTGTTAATTATAATTTATATTATATCTGTGTTAAAATGTTTGTGTAATAATGTAACTATATAATATGTCGTTCATATTTGTATCTTCAGTGTAATGTTCAAATCAAGTAAGGTATTGGTAATGTTGCAAGTGTTGAGAATATAGTTACAATTTACTTCAAAATTATACAACTGTTCAGAGTTAAGATGTTTTAAACTAAAATAAAAACTTCAGTGTAAAATAGAAGGATGCATTAATGCAATCAACATTGCTGTCCATGTAAGAAAATGGAAAAAAGTACATTCTGATCCGTCAGTGTAAACCTGATGAGTTTCACAATATTGAAAAACTTGCTAGTCTAGAATATGAGAATTACTAAAAATTCATTGATAATGTGTTAGCCCTGCTGAGAGTCACTTGTCTTGGACTTGTGTGTTGATAGGAATTCTGTGCACTTTCACCATGGATTCTTATAAATGCTGTAACCTAACTTAATCAGAAGATTGGGAATTGATGCATGTTTTTACTGTGGTGCTGTGGAGACTTTGCTGTCAGGCTACTCACAAAATGGTTGTTACTTATTGACAAAAAAAAATAAATGATAAAAAATCTTTAATTAGAATTTCTCTTTTTTTTTCTTTTTTTTTTTTTTTGGCAGTTACATGTAGGCCTTTATTCAACCAGCAAGCACACTTCGAACATATTGTAAAGAAAATGTATATTTCATAGGAAATACAATAAAAATTGAATTAAGATGAGTAGAAAAGTAGATCCTATAACAGTTTACAAACTAAGAATATGCCCATAGGGCATGAATGCTCCATCCAATGGCACATTTGTATTGCAATATGAAATGTACAGTCAAACCTCGTTATCTCGAACTGGATGGGACCGAGAAAAAACTTCGAGATATCCGAGGGTTCGAGATATCAAAGGTAAAATACTTCAGAAATATGTGGTTAGGACTTCCCAATCACTTTGATTTATCCATTGTATTCAAGATATCTGTGTTCGAGAAAATGAAGTTCAACTGTACTTTTTTTTGGTTGATCTGATTTATAGTAAGAATTGATGGAAGAAGGAATGAATACTTTTCATATTTTTTTTTATATACAGAACTGATAACTTTGGTACAGTTGTTGACCTTTATAACTTGGTATGTAATGTTGATTCATCCTAGTATCTATTTAACAGTTATATGAGTCTCATTTTTCCAAGTTCATTCTATCACACATGTATGTTGAAAATTGTAAGTTAAGTATGTTTGAAATGTTAAGTTCAAGGTCATATAGGAAATGTCATGGTCAGAAAATTATGACACAATTGAATTGTCCCACCAATTAGTATCAGTGTATGAAATTTGATAAAAATATCTTGAGCAGTTTCTTTACAACAACCAAGATACTGTAAATGCAAAACAAGGAATAGTGAGTTTTAGGTCATAGGAAAGATCAAGATAAGAAAATTGTGACACAGTTGAATTACTTTCACCAATTTGTATCAGTGTACAAGTTGTTAAAAATATCTTGAACAGTTTCCTTGAATTGCAATTGAATTGAATTGTCAAGGTCAGAAAATCATGGCAATTTTTAAGTACCAGTCCACATAAAATTCAGACAAAATTGTATGAAAGTGATACATGAAGGTTTTCAGAATTCGATGATTTTTCACTCATAAATTTCTCTTGCAATATGAACAATGTATGTAAAATGAAAAATGTTTTGAGTCATGGTTACCATGGAAACCCGGCCAAAGAAATTTCCTTAGCAACCGGCAATTTTTTCCATGTTGATGGACAAAAATTCACCTATCTTTAAGGCTTAAAATAAAATTTTAATACCATGAAAATTATTCTCCATTACTGGTGTAATAAAGATACACATTTAAAGTGTTTTAATAATGCAATGAAAGAAATTTAGGTCTTAAGTTAGTTCTGTGCTAGCCATTGGAAGGTACACATGTTTTGCAATTTCTGCTGATTCAGCATTTTTCGTGATTTTGGCAATATTCAAGGCCAAATTTAAAAAAAGGCCAGATTAATACAGCTGTTGCGTGTATTTCACATAAAAGCAGATGAATTTCTCTTTTAGAATTTGAAGTCAAATCCACGGGCCTTTTTGAAAATTGAATTTGTTGCCTAGCAACAAATATGGGCATTTTGATACATAAATGAGAAACAATGTAAAAAGTTTACGGAAAAATCAAATGAATTGTTGTCTACAAAAACGAAAAACATATTTTAAAATAGTAGAATTAAAGGACTTCCTAGCAAATTATTGAATATTGTATAATTATTTATCTCCATAGCAACAACAGGTTCTCCATAGCAACGGGCAAAGAAAGTCAATTTTGACATGTATTCATGTAATCTTATTAAAAATTTATTCAAATTAAGTCAGAAAAATGTCGTTGAGCAAAATTGACAATGAAATGTTGGTCTTATTAAAGTTTTTGTGGTACTTAATCAACCCATAGCAACGATTCCCAGTACATGACAACCAATGTGCACTATGCCTCCTGTAAAACAGATTTGACTTTGGGATCGTATTGTTTGTCATGGAATTGAATATTCAAGTAATGTGCTGATAATTGTATATGCTGAGAGTGTGGAAAGAATATAAAATGTTGTAGCAAATTATTGAATATCGTACATTGACTTATTTCCATAGCAACAACAACACTTCCCCATAGCAACGAGGCAAAGAAACTTAATTTTGACACATATTCATGTAAACCTGTAAAATCTATCTAAATCAAGTCACAAAAATGTGTTTGAGAAAAATTGACATTGTCGTGTTTGTTTTAGGAAAATATTTTTGTACTCATTTAACCCATAGCAACGATTCCTAGCACATAGCCAGCAATTTTGTCAGTATGGGATTCATTCTCTGTAACCGCTGTATTGAAAGATTTGGCACTCGTCACAGATTTCGGGGATACGTGTACGACTCTCAAATAATCACTACAGAAAGCATTACAATGTAACAATTATTCCTCATGAAAATAAATAGATAAATAGAAAGAATTTCGTTACTATGGAAACGTATCTAATAATATTTGGTAAGAGGACTCAAATTGAGTAGGAAGATCAGGATTTAATTATTCTATTTATACTTATTACAGATTGCAGAGTTTTCTTTTCAAACAGTTAGAGGATAAACACGTTTGTTCATATCTAAATATAGAGTTTTATGCATCAATAACCTCGAGTAATACTTAGGTCACATTTATTAAATGATTTAAGCCGATGGTCGGGCGACCAAATTATTATCGTATCGTCGGCTGAAAAACTTAATCAGACGATTCTAGTATCGGGCGATGCAGAGTAGTCACTTTAAGGACATTGGCAAGTCAAGGTTTTCCGGAGAAAAAAGGTTTAATACATGGGTTTTTTTACTTATGAAATAGTGATTGAGAGTGATCTCCCGTGTAGAATTCTCTAAACGGTGAAAACTAATTACATGTAAAGCCAATGTTTACAGAGGTAAACAAAAGCACATGTAATTCCTTCAATGGGTAGAATCATCTATACAGCAAGAAAGAAAAGTAGTAATGGCTTTTTTATACATTGTATTCAGGGGACAAAGAACCAACAGGTCGTCATTTACCATAGTTGTGCTCAGTATGCTGGGAAGAGCAAAGATGTGATATATGCTGAAAGGTAGACAGACTGAGATCAGTTCCTATGTTGTATGAAGGAAGCAGAATTTAGTAACAACGAATAAAAATTGAAATAAATCCATGCCAATATTTTTATAACAATGTGTTTCAATCAATTTAGTCAATTAAATGATAGAATCAATCAACCAGTCTGACTCTCTTGACCATTATGAATAATATGTAATTATAGCTGTTAAGGGAAGTAACTCCAAAAAAAAAAAAAGATCGGTGCTGGTATGTCCATGCCTTATATATACATTTTCAGTCAAAATATCTATAAGCCATAGGAAATGAAGATACAGTAATGTATATAATACAAAAACTAAATGAAATAAGTGGGTTTTGGAGAAATATTATGATGAAAAATTATGTAAGTCCCTTTTATTAACATTTTACATACCGGTAGGAAATGCATTGAGAATTGCAAAAACACTGATATGACAAAATCTAAAAAGGAAGGTTGGCTTGGTAGGTTAAACAATCCAGAATATAGCCTGTTTAATACAATTAAACCTACTCAAGAGTTCTTGAAAAATCCTATACGATAACCTGGAAATTTGCCAATGTCCTTTTAATTCCTAGGAACACCGATGCCTTTACATGTTAAAAATCGCTAAGTAGGCCAACCCTTACCCGATCATCGTTTGCTGAGCCGCTGTTTGATTTTCACCGTCGGCTGACATTTTATGAAAACCCAATCCTGAAATGTCGATCGACCTACGACCGACATGACAAACTGTCTTGCGATGGTTGGACAATGATCCTTATATTGACAATGATGCCTTATAATTTCCATCCTAGCAATGTTGAAGGAATCGGCCACCAACGCAGAAAAAAGTATAACTTGTCCCGACAGACACAAAATTGGCCGGTTGACGCAAAAAGAAGAACTCAAAATCAGACAAGACAACACCCGATGAACTGCCGACTGTCCCCCGAAGAATCCTATTTTGTTTCAAAAAACTTCGGCCACTGGTCATTTTTGGAAATGTGACTGGGATTTAAAGTTTTCGAAAGACTAAAAGAATAACGTAGACTTAAAAACAGGTTGTGTTAAACAAATTTAAATTAAATTTGAAACCAACAATATCATACATTTAAAATATGGAACAAAACGTTGTAGGGGAATCTATGCATTAAATCTCTGTTTTTGCTTTTTATCTGCTATTGTATGCATTATTTATTTATGTACGTTTGAATTTTTTTTTTTTTTTTTTTTTTTTTTTTTTGAATTTCTCACTAAAAACTATATCTCCCTCCAGGATTTCTTTTTGTAAAATAAGGGGTCATGGGCCACAAGTCTCACCTGAATCTATCTGTTCCTGCTGTTATTTGAATATTTTCGCTATATATTCTTAAGAAGTTGAAATGACCCTTTCCTAAATTAATATGATCATGCCAGATTACCTATCGGGTCCATGATTTTGGCAAACTGAATCTGCACTGAATGAGGTGCTTGGTTATCAATATACTTATAATCTTGTTGTCCTTGAGAAGAAGATTCTGTAAGATTTTTTCCCCGAATTGCATCTTCTCAGGCCTTTCCGGCAAGCCCCGAAAATACATTTAATGTATTTAAATCACTGGATGTTAAAAATTTGTACAAAATGAAGTGATATGTAATTTTATAATTTATGTAAATATTTAATAAACATAGTTGATTGTTCCTTCTGTGGTATATTTTAATATCTTTACATTCAGTGAAGATCAGTTGCATACTCCATTGAAAAAAAGTCTCCCTACATTTATTCAAATGTTTCTTAAAATGGGTTATCATAGACGCCTACGTACATGTAACAAATTCGAGGTTGTTTTTTCCACTTGTCCCTCCCCCCTTTAAACCTCATCCAATTCTTAAGACCATGATATGAAATAACTTGGATTTACACAGAGACAAAAAAGTATATGTCAGCTTCTTAACAACAAGTAAAAGATACAAGCTTATATCTGATCTTT